TTGTATGGTGGAATTGTTCTTCAGATTGATGGTTTTATACAGAACCTTCCTGAAAAGGGTTCTATGTAGCATCATAACGGGTTCTTCTGTTGTTGCAAAATCAAGCTAGTAACAGTATAAGAACTCTTTTTGGTGCTATATAGAACCATATACAGCACATTCTCCATCAATCTGAAGAACGATTTCATGATGCAGAGAACCATTTAAGCACACAAATGGTTGAGTGTTCATGGTTCTATATAGAACCATTGTCTTTACTATAGAACCCTTGAAGAACCATCTTTTTTAACAGTGAAGATGTGCAGTTTGTACTTTTTCTAATTGTATTACAACTAAAGCCGAAAGGGTCTTAAAAGGTATTCTAATTGTGTTTGCTTTAACCTGCAGGTCACCTGAGAAGCGAGTTATCAGAATTCATACCCACCATGCAGTCTGAGTTTTAGGAGTGTTGAGCTCTGCTGCGTCCCCTTTGGTTAAGGTTTTATTAGATGTGTTTTTATTGCCACAGTTTGGCTCTGAAGAGTCTGTAGATATGGGGTTAGTCAGAGTGTAGGAGTGTGTTGGGGCTCAGCAGGGCTAATTTTATATGACGAGGATGGAACACTGAGTGCTGATGGTCATGTGTAGAAACGCGGGTCAGTGTGAGCTTTCCTGATCAACTAAAGAATGTTCAATAGGGATGCATTGATACCAGTTTTTTTCAGATTGAGTATGAGTACATATTTTTTTGTACTCACTAATGCAGAGTCCAAAAATAAAACAAAACTAGAAACGTGCATTTCCTGAAGGAAACACAGAATGGTTGTGCAGCTTAACCCTCTACAGCACACATTAGAAGAGAATTTAAAACATTGTCCAATTCACTTTTCTGGCATAAATGGACCTGATTATTAAATTCAAAAACTTAAAAAAAATGTGTGCAAGGGTTTTTTTGGGGTATGTTGCCCAGAGGCAACATTGTGAGAGAATGAAAAAAATGACACAAAGCCATGTGCTTGTGACTGGCTAAATCCATTCCACTGTCAAACAACGTTGCTTCTAGGCAACAAACTGCAAATTCTCATAACAAATAAAACTGATACTGAATATTAAAAAAAGGTTTAAAAGTGGCCAAAGAGACAGTATGACCAAATGCTGTTTATTAATTTACTCGACCTCTTCCCTTTATTGTTAACCTTTTTGTTATCTTTAAATACATATAATGTTATTGTAAAGTGAGGAAAATGGGTTTGTTGCCCTGAGACAACATTGTGCAGTAGAGGGTTAAATGGTTCCTACTTCCTGTCAGGTTGTTGCTAGGCGGTTACTATGGTATCCCAGGTAGTTGCTAAGGTGTTGCTAGGCAGTTTCTTTGGTATCCCATACGGTTGCTAAATTACTGCTAGGCAGTTGCCATGGTGTATGGGGTGTTTATTTAATTGTTCATAGGAAGCTGCCAAGTGTTAGCTACGTGTTGTTGAAATTGAATGGGAGTGTATGTGAGGAATGAGGAATTAAAAATACAGGACACATACAGGAGTGCGGGTTAGTGTGGCTGTGCATTAGAGCTTGGGGACTTGCTTTGCAATGGGCAACCATAATTACCTACTCTTAATGAAATTAGAAAATGGTTCTATATAGAACCATGAACACTCAAGGAGCTCTCTGCATGATTAAAGGGTTCTTTGCATCATGAAAGGGTTCTTCAGATTGACGGAGAATGCTCTGTGGATGGTTGGATATATGGGACCTTTTTGATAATGGTTCTAGATAGCACCTAAAGGATTCTTTTATTGTTATAATGTTGAACTTGTAACAATTGAAAAAAACTGTTTGGATGCCATATAGAACCCTTTTCAAAATGATTCTATACAGATCCATCTATAGCACATTCATGCACATTCTCCATCAATCTGAAGAACCCTTTCATGATGCAAAGAACCCTTTAATCATGCTGAGGGTTCTTTGAGTGTTCATGATAGGCAGTGGTTTAGCACAGTGTTGCTAGGCTTTTTTGGGGTATGTACAATCACAGCAGTCATGGCGCACTCAGCGTCAGTGTTGTTTTAATTACTGCTTCTTTCACTGTGTCTAAACAGAATTTAAAGTCTGCATAAGGTGACACAGCGCTACTTTTATTTAGGTTTTTGAGTTTATTTATTTCCTGATACATCTCTACAGATTATTGACTGGATATATTTAAAATGTGAAGGTGCTGGATCCACTAAAATAGGAACCAGATCCAATCTGAGATTTGCTGGAGCTGGAAATCAGAGGTCCCAGTGCCAGAAACGAAAATTGCTTTGCTCTTTGAAGTTGTGTAGTGTATCCATCACTCTAAATTAATTTGCTCCGAATGACATATTAAATAACGTATCTGCTTGTCAAGCGTCAGAATAATCTCTGCGATAATCTCTGGCAGATTAAGAGAAATGCTGTTCTGGTTCACAGACATAGCGTTTGGCCTGAGACAGTTGCAGCAGGATGTACTCACCTAATCTACTGCATCAGTTCAAGCGCCAAAACCAGCCGCTTTCTAATCTGCCAGTTTCTGATTCCAGAAAACGACAAATGGAGTGAAGTGTTTCTCGTTCGCCCGTGACTTTCTCAGCCCTGCTGTGGTCAGAACAGACGCACACCGCTCTCCCTCCACCATGTGCAAAACTTGGGAATAATTTGTGCCTTTGTACTCAGTCCAGGCCCGATTGGGACGCATAAAGCAGCAAGTGCTGATAGGGATCTTCTACATGTACTGTACCTCATTACAAAGGCATTTAGAGTGAGAAAGAAAGAAAGAGAGAGAGAAAGAAAGAGAGAAACACTTTGTTCTTTGCTTGTTCAGAAATCTGTTCAGCCAGACTCAACACATGAAGAATTAGCTCAATTTCCAGACAAAGTTACAGGACTGGCTGAGAAGCAAAGTTTAAAGGAGAAGTTCCATCAAAAGAGTTAATTTTGTGGACAGCAAAAATTAGCAATACATAAATGACATCATTGACCTATCATTAGTTTTCAACGAATGCTGTCTTTAGATTGTAGAAGTCTCTAGATTGGACTGCCTGGCAAAAATCCCATTCAAGCCAACAAGAACATCAACATACCCAAATTTGGAGAGCATTATTAATTTCAGCTCATGCTTATTTTATAGGCGTGTAGGCCACACTATTGAGTATAGATTATTTTGTTGTGTAATAGAGCTGACGTTAGAATGGTGACGTTAGCATTCCAACCTGCCTAGCTTTGATTAGCTATAACAACACAGTCCAACTCATTAGCATAACATTTGAAATGGAGACTCAATGTTACTAGTGACTGTAAACAAAGATCACACCAGTTTCTCATTAGGTTGAATGAATAACTGACTCTAAATGTAGGTATTGTGATATAAACTGAGTCTATTCTACAGTTTCTCATTAGGTTGAAAGAATAACTGACTCTAAATGTAGGTATTGTGATATAAACTGAGTCTGTTCTACAGTTTCTCATTAGGTTGAATGAATAACTGACTCTAAATGTAGGTACTGTGATATAAACTGAGTCTGTTCTACAGTTTCTCATTAGGTTGAAAGAATAACTGACTCTAAATGTAGGTATTGTGATATAAACTGAGTCTGTTCTACAGTTTCTCATTAGGTTGAAAGAATAACTGACTCTAAATCTAGGTATTGTGATATAAACTAGTAGCTTTCAAAGAAGAAATATTGGATCGGTATTGGTATCCACTGATCCTTATGGTCAGAGTTGGGCAACATACTAAAAGTTATGTGTGAATGCTGAATACACTGTGAGAACACTGTCCTAAATGTATTCAGCAATGTTTTACAATACAATATAAAAAAGTAACATATTCCAAATATACATACATACATACATCATCTAAACCGCTTATCCTTCTGGGTCGTGGTGGGGTGCTGGAGCCTATCCCAGCTGTCATTGGGCGGAAGGCAGGATACACCCTAGACAGGTCGCCAGTCCATCACAGGGCAGACAGACAGACATACACAGTCACACACTCACACCTAGGGGCAATTTAGCATGTCCAATCAGCCTGACTGCATGTTTTTGGACTGTGGGATGAAAACCGGAGTACCCGGAGGAAACCCACGCAGACACGGGGAGAACAGGCAAACTCCACACAGAAATGACTCTAGTCGCCCAGCTGGGAATCGAACCCAGGCCATTATATTCCAAATATATTTAGAATATATTTAGAATACATATTTGTAAGGCACATGGAAAAACTGCTATAACTTTTATTTAATTACCACTGTTCCTCACCGTTACTGGTTGTCATTTTTCCTCCTTTTAAGATTATAAATAAACATTGACTGTGTTTCTTTTGAAAGTTTACTCAGTGGGTGAGTATTCCAAAAGTATTCTCCTGAAAATATAAAAAGTACCCATATTCTGAATACAGCCTTTACACAATGTAATTTAGACCAAATAGAATAATCTGCCATGTCTGATTAAGATACACTGACCACTGGAGATCGTGTCCCAGCAAGAAAATGAGATGTGATTTGTTGGATTTAAAACCGACACCGTTGAACCGCTACAGTCCCTTGATTGCCTATTAAAGACCTTATAAAGCTTTCACAGAGAATTGGAATGGCTTAGTGACCAGACTCGAGGAACTGAGTGTTCCTCTGGGTTTTTTGTCTGCATATGTTTGACGTAATAGCGACGTGTGTGTGTATGCAGTAGAGTGTGTGTTTGCCTTCATCTTGAATCACTTACTCGAAAGTGTGTATGTGGAGTTTTGAGTAATTTCGTTTTTCAAGGCGAAATGTGAAATTATGTGGTTTTTGCTGAAACACAGAGTATAATTTGTCATAGTGTTTCCTTTGAGTTGGCTGTTTTTTCACACACAAATCTCCATCACAGTTTAACACACACACTCTCTCTCCCAGAGCGGTCAGACCCGGCCAAAGCACGGCTGAAAAAATCCTCCCACACAATGCTCTCTCTATGCCGCGTGTTGCCTTCCTGTCTGTAATGCGCTTCGTGTCTGTGTGTTTCAGATTACCGGACGGGCCCATGTTTCGCCTCCGTGAGTAACCAGATGTGTCAGGGGCAGCTGACCGGGATTGTGTGCACTAAGGCGCTGTGCTGTGCCACGGTAGGCAGGGCCTGGGGGCATCCCTGCGAACAGTGCCCCGCCCAGCCACACCCCTGCCGCCGCGGCTTCATCCCCAACCACCGCACCGGAGCCTGCCAGGGTACTTACTGAACTTTACTGTCCCTCATAGGGGGGTATTAGGGTGACACTTTATTTTGAGTGTCCTTTTTAGATGAAATAAACACTCAACTCGACTCTCAGTAACATCAACAACATATCCATGATGCAGCAGCAGTGAATACAGATTATCAAGAGACTTTTAATAAACTGTGTAAATAATCGTTTATTCATAAGTTGCTGAATTCAGTTTTTGTTTGTCCAAGTTCAGATCTGTAGATGTTAAACTGAGAGGAACAGAACATGAAACAGGTTTAATACAGACCATCAACATCTTCAGCAAGCTGTTACAGACAGACTGACACCATTCTGTACCTGGAGCTTCACTGGATAAGGGTTTGGTTAAGGTTAGGATTAGGATTAGGTTTAGGTTTTGGACTGAGAGTAAGGTTAGAGTTAGGATTAGGGCCAGTGTGATGGCTAGGAGTACATTTTGGGTTGAGGTTAAGGTTAGGGTTAAGATTATGATCAGGATGAGGGTTAGGATTAGGTTTTGGGTTGAGGTTAAGGTTAGAGTTAAGATTATGGTCAGGATAAGGATTAGGATTAGGTTTTGTGTTGAGGTTAAGGTTAGGCTTAAGATTATGGTCAGGATGAGGGTTAGGATTAGGTTTTGGGTTGAGGTTTAGATTAAAGTTGGATTAGGGCCAGGTTAAGAGATAGGATTAGGTTTTGGGTTAAGGGGAAGATTAGGCTGAGGATTAGGGTGAGGGTGAGGGTTAAAATTAGGTTTTGGGTTGAAGGTAAGATTAGGCTCAGGATTAGGGCCAGGTTGACGGTTAGGATTAGGTTTTGGGTAGAGGTTGAGATTAGGCTTAGAATTAGGGCCAGGGTTAGGATTATGTTTTGGGTTAAGGTTAAGGTTGAGGTCAGGATTAGGGCCAGGGTGAGGGTTAGGATTAAGTTTTGGGTTAAGGTTAAGATTAGGCTCAGAATTAGGCCAGGGTGAGGATTAGGGTTTGGGTTGAGGTTAAGGTTAGGGTCAGGATTAGGGCCAGAGTTAGGGTTAGGATTAGGTTTTGGGTAAGGTTAGGTTTTGCGCAATGGACGAAACAGTACGTCTACCTCGTGCAAAATATCAATAATACATCTACATAATGTAAGTATCAATGATGTATTAACATGATGCATCAACAGAACATCTAGATATTTACTTCTATGTACACAGATACTTCACTACTGCTACTTCACTGATATGTTGACATGTTACTGTTAATCTATTAAAAGTTTATCAATCATCTTCAAAGATACACTCCAAATAAAGTGCTACAGAAATTAAATTAGCAGTTCAGACAACTTTGCGGTCTACACAACATATAAAAGAACAACACAAATATCACAACATAACATAACCTCACCTCCACACACCTCAAAAATGAGAATAATGTATTTGGTTCAACAAGCTAATGGCAGAGACAAAAAAGGCCTTATTACACTTGGTTCTTCCAGCAGGTACTCTGAAACACCAGCTTGACGGAAGCAATTCAAACTCTGGTAACAAGGGCTGATCTGGACAGGCCAACATGGATCTAGCATTCCTTAGAACCCGCTTGTTATATGTGTCTGAAATCTGGGCCTGCTGCACTTCAATGATTTTACCAACTACCTCAAAAAGGCTGTTGAATCTTTTCCTAGTAGTCAAGTTAAGGCTGCCGTACCACGCCACAATACAAAAAGCTAAAACAGATTAGGTAAAACTTCCACACACATAATATAAAACTGATGTAAAATATATGAAAGCATGAAACCGGACCCCAGAGGGTTAAGCGGTCTATACTCATACTAACAATTTTATTAGGTCAACTCATTGCACACGCACTAAACAGGAGCCTGCCTGAGTACACACCTTTCAGGAATTAGCAAATTTGCTTTATTATAGCCCAAAATGATAACTAGCTCTATTAATTATGAGTGCTCGGGTTATTTCATAGTAACAGTTTTATTAGGTGGTTGATTCACTAATCACTTAAAATACATCGTGCTCATTAGACCGAAAGAGAAATTCAAATCACGCTTGCACACACACACATGCACACACCGGAACCTTCCTGAGTACACACAACATACACACACACACACACAAAGTCTCCTAGGCTAGACACACACACACTCTCACACAGGGATCTTCTCTAATTGGGTTAAATTGGGTTTGGTTCCCGTTGGTGTTCCGCATGCCTGTGGAATGCTACAGCCAGGCTGAACGGGAGGTGCTGTCACAACACATGCACACACGGCTCAGTGAGCCAGCCTTTACCACACTACACACACATTCACTCACACACACTCATAGATACACATTCTGCTCATGTGAAGGAAAACTCCAGTGTTTTTTATCCTAATCGGCCACATTTGTAGCATCCGGTCTATTACAACAGGCGCTTGACGTGTTTCCTCATCTAAACCCACTGACTCACACTAATCATACAAGAAAGTGAGCGCCTGTCCACTGGCTCCCACACTCTTAAAAACGATGGTTCTACAAGGTTCTTTAGTAAAGAAAATGGCTCTGTGTAGAGCCATGCACACTTAAAGATCCTTTAGCATGCTTAAAGGGTTCCTTGCCTTGTGAAAAGGTTCTCTAGATCGATAGAGAATATGCTGTGTATGGTTCTATGAGTAGCAAGCCGTGACTCTTAAACCTCTGCCCTCTGACACCCCCCCCGCCCAACATGTCTGAAAAAAAACAGCCTAGTTTACTGTGTCCCCTCCTAAAGTGCTGCAAAAGTTAAGAAACGAAAATTAAGGCGATAGTTGAGCCCTAGAAATGCCACGAGTGAATAGCACAGAGAGGGTTATCACTTAAACAAAATAGCTAATTTCTTGGGCAAAATAATTACAAATAATCGCATCATCATACAAGCTCTGTGTGCTCTTCAGAAAACGCAAGAAAGTCGCAGCCTCCTACCACACTTAACCAACAGCATTTCATACAAGCCTTCACATCATGACAGCACGCACAGCCAAGCAGCCATGAGCATCAGACATATCAGCATCAGAAAAATGACCACTAATTCTGCATAATGGCGGAGTGGAGGCCAAAATAAAATCAGCGGGCACTGCGGCCTATAAGATTTTAAATATCTTACCCTTTGATCAGGGCATTACTTGAGAACAAAGTCATAACATAATAAAGTCCATCTTTGTGTCCGTTGCTTTTAAATGAATCAACAATTGCTTCTCAAGCATTCTGATGGTGATGTGCTGACTAGGATAAACTTCCTAAATCACGAAATCCGTCTCTGGGCCGAGACCCACCCTCTGCACCCAATAGCAAGCAGTGCCAGCAGCAACGCTTCTGCTCTTTGGTCGATCCTGTTATCCAGGGGTATCGTGGTGAAATTGCTGGAATTAAAATGCCTCTCAAAAGCATTTTTTGCACCAAATTAAGCTCTGGTGTAGTTAGTCCTTTATCGATTAAGTCCAACTTTTCTTTAAAAGTTAATCTAGAAAACGGTATGGATAATAAATTAACAGTAATGTCCTCCTCACTAACAGTAACGTTACTCTTGAATTCCGAACCAACAAGCCAGCTAGCTTTTTATCGCTAACTTCGTCCCACAACGGGCACCCATGTAGAGAGAAGATATGATTGGTCAGTTTTACTGTCATTTGAAATGGGTATCTCATTGAATTACTATTGCCCTCTGTAAATTTAAAGCTGGACAACCAATCACTAACATATCGCCTAGGTTCCCCTCTAGGTTCTATATAGAACCTTTTTAAAAATGGTTCTATATATAGCACCAACATAGGTTCTTCTATTGTTACAAGCTTCACACTGTATCTATAGTAGAACCCTTTTTTGATGCAATATATTACCATATACACCACATTCTCAGTCAATTTGAAGAATGATTTCACCATATCAAGAACCATTTAAGCATGCAATATAGAACCATTGTCTTTACCAAAGAACTGTTGAAGATCCATCTTTTCAAAGGTTGTATTTAAAAGACTTTGCATTGCATCTATGGAAATTGGACAGCTAGCACCATTCTCAGACAGTGAGAAGTCTCAGAACAAGAGTTGTTCATGAGTTTTGTTTGTGAAGCAGTACATACCGCACCACAAACTTCTGAGAACCCATACAAACCCCCCAACCCCCCACAAACCTCTGGAAACCCTACAAAACTACTGCAAATGTCTAGGAATCCCTACAAGCCCCTGAAAACCCCTACAACCCCATACAAACCTCTGGGAACCCCTACAAAACACATCTACAAACATCTGAGAACCACTACAGACCACACAAAAACTCATACAAACATCTGAGAACCACTACAAACCCCACAAAAAACTCATACAAACCTCTGAGAACCCCTACAAACACCTGAGGACCACTACAAACCTCACAGAAACCCCTACCACCCTCACAAAAAACCCTACAAACCCATAAGAACCCCTATAAACTACTACAAACCTCTGGGAACCTCTACAAAACACCTACAAACCTCGGGGGACCCCTACAAAACACGTACAAACTTCGGAGATCCCCTGCAAACTTCTGAGAACCCCTCCAATCTCCTACAAACTGAAGAACCTTGTTCTTTCTGGCTCAAATGGTGTGTTTTTGCTTCAAAACATGTTTGTTTTGCTGCTGACTCAAGTGTGTTTTGAGTCAGCACGGTAATTGACCGTATGCTGCAGATGCAGCAGATGCAGATCAGGATGAAAAATGCTGGCGAATTCCTCTAGGTTTCTGTGATTGGTTAGATTTTGTCTCCAATAAATGGTAAGTACTACTCAGCTATCTTTCTGAGTGGGCGTGTGACGTCTGTCGGCGGGCTAAAATTACAGCACACCACTACTTACAGTGTAAAACACACATACACACACCCAGCACATGCATAGATACACTCCGTGGTGTTAGTGTGTGGAGACAGGCGGTGTGTTGCTGGTGCGGCTGTGCTGAGGCTTTAGCCTAACTAGCCATCAGACTTGGCCTTCAGTCCCACAGGCCTGAGAACTCAACCGTGAACCCCAAAGGTCATGGTTTCAATCCCACTGGAGAACATCCAGCTACTGCCAGTGTGCTCTAGCGGACACTGTCTTAACTCACGCTCTGCTTAGAGGAGGAGTGTCCTGCTCCAGTTTTCAAGGCTCTTGGCCTGTTTCCCTGCTCAAGTGCACCCGATTTCAGCAGGCATGCTCAAGAAGGGAAATCGCCAAAATGTACCCGACTAAAGGCCTCCAGAAAAACCCTTGGAGCCCCCTGTTCTTGAGAAATTACCCTTTTGCTGCACTGGAGTATACAGCACTTACCCTCACACTCTAGAACACAATGCTTGCCCTATCGCTCTGGAAATTTATGTTCTGCTGCTCAGAACACCCACTACTCTGGATTACAGTACGTGGAATAATTAGGCAACATTCTGGCAGACTAAATCAAATGTCCTTGGGCCCCACTTTGGGCATCACTGCTCTAGAGTGCAGTATGTTAACTTGTCTGCTCTGATGCAGTACCTAGAGTAAAATATTAGCCCATACATTCAGAGTGCTTAATCTCTGCTGCTCTAGAGTGCTCTACTCTTCTAGAGTGTTGTTTTTCAGTTCCAGTCAAGGGGACCCTCTACCCTGTACAGTCTCCAGCATCCCCTGCCTCAACACATTTGGTCCAGCTGATGAAGGGCTTGATAAATAGGTGACATAACAAATCATGTGTTCTGCTCTAGAGTGTGGCACTTTACAGACCTGCTGCTCTAGAGTGTAATGCATTAAAAATCTAATGCTCCAGAGTGTGTTTTGGTAAAAACCTGCAGCTCTAGACTGCAGTATGTAAAAAAACCCAGCTGTAGAGTGTGATATGTTAAAAAAAACTTGCTGCTCTAGACTGTGATATGTAAAAAACGTGCTGCTCTAGAGTGTGTTATGCTAAAAATCTGCTGCCCTAAAATGTGGTCCATTATAGACCTATTACTCTAATGCAGTGCATTAAAAATCCTGCTGCTCTTGAGTGCATTTTGTTGCAACCCTGCTTATCTAGATTGGCCTATGTGAAAAATATGCTGCTCTAGAATGCTGTACACTGCGATGGACTGGCGACCTGTCCAGGGTGTATCCTGCCTTCCGCCCAATGACAGCTGGGATAGGCTCCAGCGCCCCACCGCGACCCAGAAGGATAAGCGGTTTAGATGATGGATGGATGGATAGAATGCTGTACATATGCTCTATAGCAATGTGGCGAAAATCTCTTGGAGTGCATTTTGCTGACAACCTGTATGTTAAAAGCCTGTGGTATGTTAACAACCTGGTGCTCTAGAGTGCAGTATGTTAAAAACCTGCTACTTTAGGGTGCGGCATGATTTAAAACCTGCTGCTCTAGAGTGCAGCATGTTAAAAAACTTGCTGCTCTAGAGTGCATTATATTAAAAATCTGCTGTTCTAAGGGGATATGTAAAAAAACCTGCTGCTCTAGAGTGCTGTATGTTTACAACTTGTTGCTCTAGTGTTCACTACATTGAAAATCTGCTGCCCTAGAGCTCAGTTTGCTGAAAACCTGCTGCTCTAGAGTGCAATATGTCTGGCTTTGCTAGAGTTCAGCACATAAATGCTTATTACTGTAGAAAATTATACCTAAAAAACACACTCCTCTAGACTATGAAACATGAACATACATTTCCCTAGAGTTTAGTACTGAGAGACCCTCTGCTCTGGAGAGCGGTTCTTATGCGGCTGGACGGAATCGTCTGCTCTGCGGGCTGCTCTAGAGGAAGGTGCACAGTGGACCGAACTTTAATCAGTTTATCAGAGTGATGTGGAGCCAAACTGTGGGTCGTGTCTGAGGCCTTTCCTGAGCCTGAGCCACGCGCGGCTCTGTTTGGCCCTGACGCTCCGTCCTCCAGCTGGGTAAATTCCTCTAACGTCTGGCTGTCTGACCACGCTGAGGAGAATTAGCAGACGCCGCCCTCCCCTTTCCCTCCCTCCCTCTCTCTCTCTCTCTATGTCTTTCTCTCCTTCCTGCTCTTACTCTCACATTCTCTTTTCCTGTCAGCCTCCCTTCTTTCTCTCTTCATACCCCTCTATCTGTCTCTTTCCATCTTTCCATCTTGCGCTCCCTTTCTCTTTCTATGCTTTTTCACTATTTTTCTTTCTTATGTGCTGCTCTGCTAATCTCTGTCTCTTACTTCTCTTCACTCCCTACTGCTCTTATTTATCACCCAGTGTGTGTGTGTGTGCGTTTAAGGACTGCATTCCTGTGTGTAAAGTTATTTGGCTGCCACACGTTTGCTGTGTACTCCATATTTTTTAGTGTTTCTCTCGACACTGAATGTGTGTGTTAGAAATAGCCTATGTCTGTGTGTCTGCCTACGTCTGTTAAACTGTAATTCACAGCTATAAGAGAGTTGATGTAATTGACATGTGCTGAGGCCGTGTGCCAAACCACACGCACATGCACACGCTCCACACATGTACCAGTCTCACATACACTCAGGAGTAACACGTGTCTGTTTTATATTTCCGATACATGTCAATACACGTGTGTGTCTGTTTCATATTTGGTTCAGTGACAAATAAAGCTTTCAAAATGATAATTCCAAAAATTCATAAATTATTAAATAAAAAGGATGTGATGTGCATCATTATCTACAAGAATTTATTCGGTGTATTATTTGTTCTATAGCTTTCATAATAGTATAAACAGGATAATCAATTTTACCACTTAAAATGGCGCAACCACATATTAATGAAAAATATTATTCATTAAATTTACTTATGACTGTCTTTGTAGTCATCGTACTCTGACATAGACACCTTTTGTTCTTGAACTCACACATTTTTAAGGCTTTCCTGGAGTCACACCAGCTCCCATGGTAAACTGGTCCAAAAAAAAATGTTCCTCAAGGGTTCTTTAGTAAAGACAATGGTTCTATATAAAATCATGAACACTCAAAGAATCATTTGCATGATTAAATGATTTTTTTCACATGGTGAAATGGTTATTTAGATTGATAGAGAATGTGCTGTAGATGGTTCTATATAGAACCTTTTTGAAAAGAGTTTTACTTACCCTGCCTCAACTTCCTGTAATCCGTCTGAAAGTTTTTCACGTTGAAACCATGGTTTAGTTTGATCCGGACTAAGACCACCTCTTTTGGTCAGGCCAAATTTTGGTCTAAGGTATCTTTTGTACTATTTTTATTTGGACTAAACTGAAAGTCTGAAGGTCTGGTCCAAACAAGGTAGAAGTGAAAGCACCCTAAAGTAAGATATCAGAAAGTTTATACAGTGTACAGAACCCAAACCTGAGCCTGATGCTCTGGAGTCACTGAGGGCTCTAATGCTGCGCTCACATGTTTGTGTAAAAAAAAAAAGGTCATTCTGTACCTCACAGCGGTACGTGGCCGACAGCAGCATGAAGCCATGCAAACGTTGCCATGCACCTAAAAAAACGTTGCCAGCACCCAAAAAAAGAGTGAAATGGTTCTTCAGATTGATGGAGAATGTGATGTAATGGTTCTATATAGCACCAAAAGGGTTTGTCTATCGTCACAATGTCAAGCTTGTAAAAATAGAAGAACTCTTTTTCAAAAAGGTTCTATACGGACCCATATACCGTGCCTAAGGAACCATATGCTGCACAAAAGGAACCTTTGAAGAGCCATGTGCAAGTGTAACTCAAAAATACCCACTTTTTCTTAAAAGTATGTCAAATAATAACAACAACAATTTATTTTGAATTTTATATTTCATTTTTTTAACTAAGACCCTTTTTAATAGTTTACCTGATCTGCATATATGTTTGGATGGTTGCACCACCTGACATTTTCACATTTTATTCACTTCATTCAAATGCACACATCATTTCTACATGACTAAATTATGTTGATATGTTTTACTCGTGTGGAAACTATGTACACATTTGAGTCGAGCAAATTCAGTGCATCAGTTTATATGATTGTGTGTGTTCAAACAGACATTTTTATATTATTTTAAAGCATATTTGTGCCTCTGTGTTTGTGGGTGCAGACGTGGACGAGTGCCAAGCCATTCCTGGTCTCTGTCAGGGAGGGAACTGTATCAACACCGTCGGCTCGTTCGAGTGCAAGTGCCCCGCTGGACACAGATTCAACGAGATCAGCCAGAAATGTGAAGGTGAGTTCCTTTGACAGACCTGTGATCTTCTCTGTCTCTGCTCATTCTCTGCTCAAATGGTAATGCTGCTGAAATTATCATCTCAGGTGAGACTCATGCCTGGTTGCCTTGTACCATTCCTCACCCCCCTCCTCTTTATGTAACACCATGGGATCCTTTACCCACCCTGGCGTAAAGAGCCAGTGGGCGTCTGTGCTTTTAAATGCTTTGAGTGACTCTCCAGAATAGGGAGAGGGGTTGAGTATGAGATAAATATAAATGTCAGGAAAACGCAAATTTGGTAGCTTTCCCCCAGTTTAAGTGGGAGTTCAGGGGAAGCTGTATAAGGTTGTTTCTCTTCCAAAGTAAGGTGAGTAATTTTAGCCATCTTTCACCTCTAGTTATGTTTGTGCTGAGCAGCAAACCCAGAAATTCTGTCCCAAATATGGCGGCAATGACAGAAAAATCTCGTGCCTGAAACTCTAGGATAGTGTGATTTATTGTAGTGTGAGTTAAGAAGTTATTTGTATTGAAGTCACAAAAAGATGTTAGTTAGTAGGGCTGTCATGGACTGGGGTTTAGGGAACCAGCCTTGTGACTGGAAGGTTGTCGGTTTGATCCCTTGAGCCAACAGTACCTAGCTCCCAACTGCTGGATAGGGCTGCCCACTGCTCCGGGCAAGTGTGCTCACTGCCCCCTAGTGTGTGTGTTCACTAGTATGTATATGGTGTTTCACTGCACAGATGGGTTAGATTACGGAGGTGAAATTTCCCCGTTGTGGGACTATTAAGGGTCTCTCAATCTTATTGGTTATAGTTATTGGCACAGAAGGTCTATATGTGGAATAACATGCCTGGAGTTTAAGGTGCTGCAGACTGCACTCATTTTCTTTCAGTGAGCTCTTTCTTTCAAGTTCCCAGCTCAGTCGCAGAGATGTGTAGTTCTGCATACAGGCGCTGAACTCAGGACTGGACAGATTGTTGTTCTTGATTTCTTCTTCTGAAGACAGATGGAGGTGTGTGTAAAAAGCTGTTTCTGTCGAGTTTAGAGAGAACCGCACTGCAGGTTTATTGATGGTGTTTGAGCTGAAGAAGTGAGTTGGATTTGATCTGGCCCAGTTCAGGCCTTAAATTAAACCCAATTAGAGCCTTCTAGTTTATGAAACGTCTGTGTTTAAACTCTCGCTGGCCGGGTGGGCGCGTAGCTATGAAAGGAAGGTTGGGCTGCATGTGTGTGGGTGTGGTTGTTAATTTGATGCTGCAGAATTGAGAGGCACTTCATAGACGTGATTCTGCTGCACGAGCAGCTTGTTTAGCACTTGCTTTTTTTTTTTTTGAACAATAGAATACCTTTTTATTTTATCTAGTATCTCTTTTTTATTTTAGCACAGAGGAAGCTAGAACTGGGTGGTCTAGGATTGGTTGGTGTGCCAGAAGAACTGGTCAGCGTATCGGTTATGTGTTTGGCAGGTTGCTGGTTCTGGTTTTACATGTAGCAGCCTGTTGGTTCTGGTTCTGTTGTTTGCAGGTTGGTGGTTCTGGTGGTTGTGTGGTTAGTAGATTGCTCTGGGGGTTGTATGGTTGGCAGGTTGTTGGATCTGGTGTTTCTGTGGATAACACATTGTTGGTTCTGTTGGTAGGCTATTGATTCTGGTGGTTGTTTGTCATTGTCAGGGTGTTGGCTCATGCAGTTCTGTGGTTGGCAGGATGTTTGGTCTGGTTCTCTGATTGGCAGCCTGTTGATTTTGGTACTTGTTTGTTCTGGTGGTTGCATGGTTGGCAGGCTGTTTGTTCTGGTGGTTGTATCATTGGCAGGCTGTTTGTTCTGGTGGTTGTATGGTTGGCAGGCTGTTTGTTCTGGTGGTTGTATGGTTGGCAGGCTGTTTGTTCAGGTGGTTGTATGGTTGGCAGGCTGTTTGTTCTGGTGGTTTTGTTGTTGGCAGGGTGTCTGTTCTGGTGGTTTTGTGGTTGGCAGGCTGTTTGTTCAGGTGGTTGTATCGTTGGCAGGCTGTTTGTTCTGGTGGTTTTGTTGTTGGCAGGGTGTTTGTTCTGGTGGTTGTATCATTGGCAGGCTGTTTGTTCTGGTGGTTGTATGGTTGGCAGGCTGTTTGTTCTGGTGGTTGTATGGTTGGCAGGCTGTTTGTTCTGGTGGTTGTATCGTTGACAGGCTGTTTGTTCTGGTGGTTTTGTTGTTGGCAGGGTGTTTGTTCTGGTGGTTTTGTTGTTGGCAGGGTGTCTGTTCTGGTGGTTGTATGGTTGGCAGGCTGTTTGTTCTGGTGGTTGTATGGTCGGCAGGCTGTTTGTTCTGGTGGTTGTATAGTTGGCAGGGTATTTGTTCTGGTGGTTGTATGGTTGGCAGGCTGTTTGTTCTGGTGGTTTTGTGGTTGGCAGGATGTTTGTTCTGGTGGTTGTATCATTGGCAGGCTGTTTGTTCTGGTGGTTTTATGGTTGGGCAGGCTGTTTGTTCTGGTGGTTGTATCATTGGCAGACTGTTTGTTCTGGTGGTTGTATCGTTGGCAGGCTGTTTGTTCTGGTGGTTGTATAGTTGGCAGGCTGTTTGTTCTGGTGGTTGTATGGTTGGCAGGCTGTTTGTTCTGGTGGTTGTATAGTTGGCAGGGTATTTGTTCTTGTGGTTGTATGGTTGGCAGGCTGTTTGTTCTGGTGGTTTTGTGGTTGGCAGGCTGTTTGTTCTGGTGGTTGTATCATTGGCAGGCTGTTTGTTCTGGTGGTTTTGTTGTTGGCAGGCTATTTGTTCTGGTGGCTTTGTGTTTGGCAGGCTGTTTGTTCTGGTGGTTGTATCATTGGCAGGCTGTTTGTTCTGGTGGTTTTGTTGTTGGCAGGGTGTTTGCTCTGGTGGTTGTATCATTGGCAGGCTGTTTGTTCTGGTGGTTGTATCGTTGGCAGGCTATTTGTTCAGGGGGTTGTATAGTTGGCAGGGTATTTGTTCTGGTGCTTGTCTCATTGGCAGACTGTTTGTTCTGGTGGTTGTATAGTTGGCAGACTGTTTGTTCTGGTGGTTGTATGGTTGGGCAGGCTGTTTGGTCTGGTGGTTGTATTGTTGGCAGGCTGTTTGTTCAGGTGGTTGTATGGTTGGCAGGCTGTTTGTTCTGGTGGTTGTATTGTTGGCAGGCTGTTTGTTCAGGTGGTTGTATCGTTGGCAGGCTGTTTGGTCTGGTGGTTGTATCGTTGGCAGGCTATTTGTTCTGGTGGTTGTATAGTTGGCAGGCTGTTTGTTCTGGTGGTTTTGTGGTTGGCAGGCTGGTGGTTTTGTGTTTGGCAGGCTGTTTGTTCTGGTGGTTTTGTGGTTGGCAGGCTGTTTGTTCTGGTGGTTGTATCATTGGCAGGCTGTTTGTTCAGGTGGTTGTATCATTGGCAGGCTGTTTGTTCAGGTGGTTGTATCGTTGGCAGGCTATTTGTTCTGGTGGTTGTATAGTTGGCAGGCTGTTTGTTCTGGTGGTTGTATCGTTGGCAGGCTGTTTGTTCTGGTGGTTGTATCATTGGCAGGCTGTTTGTTCAGGTGGTTGTATCATTGGCAGGCTGTTTGTTCAGGTGGTTGTATGGTTGGCAGGCTATTTGTTCTGGTGGTTGTATAGTTGGCAGGCTGTTCTGGTGGTTGTATCACTGGCAGGCTGTTTGTTCTGGTGGTTGTATCACTGGCAGGCTGTTTGGTCTGGTGGTTGTATCATTGGCAGGCTATTTGTTCTGGTGGTTTTGTGTTTGGCAGGTTGTTTGTTCTGCTGGCTCTGTAGTTAGCAGGTTGTTGGTTTTGGTTCTCTGTTAGGCAGGCTGTTGGTTTTGGTTCTCTGTTAGGCAGGCTATTGGCAGGCTATGGTTCATTGGCAGGCTGTTTGTTCTGGTGGTTGTATAGTTGGCAGGCTGTTTGTTCTGGTGGTTGTATGGTTGGCAGGCTGTTTGTTCAGGTGGTTTTGTGTTTTGCAGGTTGTTTGTTCTGCTGGCTCTGTAGTTAGCAGGCTGTTGGTTTTGGTTCTCTGTTAGGCAGGCTGTTGGTTTTGGTTCTTTGTTAGGCAGGCTACTGGTTTTGGTTCTTTTGGTTCTCTGTTATGCAGGCTGTTGGTTTTGGTTCTTTGTTAGGCAGGCTGTTGGTTTTGATTCTTTTGGTTCTCTGTTTGGCAGGTTGTTGGTTTCAGTTCTCTGTTTGACAGGCTGTTGGTTTGGGTTCTTTTGGTTCTCTTTAAGGCAGGTTGTTGGTTTTGAATCTCTGGCAGGTTGTAGGTTTTGGTTCTTTGTTAGGCAGGCTGTTGGTTTTGGTTCTTTGTTATGCAGTCTGTTGGTTTTGGTTCTTTGTTAGGCAGGCTGTTGGTTTTGGTTCTTTTGGTTCTCTGCTTGGTAGGCTGTTGGTTTTGGATCTCTGTTAGGCAGGCTGTTGGTTTTGGTTCTCTGTTAGGCAGGCTGTTGGTTTTGGTTCTCTGTTAGGGAGGTTGTCAGTTTTGGTTCTCTGTTAGGCAGGCTGTTGGTTTTGGTTCTTTGTTAGGGAGGTTGTTGGTTTTGCATCTCTGTTTGGCAGGCTGTTGGTTTTGGGTTCTCTGTTTGGTAGGCTGTTGGCTTTGGTTCTCTGTTTGGCAGGCTGTTGGTTTTGGGTTCTCTGTTTGGTAGGCTGTTGGCTTTGGTTCTCTGTTTGGCAGGCTGTTGGTTTTGGGTTCTCTGTTTGGTAGGCTGTTGGTTTTGGTTCACTTTTTGGCAGCCTGAGAGATGCACTCTGCCCCTGCTGATCACTCTGCGATTGTGGGTACACAGGCTTTAAGTTCTGATTTAGAATGTTCTGCTAATTCATTCTGGTTCATTTGGCTTTTGTTATTTTTTTTTGGATTTTCTTAAAACAACTACAAATGTTAGAATGTTAGTGTTTGTTGCTGAAGTGTTTCCTGCTGAGCAGCTCTGGACTGCAGCTGATTTTCTTATAAAGAAAAATTTCTACCCAATAGATCACAGTGGTAAGCAGAACACTCAGTTGAAAGTTCAATTTCCCAAAATTCCCAACTTTTGCCGTCAACCGCAATCAGGCTTACTGTGAATAACTTCACCAAACCATTTATTCACCATTTTAACACAAAGCAGGAATTAAACTACAGATCAGTGATTTTTGGTATTTTGCTGGGCAGCTGTGGTCATCGGACTGAAGGTTCTGCCATCTCTCTAATGCCTGATCCTACTTTATTTAGGCTTTTCATTAATTTGCGGGATTTCTCTAAATGCCTGCTTGCCCACTCCCACTTGAAGGGGTCTGATTTCCCGCCTGCTCCCACGAGCAATACTGAAAATTAGTCCCACACCGCAAGATATTGTGGATAATCAGCCTTTTTTGCTGGCTTTTGGACAGATTACAGGAAGCTGAGGCAGGATAAGTAAAACTCTTTCAAAAAGGTTCTATATAGAACCATCTACAGCACATTCTCCATCAATCTGAAGAACTCCTTCATGATGTAAAGAACCCTTAAATAATGTAAAGGGTTCTCTGAGTGTTCATGGTTCCATGAAGAACCATTTTCTTGACCCATCAGAGCCATGTTTTTAAGAGTGTTGTTATAAGCAGAGAATCAGCATTATGAATGAAGCAGCCAATCAGAACAGAGATAACACATATAAATCAGCCTGTTAAGGGATGAGGAGAGGTTGGAAGATTTATTTCAACTGGTTTTTGGTACATAGAACCACACCAATGTCTCCAGTAGAGCTCAGGAGAAAACAGAAAACATAAAATACGAGAACAATGTAGGATACGGGACAAAAGCAATACACCCTGCAGCTGCCCAATGAGTGGCGTCTGGGCTCGGCTGACCTCTCACTGAGAGAAAGTTCTCTTGGTGTTCACAGGAGAAACAGCCCAGCCTTCACCTCCCAGCTGCCAGACACACACATACACACTCTCTCTCCAGCTGGAGTGTGTTTATAAGAACGGAGAGGGCGGCTATTTTTAGTCCCGCTCCGTTGAATTATAAGGCTCATTACTGAAGCTGTGTTTCGCTAAGGCCAGTAACGGGCACACAGAGCGCAGAGGGAGTCTCTGGACTCAAGAAAGAGCTACAGACTAGCAGACCAGCCATAACACTCACACAGACGCTCGCTGTCGTAACACACACCCTTGCCGCGAGTCCGCCGGGCTCTGAGGAGTCGGTGCGTGGTGATGATTTGAGTTGCTTGCTTCTGCCCAGAAATAATAACATGATTCTGAGAAAGCCTGCAGAACCTCAGATTGGGTTGGGTTATTTTCAAACCAGTATCTGCCGTGGTTGGACCTGTCGTGGTTCCTGGGGCGGATCAGCGTGGCTCTATCATTCTGCCACGGTTAATTTGATGTGAATATGAACTTAGACCCAGCCAGCCTCATTTACCTCAGAACTTTGAGTCTGGACCAGCAGCACTACACACCCATGACCAGATGACCCATGACCATAATACAAATTGAGTACACACTCAATAATGATGGTTCTTCAAGGGTTCTTTAGTAAAGAAAATGGTTTCATAGAGAACCATGGACACTCAAAGCACCCTGTGCATGGTTAACCCTCTGAGGTCCGCAAACTGTTTCTCTCTCTTTGTGATGATCCAGTTCAAACAGTTCCTGAATCTGTAGAGTGGCCCTTTCCATTCCATCTCATCACGAGGTCATACGTGACTCACATCCGGAGTTATGAGGCTATGAAGAGGGGCTGAGATACACGTCATCTGCCTCTCACCATGTGGAACTGGTGGATTTGTGTGTCCGTCTACATTCTGTATGAAACTGACCAATGGACAATCACTAAGGACTGACCCATCACGCCGGAAACCCTTCATTCTTCATTCAGTCCACATCAGAGACACATGTGAAATGGTGTGCAGAGTGTTTACAGCTGCTGAAGTTGCTGTAGCTGTTTTGGAAAGTAGTGATGAAGATAACGGAGCATTTCGATATGAAACATATGAGGATCATGTTATATAAAGAGCCTTTAAAGGAGAGTTTAAGAAGATATGGACAAATCGAGAGAATGGCCTCAGACCACAGAGGGGTGAATGGTTCTTTGAATCATGAAAGGGTTCTTTAACTTTGCTCTAAATGCTCTTTAGAAGCTCTCAGGACAATTATTCATGTTTTCTGGCAGTGCCCTCGAGTGAATCATCTCTGGGAAATGACAGCTTCCTTTGTCGCTGCTGTTTTAGAAGTAGATCTGCTCTTATATTAAGCTTTGTTTCCGCTCAGAGATATTCTAATATTTTATATAATATTTTATATAATATTTTAACTTGAAACCCAGACAAAAGAAAATAGTAATAGCCTCTCTGACTGCAGTGAAGAAAGTGATTTTAAAATTTTGTGCAGAACTGAGCATGCACAAGATCTAAACTTCTACATGGTACCAAAAAAGGGCTGTTTGGCTTGTAACAATAGTGGTGCTATGTAGAACCCTTTTCAAATAGGGTACATCTCAGTACCTTCAGTCAGGGAACAGTCAGAGCCCCTAAAGAGATGTGGTGTATTTTTTTAGGAACAAATCTGGTGTGCACCACATGCTGTCAAGTGTGTACCAGATACACATAGTATCCAGTCTGCACTTGATAGTATCTGGTGCTCACCTGATAGTACCTGGAGTGTGTGTCTGTGGGTGCGACACACATCAACAATCTGATTGGACGTTGCATAAAGTTCATCCAGAAGGAAAGAAGAGAGCAGAGAAATCAGAGTAAATGTGTCAGTTATGTGGGTATATTGTCGTCTCTTACCACGTTATGACACATCATGACACGCTTTTGTTTGATGTAAATTATTCAAAAAATTGTATTAAATAAGAGGTAAATCATTTCACATGTATGTGCTTCTTATTGACCGACAGTGTAGATCTTACCTTGAGCATATGGTTTTATGGACTGTAAAAGGAGAAACAGTCCAGGCTCTCTTAATTCAGTTTTTGCTTTAAAAATATATAACATTAAAAATATATAACAAAAAAAAATGTTAGGCTTCAAATGTGGTTGGGTGTATGGGTTGTGATTTGGTGCTGATACATGCTCACTGTCCCATAATGCATTGCATTCAGATATACATCTCACTGCAGTGGTGAGGGTCGTACTCGCAGTAGTTGCCAGTTTATCTCACATTCCAAAAATGTGTATTTATTTTATTCCTGTATGAAACCTCACATCTCTTTTTTTGTCATTTTCCAGTTTTTGATATAATGTGAAAATGCCTTTTGTCCTTTGTACACTGTATGTAAATTTCATGATGTTCGGCCCAAAACCAAACAGCCCAAAATTGCTTGGAAAAAAGTCAAGTTCCATTGACTTGCATTAAAAGTTAAGGATGTTTTTGCTATTTTGAAGATACAAGATTTCGTTCCGTTCTTGTTCCGACAGCAGTGTTATTGTTTTTCTCATTCCCTCTCGCTCTGCTCCTCTCTCCATTTTCCAGACATTGACGAGTGCTCGAACATCCCAGGCTTGTGCAGTGGTGGCGAATGCTCCAACACCATCGGCAGCTACTTCTGCAGGTGTCCTTTGGGATTTGACACTGCTCTGGACGGGTCACGCTGCATTGGTGAGTTTTCGGCCCAGAACAAAAAACAATCAAACCTCACCGAACAGAATTTTTAAGGCACAGAGGGTCTCTGGCGTGAATAAGGGGGATTCACATTGTTTCTAAACTGCAGTATGCTTCAGTCTTCTATGTTTTAGCATATAAGAAGCTAGTTGGCTAATGCTGTCCTGCTTTTTTGTTCATGCTAAACTCGATTTGTGAAATCAGTGACTGCATGTTTACAACCTGCATGTTTTTGTCCTTAATGGATTTCTGTGAAGCTGCTTTGTGACAACATCAGTTGTAAAAAGCGCTATACAAATAAATTTGACTTGACTTGACTTGACAACCGTCACTGAAGGCCTGCCCGCAGATTTATATGATTGGTCAGCACAGAAAAAGCTGACAGGATATAGGCTACTTGAACATGTTTCTGCTCAGGGTACCAAAAGGGCTTTGCAGAAAAAGCTTTTTATTATTAAACATTTTAACAAAAAAATAAAAAAAAAAACAGAACTATGGTTGCTAAACTGTATTTTCAGGAGGTAATAGTTGTTGTACTTAAACAGTCCACGCATTACTCTTATAGTTTTATATGATTCTTGCACAGGCCATGAACTGCATATTGTGCTCATAGTGTGTTGCACCAACAGGGAGTAAATTGAACAGAGTTTGGAGCTAATCAAGTATTTGTTAATCTAGGTTTTATTTTAAACTTGTTGTGTTGCACCACTTAATTTTAAACATGGATTAACAAATTTGTGATTAAAACCTTAATTTGCGATTAAAACCCTGACTTGACATTAATTTTGATTGTTTGTCATGATGGATTCAGCAGTATTAATAAACAGCAACAAGATTATTCTCGACACTGATCGTTATCTATATTATTTCATTTTAAGTGAAAACTAGCACAGAACTACATCAAAGACAGCTCTCACAGCAAAGAAGGAATTCAGATATTTATATATTGTACTGTTATTAGACTTAGCATCAGAGGAGCCATATAGCTCATATACAAAACTCATTGGTCATTTGAATTTAAATGTAAATAGAAACTCTAATTTGAGATTAAATTTAAAATCATTAAATCATAATGCAGAAATCCTGACTTTATGAGTTGGAATATTATTAGAGGCGCCTGTTAGCTCTCTGTGCTGGTCACAGACCCATTAAAAGAAAATAACATTCCTACTTAGCATATATTTAGCATGTGTTTAGACATTTACTGGATATAAATGTAATTTGTAATGTCAAACGCATGCACATTCATGTGATCCTGCTGGTGTGGGTTTCTTCTTTTTCAGTGATTATACACAAAAGCTGTAATTTGAGTGCTTATAGTGCCCCCTTGTGGAGAATCCCCAATATGCTAACAATATGCTATATATATATATATATATATATATGTTTTCCAGAGAACGCTTTTGTAAATTTAAATCACCTCAGCTAGACGTTTAAATCTAATCTCTCATTAAAGTAGTAGAACAACAGGATTACATTTAATTTGGGTGTACTGGAAAACTAAAACCAAGATTAAAATGATGGTTTAAATTTAATCCTGAAGATTTTTTAAAAGTTTACCAGCTGGATCAATAGAAAAACCTTCTTTTTAAATTTATATTTAAGCTTAATCTGTGTTGGTGCAGCCCATCCACAGTCTAATAGCATTACTATTATATTAGACATGATAATTGATGATTATTGATTATTACAGTAGACATGCAGGAGTCTGTGTGTTAGAGTGAGTGAGTGAACTATACAGCAAATACAGAGGTAACAGTAGAGCTCAGGCTCTCCCAGCATGCCCTGCTCTGTGTTATTGTTGGACAGCAGGTAGGAAGATCAGGCCATGTGCAGGTCAGCAAGGTCAGGGTTAAACCATCAACTCTTTCTTAATAATCACACGCTTCCTCTAATTCTTGACCCCTCTGTAACTGAACACACACACTCACATGTGCACATGCACACACACACACACACACAGGTTAGAACAGTGCTGAATCCTTTCCAGAATCCCGTGCAGCAGAATTTAGGTCAGTAGTCGGGCGTTGGTGATTTTCACAACAATGAGCTCTTTTCTATCCATGAGCTGAGTTAGAGAGAGAGAGTGAGAAAGTGAGGGGGATGAGAGAGGAGAGAGAGGAAGGAAAAAAGATAGAGAAATGCAGGGAGAGAGAGAGGAGAGTCAAGGGGATAGATGTTGGTGGGAAATATGACTCATTCTGCTCCTGAAATACCCCTCGTTTCTCTCTCTATCTATCTGGAGGTTGTGGGAGATTTCTCTCTCTCTCTCTCTCTCTCTCTCTCCCCCACTGAGATCATATTTATAGTCTTCATTTTTCAAGGCCACGTTCACAAGGACATATTGGTACAGCTCACATCACAATCTAAAGATCTAGAACAGCTCATGTTCAGAGCTACACAATACAACTGTAAAGATCTAGAACAGCTCACGTTCAGAGCTGCACAATACAACTGTGAAGATCTAGAACAGCTCACGTTCAGAGCTGCACAATACAACTGTAAAGATCTACAACAGCTCATGTTCAGAGCTACACAATACAACTGTAAAGATCTAGAACAGCTCACGTTCAGAGCTGCACAATACAACTGTGAAGATCTAGAACAGCTCACGTTCAGAGCTACACAATACAACTGTGAAGATCTAGAACAGCTCACGTTCAGAGCTGCACAATACAACTGTAAAGATCTAGAACAGCTCATGTTCAGAGCTACACAATACAACTGTAAAGATCTAGAACAGCTCACGTTCAGAGCTGCACAATACAACTGTGAAGATCTAGAACAGCTCACATCCAGAGCTGCACAATACAAATGTGAAGATCTAGAACAGCTCACACCCAGAGCTGTACAATCCAACTGTGAAGATCTAGAACAGCTCATATCCAGAGCTGTACAATCCAACTGTGAAGATCTAGAACAGCTCATATCCAGAGCTGTACAATCCAACTGTGAAGATCTAGAACAGCTAATATCCAGAGCTGTACAATCCAACTGTAAAGATCTAGAACAACTTGCATCCAGAGCTACACAATACAATTTTGAAGATCTAGAACATCTCACATCCAGAGCTGCACATTTTAACTATGAAGATCTAGAACAGCTCACATCCAAAGCTGTACAATCCTTCAGGAGTAATAGTCACAGACAAAAAGGAGACATTAGATGCTTCTGGTCCAGATACAAATTCTAATGGTTACAGCATCACAACTGAGAATGACTCCTAGTGCTGGATGAGAAATGATTCTTGGAAGAAGTTCCTGTCTGTAGTTCCGTTGCAGATAAAGATGAGCGTTACTATTTTGGAGAATGAGACTTTAATGAGTAAAGAGGAGACACGTGTGAGATTACTGGGCTCTTTTTCCCAAGACAATCTGATCTGATTGTTGTCTATATCCTTAAAAAAAGGTTCTTCAAGAGTTCTTAACACTCAGGACACTCAGAGAACCCTATGCATGGTTAAAAAGTTCTTTCCATCATGAAAGGGTTCTTTAGACTGATGGATAAAATGCTGTAGATGGTTCTATGTGGAACCTTTTTGAAAAAGGTTTTATATAATACCCAAAAGGGTTCCACTATTGTTACAAGCCAAAGAACCCTTAATTGGTACTATATAGAACCTGTTTTCCTAAGACTGTACACTCTTAAAAATCTGGTTCTTCAAGGAAAATGGATCCATAAAGAACCATGAACTCTCAGAGAACACTTTGCATGAATAAATGGTTCTTTGCATCATTAAATGGTTCTTCACACTGAGAGAGAATATGCTGTAGATGATTCTACGTGGGACCTTTTTGAAAAGGGTTGTCTGGGTGTTCATGGCTTTTTATGGAACTATTTTCTCTACCAACGAACACTTGAAGAACCAGCTTTTTAAGAGTGTACAATCTTATAGATGGTTCTTCAAGGGTTCTTGGTAAAGAAAATGGTTCCATGAAGAAACTTGAACTCTCTGAGAACCCTTTGCATGATAAACGTGTTCTTTACATCATGAAAGCGTTCTTCAGATTGATGGAGAATGTGCTGTTGATAGTTCTATATGCAATCTTTATGAAAAGCATTCTATATAGCACTGAAAAGGGTTCCACTATTGTTACAAGCCAAAGAATTCTTGTTTGGTACTACATAGAACCTGTTTTGCTAAGAGTGTACACTCTGAAAAAGATGGTTCTTCATGGGTTCTTTAGTAAAGAACCATCTACGGCACATTCTAACGAACCCTTTCATGATGGAAAGGTTCTCTGAGTTTTCATGCCTCTTTATGGAACCATCTTTTTGGTGTAGTGTGTTCAACAATCAGATTGTCTGCATTCAGACATTAGGATGGGAAAGTCCAAAAAGGACTGAAGAACCACAGTGTGAGCGCAGCGTTTACACAGGAAGCACATGGTCTGTGGGAATTGAATGTGAAGGGTTCTATCTGAGGTCACATGTTCTTAGCCTGAGAAAGATCTATGCAGTGGAGACACAGAGAGATGAACAAACTCCCATCTTCATCAGGTTGTCTCTCTCTCTCGCTCTTTCCCCTCTCTTTCAGCCCGCTGTGAGAGTTTGATGACCCTGTAGAGAGAGAATATGAATTTCTGGCCAAAACCTTCTTCCAAACATGCAGCCAGACCTCCACCCCCCGTCCAAACTTCTTTCCCCCTCTCTCTATCTCTCTATGTATTTCTCTCTCTCTCTCTCTTTTTCTCCTTTCCTCAGAGCTAAAGTGGGTCAGGGATCTTCAGCTGATGTTGTCTGGCTCTGGGTTTTCAAGAGGATGTTTGTGTGGAAGGAATGCGTGCTATGAACTTAAACTCTGCTAAACACTAAACGCCCCTCTCTTTCTCTCTCTTTCCCTCTCTTTCTCTCTCTTTCTCCCACCGCCTGTGCTTAAATTCAGGATTGTCTGCACATTGCTGAGCAGTTAGGCTGGAATAGTGAAATAATAATCTGTGTGTGGGAGAGAGTTTAGTTGGCTGTGCTGGTGTAATGTGAGAGGCAGTTCAGTGCTAACGTTTTCTCTCGCCCTGTGTAGATGCCCGCTCAGGATTTTGCTATGACAGCCTTATAAACGGTCGTTGCGCAAACCTGAATGCCCAGCGCATGACCAAGAGCCAGTGCTGCTGCAATATCGGCCGCTGCTGGGCTGGAACCACCATACCTGAGATGTGCCCCATCCGTGGAACAGGTATACATCCACATATGCCTGATACAGGTGTACATAGAACTGCTACAGGTATATGTATACACACTACAGGTGTACATATAACTACTACAGATATATGTATACATGCTACAGGTGCACATATAGCTACTACATGTACATATATACATGCTGCTGGTGCACATATATGTGATACAGGTGCACATATACCTGTTAGAGGTACATTTGTACATGCTACAGGTGCACATTTAACTACTACAGTGACATATATACATGCTACAGGTGCACATATAACTATTACAGGTACATATATACATGCTACAGGTGCACATATACTTAATATAGGTGTACCTATACCTGTTGTAGGTACATATATACCTGCTAGAGGTGCACCTGTGCCTACCACACATACACACATACACATACAACTGACACACCTGTACCTGCTGCAAGTGCACATATATGTGGTCCAGGTACATATATCTGCTATACATATACCGTAAACATATACTGGCTAAAGGTCCACGTATACCTGCAACAGGTACATGCATAACTGTGCACGATGCACATTCACTTGCTACAATTCATATATAGTTTCCACAGGCATACATATACCTGTTATAACTGTACATACAGCCACTTGCAAAAGGTTGGGCATCCCTGGTTACATTCCATGTTTTTGTTGCTTTTCTAAGTGTAAATAAGTGAACACTACAGGTGCACATAGTACTGTTACAGGTGCACATATACCTGCTACAGGTATCAGGAATCAGTTGTATTATCATTATTTTTTTATTTTATATGCAACAACAGCTTATTACAAAGACAACACATCAAAATATACCTTTAGATCTTTTAATAGCCACTTTTAACATGTGAGCCATTCTAGATATTCATTTTATTAGAACCTCATTCTTGGTGTTGATTTCTTTAGAAATTCTGGATGTTAGAACTTTAACACAGAGGTGTTGAGTACAGCTATTAATTTTATTGGGACATTCTTGATGTTCTACAGTTTACTCAGTTATTTTATAATCCTCTACAGCTATGTTCATCATTCTGGACCCATTAAATGTTTCTGCATCTTTTACAGCTTCCTTAGAACTGTTTGAAACTTGTGAAGCTGTAGAGCACCAGCATCATATCAGAATAATTTTATGCATTTATATATAGCAGAATGTGTTTTATAGTATTGAAAAGTGCTGACTGTAAACTTTTGAATGAGAAATGCTTTATGAAACTTGGGAGCAGTCTATGTGTATGTATGGAGTGTGGGTGGAGACAAAGGGAAAAACAAGAAAGAAAAGAAAGGCTAAACAGGAAAACAAAACCAGGAGACTGGGAGAACTTTAAAACAATGGACAAACAAATGAAACTCAACTGACTGCTAAACACATAAATGAATACATGAAACTACAGTCTGTGAACAAACATCAGACAACACCAAGAAAGGAACAGGAGAGACACATGGGGTATAAATACTGGGGAAAGGATCACGTGGGACTAATGAGAGGGCTGAACTATAGACAACACACAGGTAAGACAGATAATAAGCGGCGCTTTTCCACCACATGGTACGGCTCAACTCGACTTGACTCTATTGGCATTTGGTACCTGCTATTTTGTTTTCCACTGCAGATATAGCACCTCCTCAATGTAGCTGGTCATCATAGTGATGCCACATGAAACTGCTGTGACATGAAGGAGACCACTTTTGTTCAGAAGAGGCTGATGGCAGAGAGACTGAAGCCTGCTGAAAAAACAGGAGAGTTTGGGAAAAACTAGTTCAGACAACGAGACGATTCTGGTGCTCAAAGTCGACGCGAGAGGCTACGCTAACCTGGTAGCTAACATTAGCATATGTGTTTAAGGTGATAGTTTTGATTCTCTCCAACCAATCAGCAGTCTGTTTTTAAGTCACCTTTTGGTGTTGGCTCAGCTCGCTTGGAACCTCGATGAAGGTGATACAAAAAATAGTACACTTTTAGAAAAGATGGTGTTTCAGCTTAGTCAAGAAAATGGTTCTATATAGAACCATGAACACTCAGAGAACCCTTTGCATGATTATAAGGTTCTTTGCATCATGAATGGGTTCTTTGGATTGATGGAAAAAGTGCATGAATGTGCTATAGTCAGTTCTATCTAGAACCTTTTTAAAAATGATTCTATATAGCATCCCAAAGTTTGACATAGTAACAACCCTTTTGGGTGCTGTATAGAATCATTTTCAAAATGTTCTATATAGAACCATCCACAGCGCATTCTCCATCAGTCAGAAGTACTTCTTTGAGTGTCCATGGGTCTATATAGAACCATTTTCTTTACTAAAGAACCCTTGAAGCACCATATTTTTGGTACCAGGTACCAGTTTAGCCTAAGAGAATGGTGAGTTGACTTGAGTCGAGCAGGTACCATGCAGTGGAAAAGAGTCTAAAGAGGCAACGGAGGAGACAGAAACCAAAACATACAAGGGAAGATAAACAACGGCGGAAACAGAGCACGGATGTAAGAATACATGTGTATATGTAGCTGCTACTGTGCAGTGGTAGACGAAGTACACAAACCATGTACTTGAGTTAAAGTAGAGATGCCCAAGGTAAAATATTACTGCAGTAAAAGCAGAAGTTCCTCCCTTTAGACCTCCATTTGAGTAAAAGTACAAAAGTATTTGCCTTCAAATGTACTTAGGTATTGAAAGTAAAAGTATTTAAAGATTAATTATGGCTCTGACGTCCTATTATCTTTTTTGTAACAAGACTTTTGCTTCATTAACCCATTTTACGAGAAAATACTCTGGTGTCACTCTTGGTAAACCAGTCTTTTAATAGAATGTCATTAATTAGTGACACTGATGTCTATTATCATAAGAACAAAACACTGAAGACAAACAATTTCCATTAAGTGGCCATGAAATAACCTTTTGCAAACAAGCAAAGTTTTAGTTTAAGATTTATTTGCAACTTAGTTACAAGTTTAATAAAACTTGCTTTAAACACAGGTTCAGAAATGAGTTTTCCTTTACTGTATTGCACCTGTAGGCCTCTGTTCATAAACATAAACTAGCAAAAACAAATTTACTATAAAATGAAAGTGTTTGTATAAATGCACAAAAAAAGAACATGCCAGTTATAACTGCATATGTGTACATATTTCTATATTGTGATCTATTTACACAAAGTTAGGTTAGTTCATCATTTATGTTGAATAGACACTCCCAAAATTTTACACTGCTGCCCTGACGTTGAACCGTGTGCTTGCACTAGGTTGGTATGACCAACAGCTCAAAACAAAGTGTGCGCTGTGCCCTGATTGGTGTTCTTGATTTGCACTTCTTTTGTTTTGACATTACGTTTTTATACACACATAAACCAAATAGAACGACACGTTTCGCATAATGTTGTGGAGTAAAAAGTAAAATATGTGACTTTGAAATGTAGTGGAGTGAAAGTCAAAAGTCAGCCAAAATGGAAATACTTCAGTAAAGTACAGATACACAAAAAACTACATTTACTTCGTTACTGTCCACCACTGCTACTGTGTCTAAATGTATGTGTGTGTTTCTGTGTGTTCTCCAGAGGAGTATCAGGTGCTGTGTCTACAGGTCCAGCCCATGGTTCCAGGGATTCCTGGGGTTCCTGGCGTTCCTGGCGTTCCTGGGGGTCCTGTAGTTACTCTTCCATTCGTTCCTCCGGTTCCTGGTCAGGTTATACCACAAGTCCCAAGCATTATTCCCTTACAACCAAGACAACCACCAGACTCTCGGGCACCCTCACGACCAGAAATATCTTTGCGCTTTCCTGGTACACACACACACACACAAACAGTTACCGTTAATATGGTTTCTACTATAGACTACTGAATTATATTAGATTACACTCTTAAAAAAGATGCTTCTTCTAGGGTTCTTTAGTAAAGAGAATGGTTTTATTTAGAACCATTAGTTTTAAATAGCTAATTCATGCCTGAATGGTTCTTTGCATGGTGAAATCATTCTTCAGATTGATGGAGAATGTGTTGTACATGATTCTATATAGAACCTCTTTGTAAAGGTTTCTATATACACACACACTGGTTCTTCAAGGGTTCATTAGTATAGAAGATGGACACTCAATGAACACTTTGCATGACTAAAGTTCTTTGCATCATGTTGTTATAAGCTTGACATCATTACAATAGTAGGACCCTTTTTGGTGCTGTATTTTCAAAAAGGTTCTATATAGAACCATCTACAACACATTTTCTATCAATCTGAAGAACACTTTCATGATGCAAAGAACTCTTTAATCATGCAAAGGGTTCTTTGAGTGTTCATGGTTCTATATAGAACCATTTACTTTACTACATTACCCTTGAAGAACCATGTGTGAGTGTAGCACCAAAATGGGTTCTAATACTGTTACAGGTTTGACCTCTGTTGTTACAAGAACCCTTTTTGGTGCTATATAGAATGACTTTCAAAACATACAACACATTGTCCATCAATCTTAAGAACCATTTCACTATGCAAAGAAGTATTTAGGCATTAAATGTCTTTATACAGAACTCATGGTCCTAAATAGAACCATTCCTTTTACTAAAGAACCATTGAAGAACCACCTTTTTTAAGAGTGTACACAAGGTTGGTACTGTAATGTAAATACTGTGGACCTGTTTGTGTCAGATTACCTCACACAGAACATCACCGCTGTGAACCTGTGTGAGACTGTGACGCACCTGTGTCCGAACGGCCGCTGTATCCCGATTCCTGGTGGATACCGCTGCGAGTGCAACATGGGCTACCAGCTAGACATTCGCGGGCAGTGTATCGGTCAGTACATGCACACACATTCACGCTGCTTTTACTGCATTTACAGACTGAGGTCTTGTACAGCTGTAAGACTCACACAGACTTACATGACTCATGAATGTAATTGCAGAACATTATAATATTCATATGGTCTGCATGCATAAATAATTATTTCATTGTGTGCGTATGTGTGTGTGCATTCAAGATGATGACGAGTGTGAGCGGAGTCCCTGTGTCCATGGGCAGTGTATGAACACTCCTGGTTCCTACTACTGTCAGTGTCCAGCTGGGTTCCAGACCACTGCTACTAGAACCGAATGCAAAGGTGAGAAACACATACACCAGTGGAATAGCCAGAATTTTATTTAAGGGGGGCCTGTTACAGATTGGGGGGTGGATAGAAAGCATTATGTCCCAGAGACATTGCTATAGTGAGGTCATTAAGAAGGCCGCGTCTCCATGTTGGCAGGTGAGCTGTAACTCTACTGTGCACTGATAGAGCTCGTCTCGTCAACGTTACTGCAGATACAGCCTTGCAGGTGGATAAACACCAACAAAACAGACCAGAATGACCACAAAAACATGAAAAGAGTGGACACTTTAGATGCATCTCCAGAAAACACTCTGAGGAGAAGATTAGCTAGGTTGGTGAACTGGATCCTTATAACCTGCACATCTCCAGGAACTGCCCACAGGACACTGTTGGCTGGAAATTTTTGGTCGGTGGACTATTCTCAGTCCAGCAGTGACACTGAGGTGTTTAAAAACACCAGCAGCACTGCTGTGTCTGATCCACTCAGACCAGCGCAACACTAACACACGACCACCACATCAGTGTTACTGCATGCTGAGAATGATCCACCACCCAAATAGTACCTGCTCTGTGAGGGTCCATGGGGGTTCCTGACCATTGAAGAATAGGGTAAAAGGGGGCTAACAAAGTATCAGAGAAACAGATGGACTACAGTCTGTAACTGTAGAACTACAAAGTGCACCTATATAGTAAGTGGAGCTGATAAAATGGACAATGAGCGTAGAAACAAGGAGGTGGTCATAATGTTATGCCTGATTGGTGTATTCCACTTACATTTACATTTACATTTACAGCATTTAGCAGACGCTCTTATCCAGAGCGACTTACAAAAAGTGCTTTGTCTATCCAGAGAAAGTATCTTTGCTAGTTACCAATAGGTTAGAGAGAAAGTCAGTCCTGAGCTCAGATACTGCTAGAATCAGAAAGTCATTATTGACACCTAGAGAAAAAGGAACAGAGTTAAACACAGAGCAGTGCAATACAATACAATACAATACAATACATACATAAGTTCATTCAAACACTTGTGCTTAGGAGACCTGATACTCCTCAAAGGCATCCAGACTTTCATGTGTTTGGCAACCATCACTTAATGTAATAAACTCAATATAGGCTAAATCCAGGACTAATTACATGGAGCAAACAATCTGTCATTCATGACAAATGTGCCTATATAGTTAGAAGAGGGGAAAACAATCCAGTCACACTAACTCCTGAACAATCTTTAAAGACAAGCCATGATTGTAAACTTAAGCTAACTTAATAAAAATATAATTAATATAATAATATAATGAAAAATAGTTACTTTAATACATTTGAATAAAGTTACGTTAACTCAAAATGTGCTAAAAAAAGATCCAACTCAAATGACTGAGTTACTATGTCAACAATTCATTTTTGAGTTACACTGTAAAAAGTGGCTCGTCAGATCAACTTAAAAAATTACTTCATGTGGTAACAAGTAAATTAACTAGTTTTAGTCAACCTAAATAAATACTTTGAATGAACAATTCTTTCAATCAAAGTAATTTTTTGAGTTGAATAAAACTAGTCCAATTTTTTTCTGACAAGCCATTTTTTACAGTGTAATTAGAATTTTTTAGATTGTTTCTCCAACTAATCACTGCAGATTGATTGAGAAGGTAAAGTTTAATTGGTAATTGTTTTAAAAAACAGTTTGATTTTAATCAGGTAGTGTTGACAACCCTAACACATCAGACACACTCACTCACACTCATGCTGTCTCTGTGTGTGCAGATCTGGATGAGTGTGTGGCTAACGGCCGCATCTGCAATAACGGACGGTGTGTGAACACGGAGGGCAGTTTCCACTGTGTGTGTAACGCCGGCTTCGAGCTCTCTTCTGATGGGAAGAACTGCCAAGGTAGCACAAACACACACACACACACACACAGTTACGTGCATGCACACCATTACATATTATCACTTACAGTACCTGTGGCTGTGCCCTGTCTAGGCTCCACCTAGAAATGTGTTCTTTCATAGTTACTGTTGTGAGGTTTGGACCAGCTTAACAGAATCACAGTACAATTTACAGTTTGTTATTAATTTAAAATGTTAGGGCTTTAATTTCACTGTTAAGATAGATCTGGTGTAGTTTTTTATGTCATCTAATTAAATATATTAAAATTATAATGGTAGTAATTTCAACATTATTGTCACTTTCAGCTGTGATTACCAATGGCATAGTTAGCATTTTAGGTTGGTTCAGTAAACAACTGACTTTAAATGTAGGTGTTGTAATATAAACTGAGTCTGTTCTACAGTTTCTTGTTAGGTTGAATGAATAACTGGTTCTAAATGTAGGTATTGTGATATAAACTGAGTCTGTTCTACAGTTTCTCATTAGGCTGAATGAATAACTGGCTCTAAATGTAGGTATTGTGATATAAACCGAGTCTGTTCTACAGTTTCTTGTTAGGTTGAATGAATAACTAACTCTAAATGTAGGTATTGTGAAATAAACTTAGTCTGTTCTACAGTTTCTCATCAGGCTGAATGAATAACTGACTCTAAATGTAGGTATTGTGATACAAACTGAGTCTGTTCTACAGTTTCTCATTAGGTTGAATGAATAACTGGTTCTAAATGTAGGTATTGTGATATAAACTGAGTCTGTTCTACAGTTTCTCATTAGGCTGAATGAATAACTGGCTCTAAATGTAGGTATTGTGATATAAACCGAGTCTGTTCTACAGTTTCTTGTTAGGTTGAAAGAATAACTGACTCTAAATGTAGGTATTGTGATATAAACTGAGTCTGTTCTACAGTTTCTCATTAGGTTGAATGAATAACTGACTCTAAATGTAGGTATTGTGATATAAACTGAGTCTGTTCTACAGTTTCTCATTAGGTTGAATGAATAACTGGTTCTAAATGTAGGTATTGTGATATAAAACGAGTCTGTTCTACAGTTTCTTATTAGGTTGAATGAATAACTGGCTCTAAGTGTAGGTATTGTGATATAAACTGTCTGTTCTACGGTTTATTGGGATTTTTTACCAGCATTCTGTATTGCTTGTCTACATTTCAGTTCCTCACACTCATAACTACAGAACCTACACATTAATTCCATAGTCAGTATTGAATCATTTTTAATAGTATTATGGGCTTGCTTATTTTATTTTTTCTCACACTTTATGCAATATAAAGTAAATTTAAACTCATTTAAATTCACACTCATAAAAAACTGTTAGTCAAAATAATGCAGTCTTTTAAAAAAAATAAATAATCACTGTGTTTGAGTATAAGGTATATTGCAATCACAGAATGCAGCAATCTTGCTTCGATTAACTGCTGACACATTGCTTTCTGTGTGTGTGTGTGTGTGTGTACGCAGATACTGATGAGTGTCAGATTAGGAACATCTGCTTGAATGGAATGTGTATTAATGATGATGGAAGCTTCAAATGCATCTGCAAAGCTGGCTATCTACTGGACGGCACTGGACGTTACTGCATAGGTACGAGACTTTACACACACACACTCATTGATACATAGGTATAAATATCAGGGTTGGGATAGCTACTGAAAAATTAGTAGTTAGCTACTTTGTAGCTACTTTCCCAAATTTTGTAGCTAGATACAATTTAGCTACTTTTCCAGAAAAAATAGTGGCTACTTTTTAGCTACTTTCAAAGCACGACTGTCAGAATGTTTGTGAATCTCCACCTGACACACCAAACAAGCCCAACTGATAATTTGGGCTTATGGGATAATGGGATAATTTGAACAAGAAGCTGGTGAATGAGAAACTGACTAAGATGTCGAACTTTGAGAGACATTTTTACTTTGCGGAAAAGTTTCCTGACTGGGATGTGAGCGAGAAAAGCGGCTACAGCTGACCTGAAGGTTAAGCAGAGCAAAGTACGTCTGCGTTTTTGTTTATATTATTTTTTTAGCCTATACTAGCACATGAGCACATACTGAGACATACTTACAGCCATGATGGTAAAACGGACATAAAATACTGTGGCTCCCAATGTGGTTTCATTTTTGTTGAAAGGATAAAATGGCTCTTCTTAACATTTCGGTTGCCGACCTGAGCTAAGCTGAGCTAAGTAAGGGGTGATCAGCGTATGGGGCGAGCGCGTAACCGTTTACTCGCACTCGTGGCTCAGTTCAGATTGCTGTCGGCACTAGCCCAGTTAACGACTGCGTTCTGTGGTTCAGATTTTGTGCAGATTGCCTGAAGCCTGTAGCGAAATTGTAGTACAAATTATCACTGTAGCTACACAAAAATTTGTAGGCGCTACAGCTATTAGCTACATTTAATAAAACTGTAGCGGCTACAGCTATTACCTAAAAAAAATTGTAGTTAGCTCCAAAAAGTAGCGTGCTACTTAGCTACTCCCCCAACCCTGATAAATATATATTGCGACTTTGTGAGGTGGTGCTGAGGATATTTAGCTCAGCGTGAGAGTGTGGTTATCTCCCCACTCCAGGCTCCTATGCTTTCATTTTTATGAGTGCAGCATGAGTCATCAGGGGGCATTAATGTTTGTTGACGCATTTGCATACTGTGACGTGTCATGGTACTTTGGTATGAAGACACATCATCCGTGCCTATAGCAGAGTTGAACCGGAGGGGCGCTGAAGAGGTGGAACTGACCACGATAAAAATTATATTTTCACACTTTGGAAAGATGGCATTTCAAGCAAGGCTGGTATATTTTATTATTACAGAACAATGCATTTCAGCTGTTAATGAAAAAAAGTCTTAGGTTGGAGTTACTCTTCAATGATTTCAGCAGGAGTTGTTGACACGGTTTTACAGAGCCTTACTTTATTACTCTAAGCTGGAGATGTTCAACAGAATATGATCTAAATAAACTCTGCTCTCTGATCAGAAAGCCGAACATTTGCTGTAATGACAGTGATTTAACTGGCGAGAGGAAGAATACATACACTGACGTTTGTCTTGGGCTTGTAGCTGCTGCGGAACAGTAAACATGTCTCTGAAGACACAACATGAAGGTCATCCTGCTATCACAGCACAAAATACTGTTTTATGACTAATGCTTCCATGACGTCTCTAAACCACTGGAGTTTTAAACAGTTCCCCTTTAGCAAGATTTCTTTTTATATTATCTGTAACAAACAGTTAATAAGACCTGCTTTGTCATACCCATTCAATGCAAACTGGAGTCCAGTGTTGTATGTGAAAAATTAGGCTAGGTCAGGTAGCAGACCACTAAAAACATATACACTATATGGCCAAAAGTATCCTCTCCTAACTACTGTGTTTAGGTGTTTCAGCCACACCCGTTCGTAACAGGTGTATAAAATCAAGCACATAGCCTTGCAGTTTCCATAGACAAACATTGGCAGTAGAATGGGTCGCACCGAAGATCTCAGAGACTTTAAATGTGGTACTGCCACTATAAAATTTCCACCCTGCTTGAACTGCCCTGTTCAACTGTAAATGCTATTATTGTGAAATGGATGAAGCGGGAGACAACGCAAACTCACAGAGTGGGCCGCCGAGTGCTGAAGCATGTAAAAATCGTCAACCCTCTGTCGCATCACTTGCTACAGAGATCCAAACTGCCTCAGGAAGCACCATCAGCACGAGAGCTGTGCGTCGGGAGCTTCATGAAATGGGTCTCCATGGCCGAGCAGCCGCACACAAACCTAAGATCACTGGGTGCACACCTCCACTGGACTCTGGAGCAGAGGAAACATTTTCTCTGGAGTGATGAATCTAGATTTTGTGAATGCCAGAAGAACCCTCCGTACTGGAATGCATAATGCCAACAGTAAGGTTTGGTGGAGGAGGGATAATGAGCTGGGGCTGTTTTTCAGGGTTTGGGCCTCTTAGTTCCAGTGAAGTGTGATGTTAATGCTACAGCACACAAAGACATTTTACACAATTATATCGCTGTTGTCGAAAGAAAAGAATGTCCAAAATGATAACTTTACAAGAAAAGGAAAAAACCTACTTTACTTTTAATGTAAGTCAATGGAACTAGACTTTTTTGTTCAGTTTGGGTCATTTCTTTTGATCCAATCATCATGAAATTTACACACAATGTAAAGGACAACAGATATTTTCAAAGATAAGAGATTTTCTTCCGACAGCAGCAATATGCAAAGACATAGAACGTCGATCGTGAGCCAGGCCCTCTTGTCCAACATCAGTGTCTGACCTCACAAATGCTCTTTAGACTGAAATTCTCACACTCTCCAAAATCTTGTGGAAGAACTTCCCAGGAAAGTGGAAGCTGTTATAGTTGCAAAGGGGGCAACTCCATATTAATGCCCATGGTTTTGGAATGGGACGTCCAGCAAGCTTATATAGATGTCATGGTCGGATGTCCACATACTTTTGGGCAAATGGTGTCCATGTAGAGATACACATACAGACACATACTCAGATACATACATTTACACAGACACAGGGTAAGAGAACTGGTGATGGAGACGATTCTCTCCGACCAATCAGCAGTTTTTCCATGTCACCTTTTGGTATCAGCTCAGCTCACTTGGAACCCGACAGAGGTGATACCACAAATAGTACCAGGTCCCGGGTTCACCTGGAAAACCAAAAAATGTGAGTAGAGTCGAGTCGAATCAAGCCAGTACCATGCAGTGGAACAGCGGATTAAGTCATTCTGGATGACAAACAACAAATCTTGCCAAATGAACTTTGGTGAGGATGATTACAAAAGCAGCTGTTGACAAAACTGAAAAATCTTAAAGCATGTTCTCTTGAAATTTTGAGTCTCTTTTTCACAGTTCTCTGTGAAACCGGGTGTTTTTCTGGTTGATGTATTTTCTCATTAATGATCTGTATAGTCTAGTGAGGAACTTGGATTTGCCTGTGTCTAAGACAGAGGAAACCAACCTTTACACACACACACACACACACACACACACACACACACACACACACACAGACATATACACAGCCCACCAACTTCAGACATAACACAAACACACACAGATTGTTTGGGTTAGAATGATAATGATGCACTCTGTGCTCTAATGTGGATCTGTTTGATCAGTTACACACACACACAAGAGGGAATGTTTTAATGAACCTTTAGTTATAAGCTGCTAGGGGTGTAACGATACACTAAAGTGACGGTTCGGTTCACACCGCGGTTTGGACCTCATGGTACAAGTTCAGTACAACAGAAAAAAGCAAGAAAAACACCCAAATACATAAGACTAGCTTTATCCTCATTTAGTTTGAACAGACAGTAGTGCAAGTTACAGTTTGCTCCACCGAGTTCTGTATAGCACCCGCTGAGATGACTTTGGTCATTTGCAATTGATGGGGAAAGTCACTAATGTTAACTAGTCCCTGTGCAATAGTTTAGCTTCAGTTGTGATTTTGTAGTTAGTAAATTTGTAAGACTTTGTGCTGAATCTCTTTACAGGCACAGAAACACTGCAGGCTGTGTAGGGAATCAGACTCACTTCACTCCTTTAATTTCAGCTTGTTGTTTTTCAGTCTTTGCACATACCACGTATTCTCTGTACGACTGCATGCACTATTTTCAACATTATTACATTTGTATAGTCGTAAAGCTCATTAAATTTGAGCATGTAAGTGAGAAAATAAACATTAAGTACATAAAACATAACACAATTTTGCGATTGCATTCTAACAGTACAGGTGCCTTTGTGTTACCCAAACAGTAAATAAAAAAAATGCTTCGCTTACGTTCACTTTCTCTGAGGTTTCCCAGCATCCTCAGCAATCAGGTAGGACCTGTGAAAACCCTGCCCACATCACAACATTAGTAATGAATTACCACAAATTATTTGCTCTGGAAAACCCCTTAATTTAAACACCTCTCACCAAAATACATTTCATGTATTTACAAAAATACATGAAATGTTTACTGATGGAATTCAGAAACTGCAAATTATCTTCTATTAAAAGGGAATTCTACTAATTTTTTAAGAATGTAATCAGAGTGATTCAGAGTGGTTTGGTGTGAAATGGTTCAGATTTCTTTACAGTGGTGGTGATAGGAATGAGGGGTTGCCATGGTAACAACACAAATATAGACATTTTATTTACTATCCAAAAGCACCAGCGAACCTACACGTGTCTTCTGAGTTTTATATGGAATGTTGATGATGGAATAAAAAGTGGAAAATCTGAAATAATACATTTTCTTTGGGGACTATTTTGCCTCAGCATCCCTCCCAGTATCCCTCTACCATGAGTGGATGTTCAAAACTATCATAAAAATGTTTCAGACATCAGACAGTGAATTCATAACCATTTTATGTAATAACTTTCTGTGAGGGAGCTTTTAGAGGTGGACGTCTGGTTCCTATCACCACCACTGTGAACAATTCTGACTCAGTAAGTTCCTCTAGAAGAGAGCATTTCACACCAAACCACTCTGAACGACTCTGTTTACATCTTAACTACTTAATAATTCTCTCTCTCTCTCTCTTTTAAGATCTCTTGGTTTAATCATGGTTTAATTTCCTTTCTCCTGTACTTTAGGTCACTTTTTTTCACCAAATGACCTCGGTGTATGAACGGTGCTTTATAAATAAACATGCCTTGTTGTAAGCTTATTATAAGATCATTTAACTTATTTCTAGACTTTGCACATGTTTTAAGTGATTATCGTGAGTAAAATGAACTCAGTGGTAGATAATTGTTTTACATTTATTATAACATCATTTAACTTACTTTTAGACATTTTTACTCATTTTAAGTAATGTTAGTAAGTGAAATGATCTCACTATATTGGCAGATAATTTTGCTTGTCTGCTTGAAACCAGCTTCTAAATGATCTGCCACTATAGTAAGATTATTTTATGCATGATAATTGCTTAAAACATGTAAAAAAAGGTCTGGAAAAATTAATCTATGAATAATATTCAATAATATTAAAATAAGCTTACAACAAGGCAAGTTTATTCATAGAGCACTGTTCATACACTGAAGTTATTTAAAGCACTTTGTAAATGAGAAAATTCAAAGATAATTCAAATTAACATTAAAATGTGACCTAAAGTAAAGAATAAAGGAAATTAAAACATGGTTAAAACATGATTAAAGCAATAGATTTTAAAAGAGAAGAAATTATATCGGCTAGATTTCAGACAAGTTCACGTGCTGATATTCCACTCTTTGCAGTGAAATGTTGACTATAGGTAATTTCTGCTTTTTGCTTTGGTTGTTTCTGATGCGGTCAGCAGGTTTATCTTCATTTGATCCGTCCTGAAAGATCTGTCTTCGTATCTCTGCTTTCCTTTGCGCTCTTTTCACCTCCCTCTCGTCACCCTTGTAGTTCTGCGTTGGTGCCGATGAGAGCGTTTAGATGTTGTGGTTTAGAGTTTATAGTTCTGCTGTCAGTCTCGTGTAAACAGATCATTATTCTCATTGACTGGAGGCGGTTTGCTGCTGTTAATTGTCACTGGCAACCAGAGTCTCTGCAATCAAGATGGTTCTTCAAGGGCTCTTTAGCAAAGACAATGGTTCTATGTAGAACCATGAACACTCACTGAACCATTGCATGCACATTCTCCATCAGTCTGAAGAACAATTTCACCATGCAAAGGACTATTTAATCATGCAAGTTGTTCTTTGAGTGTTCATGGTTCTATGTAGAATCATTGTCTTTACTGAAGAACCCTTGAAGAACCTTCTTTTTAAAGAGTGTATGCTTTCTTTTCTTTTTCTTTAGATTTTCTAAAAGAATTAGATACAATAAGTAGTTGATATTGTTATTAACTGATTGAACAAAAAAACAGACATAACGTAAAATTCATGAAAATTAAGAGTTTATTGATTATAATGTTCTATAAAGGAGTTTGAAAAGTGAAATATTGATTTGTTTGATTTTTTTTAAATATAGAATTTGCGTGTAGAAACATGTCAGTATCTCTTGTGTGTGTGTGTGTGTGTGTGTGTGTGTGTGTGTGTGTGTGTGATTCAGATGTGGACGAGTGTGAGGCCCCAGGGATCTGTTTGAATGGACGCTGTGTTAACACAGAAGGTTCCTTCAGGTGTGAGTGTATGCCTGGACTCGCTGTGGGCCTGGACGGACGGACGTGTGTGGGTGAGTACCAACTTTCTCTACACACACACAAACAAACACACACACACACACACACACACACACAGAAAAGGGAGTCAGTGTGTGGAGTCAGAGTGTTTCCCCCTCTCTCCCCGTGTTTCTCAGTGGTGATTTTATAGCGGTTCTGGACGTGGCCCAGTTGCTTATGGCTCTGCTCTTGGTCAGCGCCGAGTGTGATGAAATGTTCTGTTTTGCCCAACTTTTATCACACAGCGCATTTCACTGTTTTATTGGTTTGATCTGGATTTTTCTTTTCACTACATGTAGAACGAACCTCTCACTGGCACTGTAGGCATCTCTCTCTCTGTTCTCTCTCTCTCTCTCTCTCTCCCCCTCTCTGTTCTCTCTCTCTCTGTTTTCTCTCCTCTCTCTTTCTCTGTTCTCTCTCTCTCTCTCTCTCTCTCCCCCTCTCTGCTCTCTCTCTCTCTGTTTTCTCTCCTCTCTCTTTCTCTGTTCTCTCTCTCTCTCTCTCTCCCCCTCTCTGTTCTCTCTCTCTCCTCCTCTCTGTTCTCTCTCTTTCTCTGTTCTCTCTCTCTCTCTCTCTCCCTCTCTCTCTCTCTCTCTGTTCAGAAAGCATTTATTGACACCAATAAAATATTTCCAAAGAACAGAATGTAAGATTTAAAAATGTAATATTTTAATACGTTTTGGCCATTTTTAAGTTGTGATAAGATTTTTTTTCCTTTGATTAAAAGTCCTACAAATGAGTTAGAGTTTTAGAGCTCTTTAATAATTCACCAGACTTTTACTGCAGAGCTTCTTGTGTGATGTTTAGTTGTTGTTTTAAAACGTTATTTGCGTCACACATTGCAGTATTTATTTTCTCTGATGTTCTCTCTCTCTCTCTCTCTCTCTCTCTCTCTGTCAGACACTCACATGCGCAGTACGTGTTATGGGGGCTATAAGCGAGGTCAATGTGTGCGGCCGTTCTTTGGGGCTGTGACTAAATCTGAATGCTGCTGTGCCAGTGTGGAGTATGCCTTCGGGGAACCATGCCAACCGTGCCCACCGCAGACATCAGGTAACACACATACATGAGTACACACTTACACACACTGAGGAAAGTGCTGCTTTTAATTGACTAGATCAATATATATATGTAGAAATAAGGAGGCGGACCTGATAAAGTGTTCAGTGTGTGTATATATATATATATATATATATATATACACATATACTCACCAAGTGCTTTATCAGGTCCACCTCCTTGTTTCTACACTCACTGTCCATTTTGTCAGCTCCACTAACCATATAGTTTCACTTTGTAGTTCTACAGTTACAGACTGTAGTCCATCTGTTTCTCTGCATACTTTGTTACCCTGTTCTTCAATGATCAGGACCCCCACAGGACCCCCCGCAGAGCAGGTATTATTTGGGTGGTGGGTCATTCTCAGCACTGTAGTGACACTGACGTGGTGATGGTGTGTTAGTGTGTGTTGTGCTAGTCTGAGTGGATCAGACACAGCAGTGCTGCTGGAGTTTTTAACACTGTGTCCACTCACCGTCCACTCTATTAGACACTCCTACCTTGTTGGTCCACCTTGTAGATGTAAAGTCAGAGACGATAGCTCATCTGCTGCTGCACAGTTTGTGTGGGTCATCCTCTAGTCCTTCATCAGTGGTCACAGGACGCTGCTCACAGCACGTTGTTGGCTGAATGTTATTGCTTCTCAGTCCAGCAGCGACACTGAGGTGTTTAAAAACTCCAGCAGCACTGCTGTGTCTGATCCACTCGCACCAGCGCAACACACACTACCACCACGTCAGTGTCACTGCAGTGCTGAGAACAACACAGATAGTCTACAGTCTGTAACTGTAGAACTACAAAAGGCTCCAATATGGTCAGTGGAGCTGATAAAATGGACAGTGAGTGTAGATACAAGGTAGGTGTACCTAATAAAGCACTGAGTGAGTGATTTTTCATATCAGTATGAATTATTATCAATAATAATCACTTTTGCTGCTTCATTACACACTTAAAAGTTCAGTGCGCATCTATGTGTGTTTCAGCTGAGTTTGCGGCTCTGTGTCCAAGCGGAATTGGCACCACCACCGACGGCAGAGGTAAGAGGACTCACACAAACACACACACACACACATACAGACACACACACACACACTCTTCAGGAGGATGACCTCCTCTTGTTCCTCTGTGTCCTGTTTTGCAGATATTAACGAGTGTGCCCTGAACCCGGATATCTGTCAGAACGGAGAGTGTGAAAACATGCTGCGCACCTACAAATGCAACTGCAACCAGGGCTTCGAGGTGGACACCACCGGCAAGAACTGCGTAGGTGTGTGTGTATACCATGCGCACACTACTGCACTTACACCCTTACCCCCAACATCGATCAGCCATGACGTGTTGCTGCTTCTTCAGTTTTGTGCTGGACACAAGTGTTTTGCTTTGTTAAAACAGTAGCAGTAGTCATCATCAAGTCTGAAATTGTCCATACTTTAACCTATGTTTATAGATAACAGTAAACTCTTAGTAAAAAGGTACTAAACTGTCACTGGGGTGGAACCTTCAATGGTGTGTCTTGAGTACTTTCAAAAGGAAATCCACCAGTTTTTCAAAATTTCTGTATAATTAAATGTTTAAGATGTGAACAGAGTCATTCACAGTGGTCTGGTGTGAAATGCTCCATTCTAGAGAAAAGAGAAAGTCAGAATTGTTCACAGTGGTGGTGATATACTTTTTCAAATAAATAAACATTATTATAATTATTCCACATTTTCATGGTTCAGAACACCTGACATGGTAAACTGAACTGTTCTAACCACTCAAACATCACACTTTTACTAAATTTGTGACCTTGGCATTGCACCATGAACGTCACTTAGGGTCTTCTTTATGGTGCAGTACCCTGGCCCCTGTTTTGTAAAAAGCATGTAAAAATAAAAGTCCTTTGTTTTTGGTTGTGCCAGCTGACATTTGAGGAAGTAAGAAGTTGCAGACAAAAGTTTTTCAGTGAGTTGAGCACTTTTAAAGTTGCCTTATTTTGCAACATAGTTTTATTTTAATGTTTTCATACATAGTCAAACTATTTTATTTAAGTTTTCATAAATAGATTAACTTTTGTGATAGTTTACTTAATCAACATGTGGTAAGATGGTTGCACCAGCTGACATTTTTAGACTTTTGAAGGCAAAAAGATACTAAAAGGATTTCTATGTGGATGCACTGAAAATTGTTTCACATAAAAGAGGTAGTGTTGAACATTTTGATGTTGTCATGTATTTGTTAAATAGTTTTTGGGGAAAATAATGGACCTGGACACAAAAAATGCACATCATGTCAATGACCCATCTCTGTGTGTCTCTCAGATATTGATGAGTGTGCAGTGAACAAGTTGCTGTGTGAAAACGGTCTGTGCCGGAACACTCCGGGCAGCTACACCTGCCACTGCCCGAAAGGCCTCATCTTCGACCCAGAGACAGAAGTGTGTGAGGGTGAGTCAGAGCAACGAACACAACACAACACAGAACCTCTGGCTGCGTTTATAATCTGGCTCTCAGTAAAACTGTTCAGAGCCTCTGAAGTAGAGCAATCAGCGATGCTACGCTGGCATGCAGTCATGTGTATCATTGGAGGCAGTTTGTTTAATTTGAGTCCAGGTTAACAAAGTGTAGGTAACGGTTGGCTGAGGCTATCAAAGCAGAGACATCCATGGCAAACAGGAACCAGACAATGACCAGGCAAACTCAGAAAGTAACAAATGCAGGACTTACACCATAGAAAACAAAACACAGAAGAAAACAGGAACACACGAAACAAACACTATACACGACAAAGGAAACACTGGAGAATACACTGTGAACAAGACACAGCTGAGAAGGATTATGAAAGGAAGGAGTAACAAGGTGGAACCAGGTGAGGGTGTGACAAACGGGTGGGACTAGTGAGGAGCAAAGACAACAAGAACAAAAGCATGTGATTAGGAAAACATCACCAGGAAAAGAAAACAAGAAGGACAGACACGGACAGAAGTGGAACGGGAACTGGACATAGTTACGTTGTTTAATCCTCTGGGGTTCAAAAACATGTCAAGGCCTCAAATTCTTTTTTTCTATATCTGTTTCCATATCTTTGTGCTAATCCAGTACAGAAATCCACTTCAAACATTTCCTGAATCTGTAGAGTCGCCCTTTCCATTCCATCTTATCACGAGATCATACGTGACTCACATCCAGAGTTCTAAGGCTATGAAGAGGGGCTGAGATACACGTCATCTGCCTCTGACCGTGTGGAACTGGTGGATTCATGTGTGTCCATCTACATTCTGTGTGAAACTGACCAGTGGACACTCAGGAAATCACTAAGGACCGACCATCACGCCGGAAACCCTTCACTCTTCATTCAGTCCACATCGGAGACACATGTGAAATGGCGTGCAGAGAGTTTACAGCTGCTGAAGTTGCTGCAGCGGTTTTGGAAAGCAGTGATGAAGATAACGAAGCATTTCGATATGAAACATATGAGAATCATGTTATATGAAGAGCCTTTAAAGGAGAGTTTAAGAAGATACGAACAAATCAATAGAATGACATGGTGGCAGCATTGTTGGCACTACAGTGGCATTAGTGGATGTATGAGGGGTGATGGTGTTGTCCACTTTGCTGTCTGTAAATGTTTCTCAGTATATCTGAAGGGTTTTATTACAAAATGCATTACAGACCACTTTCAAAAATGTACATTTTTTTTTCATGATATACCATATTGGGAGTGGACTTTACAAATATTAATATTAGAAATATTAGAAATATTAGTGCTATATTATCATTAATACCACCATTATTAGAGAAATAAAGGTGTTTTAATTTTTTTTTTTTTACAAAAAGTAGTTTTTTTTTTCCTCAAGGTTGTAACATCGTGAAGTAAGTAAAATAAATAATTTGGAATTAAATCCTTGAATTCTAATGTTGTGTTTTCAGTGAAGATTGGATTTTGTTGAACACTGGATTTCAGTTAAGAGCATCCACAGCGTCCACAGAAAATCTGGAAAAAATTCTAGAACAAGCACGGTCATCGTATTAATGTTATCTAGCGATGTTAATGTAGCCAGCTAACTGGTTACCAGAAAATAAGCAACATTATCACTTAAGCGAGGCAAAGCTCCCATTAGTTGGATGTCATGGCTTAAAATGAAAAAGCCTCATTAACCAGTAGGGCCTTCATCTCAACAGTTCAAGAGATTTGAGATTGAGAAAAGACATTGGGCCTCATTCACCACTAAGAAGAAATAGAAGAAATTTCTTCTTGAAACCCACTTACTTAGTTTTGACGAAGATTCTGACATTCACCCATGTTTTCTTATTTGGGATTTGTTCTTAGGTAAGAACAGAATCTACACACAAAGGTGAGAACAGTTCTGTGCTTTAAGAACACGTCATAAATCTGATATAGACTTTTTCTTAGGTCCTTTCTCTAGAACACATTTAAGAACAAACTCAGGAAGAAATTGGAGAATGAGGCTCAGTATCCCTTTTATGTTCTTCTCTATAACGTTTGATTGAAATCAGTCAGTTAAAATTATATTGTTTACCATGATCATGTCAATTTAGACCTTCAGAACTTGCTGAACTGAGCATTAGTGTCTCTGAGCCAGAGCTCTGATATCTGTGTTTTTGTGTGTGTTAATACAGATGTCAACGAGTGTGAGTCAAACCCCTGCGTTAACGGAGAATGTAGGAACGTTGTGGGCAGTTTCAACTGCATGTGCCCCACCGGCAGTACTCTGGATGCGTCTAAGACGCAGTGCATCGGTACATAGCACAGCACTACACAAACACTCACTGTTTCTCTCATTACTGAATTTTTACAATGTAGAAAAGACCAGAATTAAGAATTCAAACTTGAAAAGATCAGAGTTTTAGAATTTGATCTCGAAAAGTTTAGAATTCAAAACCAGGTGTAGAAAACATCAGCATTTTAGAATTGCATCTAGAAAGATAAAAAAAAAATTAGAATTAGAATTAGATCTAGAAAAACAAGGAATCATAATCTGGAATAGAAAGATCCAAATTGTAGAGCTTAAATTAGAAAGATCAGAATTTAGAGAAATCTGAATCTGGTGAAGAAAAGAATTTTAGAATTTGATCTAGAAAAATCAGAATTTGGGACTCTATTCAGAAATCTAGAAATTTTGTGCTGGTTAAAGAAACTTTTGCACACATTTTAATGCAGTTACTGTTTATTTGTAGAATCTAACATATTGAGTGAAATAAAGTTAGAACGTAAATCATGGCCTGCGCAGAAGTTTAATTAAATGCACATTTAATATGTGTATATTTTTTTCCAATATGTTAAACTAAAATAAATAGAAATTGTGATCTAAAATTAGCAGATGTGTGTTCTTTTCAGAGAATGAGTTATGTTCACTTAAATTATCAAAACATAATTTGTCAAATTCATGAAACATAAACTTTGGCATACGACTGTATAGTTGAATGCTTACGTGTGTTTATGTGTGCGTTACAGAGACAGGTAAGGGGACGTGCTGGCTGAAGGCGGTGAATGGTCACTGTGAGGTGAACATTAACGGGGCCACGCTGAAGTCGCAGTGCTGTGCCACGCTGGGGGCCGCATGGGGTTCACCCTGCACACGCTGTGAACAAGGTACACACACACACACACACACACACACGTTTATTTACATGCAGTGCTGTGTTGTGGGGTCAGGCGTATGTCTCAAGGGTCTCAGATCGGTGCCCGGTGTGGCACTTACTGTCCATAAAGTGGGCCTTAGCCTAAGACAGTTTGAAAATAGCTGTCCCACATTAATACCACATTTACTGTACTTAGAATTAGGACCGCAATACGACAATATTAATCATTATTGTGATAATTACATTACAATACAGCAGGCTTTTCGGAGCATATCGTGTGCATCATCAGTACCTCTAGGACACTGACCAATCACATGTTTCATCACAAAGTCAGTGAATGAGTGAACTAAATCCAGTTATTGAACTGCTGGTTCTGTTTTGCTTCAACTGGTCTAGGGATGCATCGATAGCATTTTTCAGATCGAGTACGAGTACATGATTTTAGTATTCGCAGATACAGAGTCCGATACCATACTGAGTAACCTACTTAGAATGAAGTAGTTGTTAGTTGGATCCAGTAGCGCTGCTGTAGAGAAGAGCGGGTTTTGTTCCCAGTCAGAAAAGCGCTTCTGTACAACTGTAAGTAAAATAGGTTTCATAGTTTTGATCCTCATCTGTCCTTTTCAGCAGCAGCACAGTGACAACAGGAATCACATCCGAGGCTAACGCATCCAAGGAGCTCACACTTCCAGTCTTCCGTCTTGTTGGAGTCTTTTGGTTGGCTGTTTGAGCTGTAGCTTAATGTCCTCCAAAGCCAGACAGACACTGTGTGATTTTAGAAATATTCATTGATGACTCACAGTGTACGTTTGAATAGACCATCGTGTTCAGACAAAGCTACGACTTATATACTCACACCATACGAAAACGTTCCGTCTGACTGACCTGCTACGTGAAATGCAGCCTCTACAGACGTTCTGTCTATGGACCATTACCAATAAAGCTGATTCATTCAGAACAACATGAGTACTGAGCAAACATGGTGATGTTCATGGTAGGGCAGTGCAGTGTCTCTACAGCCCGATTTACAAAATAATCACCGTATTAACGTTTATATCTCGATTTTCTATTCAGTCAAACAGAGTAAAATCGCATATATAGACTTTGGTAGTAAGTGTCAACTTTTTGCCTCTGTTATGTTAGCCTATGTTTCCACCTGTATTGGGGAAACGGCTGTGATTATTGTTGTGTGTGTTTAAAAACAGTCTAAAATCACACATTCCTGGTGGGAATCTGCCAAGGCGGAATGTTTAAAGTGACCGAGGGCTTTGTGTCCGACTGTGACGGAGTCAATAACACTTCTCTGTATGAGCAGATCCTCTTTCACTGCGCTTGTTCAGTAGTGCTGCAGCTACACTAGGCTTACAATAAATACAGTATCAGCGGATATCATATGTCGGTATCGGTGAACTTTTATGGGTACAAGTATGAGTTAATGAGCATGTTATTAGACTGATACTCGATTCCATTATCGGTATCGATGCATCCCTAAACTGGTTAGATGTCAGAAAAAAGAAAAGCCAACTTACACATTGTGAAATTTTCCTTAAGGATTGTTATTTTTTTAGACATATTGCCAGCCCCTGCCTAGAATAGATTGTTCTAGATACAGTTTAACTCACATGCTTAGAGTCTGATCTTTTCGCCCTCCCAAAGCACGCCAGCCCAATTTTCCCATTTATTATTGATGGTAGGTGCACAGGTATATAATATAGCTTTTAACAGCCCTTAAAGTGTTTGAAATCTCACACATGCTGCTTAATTATGTTTGGATATTTTGGATTTTGCTATACATCTGCATGTTATATGTGTGCTTTTCTCTCCTCAGATCCGATCTGCCCGAAAGGACATTCCCGAGTCAAAGGAACGATCTGTGAAGGTAAGGTACTCACACACACACCTGCCCACCCACACTCACATACCACTGAACCAGTTCATTATTTCAAAATTAATCTTTATTGACTGTGCCTTTTATCCTACTGCATTATTTTCATTCTCTCTTGCTCCATGCAGATGTGAACGAATGTGAGGTTTTCCCAGGGGTGTGTATTAATGGGAAGTGTGTAAACACCGTGGGTTCCTTCATCTGTCAGTGTCCCACTGGAATGACTGTAGACTCATCTGGGAGAACCTGCATTGGTGCGTGTAAACATGTAATTGTGTGTATGACGCACAAACGCATTATTATTGATATTATTATTAAAGTCGCACATTACAGTGATTTCACTACAGTTAGATTCAAGAGTTTTTAAGGTAGCTTGTTCACTGGTACTCACTCAGACAGAACTAAAGAAGAGCCTCTAATTTAAAATCTGCTTGGTTGAAGTCAGGCTTATCTAATATTGTCTATCCTAACCAGAACTTGGGTGAGACAGCAAACTAGCGATAATGAGCCCCTCCCGCAAACGAGCCCAGAAACAGGGTGGGGTGTGGACTCAAGCATTCAGGACAAGTGTGAAAACACCCTGAGTCATATCACTGTTTAAGAGCTCCACAGGGTCTCATATAATATCTTTGTTTTTCATAATAACACAAACTTGGTTTAGCAAGTTATTAGTGTCCCCTTACTGCTGACATTATGTTTGGATGTTGATCAAAATAACCACATTGTGTAAGGCAACACTTTCTTAAAGAGACTGTCAGGGCTTTGTTGGTTGGATTTCTAGCATTGTGGTGATCAGGTCAGAGTTACAGAGGGGAAATCTCCACACCAGAGAGAGCATTCAGCCTGGACGAGGCTCCGTTGAGCCTCTCTGAAAATGATCTTGAAGAATGGCCCTATAAAACACAATAATTAAATACGTCGACCAAAAGGGCACTTGTACAATCAAAAGAGCCCCTCAGGGGTCTGTCTGTGCCACTGCCTGGTTTCTGTGTTATAAAATGAGTGTGCGGTGTGTCTGTCTGCGCAGATCTTCGTACGGAGCAGTGTTACCTGTCCCATGAGGATGAGCGCTGCGGAGCTGTGATTCCAGGCCGGCACCGCGTGGACGCCTGCTGCTGCTCAGTAGGTGTGGCCTGGGGTCCAGAGTGTGATGAGTGTCCAGAGAAAGGAACGCCGGAGTACTCCTTACTCTGCCCCCGCGGACCCGGATTCGCCCACCGTGGGGATTTCATCAACGGAAAACCTTTCCTCAAAGGTACAGTGCTACAGCTAGGAATGGGTGTGGTTATTGGAATATATATCAAAATATAAACTCACCAAGTGTTTTATTAGGAACACCTTCTTGTTTCTACACTCACTGTCCATTTTATCAGCTCCACTGACCATACAGGAGCACTTTGTGGCTCTACAGTTACAGACTGTAGTCCATCTGTTTCTATGCATACTTGGTGTGTTAGTGTGTGTTGTGCTGGTGCGAGTGGATCAGACACAGCATAGAACCATATACAGCACATTTTCCATCAATCTGAAGAACACTTTCACGATGCAAAGAACCCTTTAATCATAGAAACGTTTGTTGAGTGTTCATGATTCTATACAGACCCATTTTCTTTACTAAAGAGCCCTTGAAAAAACATATTTTTTAAATGTGCAGCTTTTGATCAGTGGACAAAAAATTTTAATGTGTAAATTATTGTTAGCAACCAAGACAGTGCTTTCACTGAACTTTATTAAGAATAAGTTTATTTCAGTGAACTGTTGTAACTGCTATGAGAGCAATGTGGTTCATGAGGTGATGTTTGGGTCCAAGCACTCTGCAGCATGTGGAGCCACTAGAGCACAAATGATGGACAACATTTTTCGAATAGCCTCATTTATAAAAGATGTGGGCTCTGAAATAGAGACGTCTGCCAAATTTCATGCACACTGACCTTTTGACCTTGGTATGGTAAGCAACAGATTTTTCACAAACAAACCAAAGTTCCTAGAAAACAGTCCAATATTTGGACATGACTTGTATGTGCTTGGCTGTTGAACCCATAATCATGTCTGCACCCTGGCATCCGTTTACTTAGTCCTGTATTCACACAAGGCATAAATAGTTTGAAAACAAAACAGAAATGAATTATGAAGTGATTAAGTGTTCGGCTGAGTGTTTGTAATCAATGTGGCGACTCAAGCAGCTGATCTTGTGTTTGTGTTTCTCTCCTCAGATATAAATGAGTGTAAGATGATTCACAGCCTGTGCACCAATGGAAAGTGCCGGAACACCGTCGGCAGCTTCCGCTGCAGGTGTGACAGTGGATATGCTCTCGACTCTGACGAGAGGAACTGCACAGGTGAGTCTGCCTGTAAAAGCACCCGGTCAAATGCAGGGAAATTTGGAATTGTAAACAGATGTAAAGTTTTTAATAATGCACTTCAGACAAAAGCTGAATGTATAGTCTGTTTACTTGTGTGTTCGTACAGATATCGATGAGTGCCGTATCTCTCCGGATCTGTGTGGCCATGGCACGTGTGTTAATACAGCGGGAGATTTCGAATGTGAATGTTTCCCTGGTTACGAGAGCGGATTCATGATGATGAAGAACTGCATGGGTGAGTGAAGAACAAACACCTGCATCTGTTCAACACCTGCACCTGTCCAACACCTGCACCTGTCTAACACCTGTATCTGTACAACGCCTGCACCTGTTCAACACCAGCACCTGTCTAGCACCTGCACCTGTTCAACACCAGCACCTAACACCTGCACCTGTCCAACACCTCCACCTGTCTAACACCTGCATCTGTTCGGCATCTGCACCTTTCTAACACCCGTAGGTTTAACACCAGCGCCTGTCCAACACCTGCACCTGTCTAACCTGCATCTGTTCAACACCTGCAACTGTTCAACACCTGCATCTTTTTAACACCAGCTCTTGTCTAACACCTGCATGTGTTTGATACCTGCACCTGTCCAGCTCCTGCGCTTGTCTAATACTTCAACATGTTTGACTCCTGCATCTAACACCAGCACCTGTTTAACACATTGATTTATCCCTTTTCAACATCTGCATCTATTTAACACCAGCATGTGTTCAACAACTACACCTGTTCAACACTTGCACCTGTGCAACATCTGCCCCTGTTGAAGACCTGCACTCATGCAACATCTGCCTCATTCAGCACCTGCACCAATTAAACACAATGCACCTGCACATCAGCACTTGTTCAGCAGCAGCTACTGTTCAACACCTGCACCTAACACCTGCATCTGTTAAACACCTGCACCTGTCTAACACTTGCGTCTGTTCAACACCTGCATCTTTTTAACCCCGTTGCCTGCACACCTGCACCTGTTGCTCATGTTCAACACCTGCACGTTTGATTCCTGCACCTGTCCAACACTTGCACCTGTTTAACAACAGCACATGTCTAACAGCTGCACCTGTCTAACACCTGCCCATGTTTGACACCACAACCTGTTCAACACCTGCACCTGTCTAAAACCTGTATCTGTCTAACACTTGCACCTGTCCAACTCCTGCGCTTGTCTATCACTTGAACATGTTTGACTCCAGCACCTGTTTAACGCATTTATTTATCCCTAATCAACACCTGCACTTATTCAACACCTGCACAGCCACTCCTGTTTAACATCTGCACGTTTCAACAGTTGCCCCTGTACAACACCTACACCCTTTCAACTTACTGCAGCTATTCAATACCTGCACCTGTTAAAAACATTCCCCCATTTAACACACTGCCCCTTTTCATGATCTGCACCTGTTAACCACGCTATGACTGCACCTGTTCCTCTTTAACACTTGTACAGTTAATCCTACTTTTGTTTATACATTTGCTTTAGTTTTTTACAGCTGTTTATTTTAAATTATCTTCTGCACATCCACATTTGATTAAAGTAAACTGAAATACCACAGAAAAGTAATTAAATAAGAAATTCATTATAAATCTCTTTGAGCCAGGAAATAACTATAACCCAAGTTTTGAAATCTAATCATTGTAACATGAATAGTAAAGGTTTGCCAGTCCTGCAGTAAGTATTTCCAGAACTCAGAGCAGAGAGAGAGGTGAGAGAGAGAGAGAGTGAGAGAGCGAGAAGCTGCTGATTCAGGTCAGCTATTTATATGACAGCAATGTTGGAAGAGAATAAATGATGTTAAGGTTTATCCTCTCTTAATCACTAAGTTTATATAGCGTTTTTCTGAACACTCAGACTCTCCTTTGATGGCATGGGATCCCGAGTGCCCTATAAACACAGTCAGAGGCACACAGGCTGGTGTAGGAGGGTAAAACACACAGAGGACTGAGCTTTTTACCAGCGGCTTCTACTTCATTGTACTGTGGCTGATATTTAATTTACTAAAGGAGCTTTTATCTAGAGCACTATTGATCTATTACATCTGTACACCTTTATTCCTCAAAGTATTAAAGAAATACTCTGCCTAATTTCAGTCTGCTAGCCCTGTAGTGTATACAACTGCAGTAGAAGTGAGTTTTGTGGGTTTTACTATATTAATTTCATACCAGTGGCATCTTAAAGTGCTTTACAGACAGCTGATAAAGCTTAACAGTAAGAAGAAACTGTGAGTATTCATTTAAAATCATATGATCAGATTAAAAAGATAAACACCAAAGAGTCGTAGAGTTTTAATGAAGTGTGAAATTAACAAGCTGCATTTTAAAATGTTTATTAAAAGTGAGCTCTGAGCTTGACTGTCTAATAAAAACATTTTCTGTATTTTACGGAATATGTTTGCAGAAGGTCAGTATCTGCAGATCTAAGATCATAAACAGACAGACATTCAGGAGCTTTAAGGGCATTTAGAGCTGCATTTTGTGTACAGTCAGCATAGCTACGAAGATTTGTATTATGTTTCCAAGAGAGGTTATGTTTCCAACTAGAAGTGATGTACAAAGAGAACAGCAAAAACTCTAAAATTGAACTCTGTGGTACTTCACAAGAATTTTAAAACCTCAATTTCTCAACACGTTTAATGGCTGTTAACTACAAAATACATGTCTGGAATATTTAGTTCATTTTTATTTAATAGTAATAATCATCATGTTTGTTGTATTTAAGATCTGTAAGTATTGTAGTTATTCTCTTGTTTCCTTGTTAAGTTTTGGTCAGAAACGAAAGGGGTAAATTCTTGAAATGCAGAGCAGAAAATTGTTCAATCAGGATTGCTTTCTCTAAGATATCTAGGTTGATACAGCTGAAAAAACTCTTTTATTGGTTAGGACTTCTGGAGCGGGACTGAAGGCCTTACACGTTAGATTAACTACCAACATAATTAGGAACTGACAGAAGAACCAACCAATCACATTTTGGAGGTTCTTAATACATGTCAAAAACCATAAAATGAATCTAGTGATACAGGCTAATGAGATGGATTGTCTTCTCCAGTAAGAAGATCATTACAGTGATCAACTCTGCTGAACAGACGCAGCACTAAGTTTCTCTGTGTCACTCTGAGAGTGAAAAGGCTGAACTTTAGCGATATTTCTCACATGATAAAAAGCTGCTTTAGTGACTGTGTTTATATGCAGATAAAAGAGAGTTTAGAGTCTAAGATCACACCCAGGTTTCCTGCTGCAGGATTGATGTATGAGTTTGAGTACCAACGCTCAGTATTTCAGTTTTTTACATGATTTAGTTGTAGAAAATCCGCTGAGAAATATCTGACACACAGTGTAAACAGGCTTGATCACCAGAATGAATGGAAATGTATAATAGTGTCATCATATTGTTATCAGATTTCCTAAAGACATCACCTAGAAGTAACATGTACAACGGGAAAAGCAAAGGCCCTTAAAACTGAACCCTGTGGGACTCCACAGGAAATGTTAAATTTTTTGATGAAGAATTTCTCAGTAAGGGTCTTTTCCAAGTTCTGTTGTCCCACCATATGTGCTGTATTCATGCCAGTGATTTAGTGTGAGTGGTTCTGCTGAGCACATGAACACTGACAGAACAGTGATGGTAACACACTTTATTTCTCTGCAGATATTAACGAGTGTGAGAGAAACCCATTGCTGTGTCGTGGTGGTGAGTGTGTGAACACGGAGGGAAGTTTCAGGTGCCGGTGTCCTCCCGGCCACGAGATCGCAACTGATGGCTCCGCCTGCCTTGGTGAGTGACACTTTAGCTAAATTGGTGGAGAAATGTTAAAATTAAGTCAAACTCCACAGGTCAGTAGAGCATGATGGGCCCTTTCCAACAGCCCTGGATCACGTTGCTAGCCTTCAGGTAACTAGAGATACAGACCCTGGGATCACCAGACTCCTCATCTGCTGTCTTATCTGAGGCGTCCATGTTGTTAGTGTCATAATCACATGATTAGCGACTCGTCAACTTCTCTTCTCTTCTCTTCTCTTCTCTTCTCTTCTCTTCTCTTCTCTTCATATCAGTGTGCATTCCACATCCAGCTGCCCCACTACCCACAAACATCTCTCTCCCCCTTCCCTCTTTTTGACTGTCTCACTCTTTCTTTTTCTCTTTATTTCTTTTTCCACTCAGTTCACTACAGTGTAAGTGATACCTCTGTTTTTAAGCCTGACTTGCTCTGTGTTGTGTGAGGGGTTCTGTTTGGATGGCTTTATGATGGCTAATTATTCTTTGTTTCCAGAATTTATTTGCAGATCAAAGAGGACTGGAACCAGCTCAGCTAAACACTTTCACAGACTGTCTGTGCAGGCCATTGTGTGTGTGTGTGTGTGTGTATGTAGAGCAGCAGTCCCCTCTCTGAGTGCAAAAAAAAGTGTTTTAGTGTTGTTAGTATGAGTTGTTTAGATGTATTAATGTGTTTATGTGTTAATGTGTTGTTTATGTGTGTTATTGAGTTGTTTATATGTGTTAATGAGTTGTTTACATGTGTGTTACTGTGCAGATATTAATGAGTGTGAGCTGAGTGATAAGCTCTGTCACAACGGACAGTGTGTGAACATGGTCGGACGCTACCAGTGTTCCTGCAACACCGGCTACAAATCCACTGAGGACCGGCTCTCCTGCATTGGTGAGAGGCTCACACAGCCCAGCTTTTACTGACCACTGCTTTACCAATGCCTCAACTCACTGAGCACCAGCAAATGGCATCGTTACACCTCCGCTCAAAGGTCTGGGGTCACTTGTAGGGGTGTTACAATACACAGAAATCATGGTTCGGTTCACACTGCGGTTTGGATATTACGGTTCAGTACGAGTTTGGTACAACAGAAGAAAGCAACAAACCACTCAAATGCATAGGACTAGACTTCATTCATTTTGAACAGACAGTAGCGCAGTTTACTGTTTGTTTCATCTGGTGTCGTATAGCGTCCCCCTGAGGTGACTTTAGCTGCTACAGCCTTGAGTGAGTCATTTACACTCGACGGGGAAAGTCACTAACGTTAACTAATCTGTGTGTCGATAGTTCAGCTTCAGCTGTGACTTTGTATTTTGGAGTGGGGGAAAATTTGGAAGTCTTCCTGTTGAATCTCTTCACAGGCGCAAAAACACTGTGTAGAGCAGAGGTCACTAATAGGCGGACCGTGGTCTGAGTCCAGACCCAGACACAAATCTCTATAGAAATTGGTTTATATGTATGAAATCAGTGACCCCAAACTTTGAGCAGTAGTGTTAATCTGAAAATGTGCCTTGTTCACTATATAGTGCACTATTTTGAGAGACTGACAATCTGTGATAATCTGTATACTGTGAATATAGACCCATAGACCCATAATGCACCACAGTAGATAATGTACAGATGAGCTGCACTGGATATGTAGTACCTACAATGCATTGTGTTGTATGCAGTGGAATGAGGCTACTGTGAGACTACTAAGAGACTACTCTCTCTCTTTCTCTCCCTCTCTCTCTCTCTCTCTCTCTCTCTCAGATATTGATGAGTGTACTATTCTGAACGGAGGCTGTGAGACCACCTGTACAAACTCAGAGGGCAGTTATGAGTGTAGCTGTCGCCGTGGATATGCTCTGATGCCTGACCAACGCAGCTGCACTGGTCCGAACACACTGCCTTCCCTACCACACACGCACACACACACGCACACACACAAGCATTATTACCAAATAAATGGACCATTCTGCTGATTTAGTTCAAACTGTAGTCCCACAGTATAAAAAACAAAAGCAATGAAGTATTTAAGTTTTAGATGTTTACAAGAATTCTGCTCTCATCTATTTAAACCCAAGAAATTAATAGAGACAGTAATAAGCTAAATATATACACAATCGTCATTTGTAAGGTACTTTCTATTGGGAGGAGTCTGTTCCAAACCCTAACCCTAAATTTACACTTCTGAAAATATTTTTTTTAAAGATTTTTTTTTTTATCTTTATCTTTTATCATTTTGATTTCTTTAATCTAGGTCACTGTACTGGTACCAGCACACTTCTGTCAAAGTGTTTTTAAACATCATTTGCAATGCGGTGATGCGTTATACGATTAGAAAGCTTGAAATCTCAGGATTCAATTCCTGCAAACCATTTTATGATCCATTATTCGCAGCAGTTACGATCGTCTCATTTACATTATAAAGACAGAATAAGCAAACAAAATCTGTGTAAATCTGTGTGTCCTCTCCTTTACAGCCTCGCTGCCACAGAGACATCAACATCTAAAACATGTGGTCTGATAACGCAGCAAGAGTCAGAGATCAGTTTAGAGATCTATGAGTCAAAAGGAAATAAACTCCTCCATTCTAGACTGTTAGTCTCTGACAGGAAGTCATACAGTTATGAAAACTTGAAAACTTGAAAGTGTTTCCTTTCAAATGAGACCAAGATCATGACTATAGACCAGAGCATGTGGGAACAGCGCCCCCTTTACTTTGGGTATGTAGTTTCAGGCACAAATGAGGCAACAGTTAACAGGTTAAAGGTGAAGTCGAGTGAGTTTATCGTAAATGTAATATTTAGATTTTAAAAAATGTGTCTCAAAGTCTGAAAATCAGTGTGGAACATTAAAAATTATCACATTTTCTGCAGTTCAGTACTTTTTAGTGTTTTAATGAAAAATATGATGATTGTATGTGTGTACAGCTGTTCAGGCTGCATTTTCGAGCTCAAAATGAGCTAAAATTGTCACTACCGAAACAGTCACTACTGAAACATTTGGCAAAGTTCGGGTAGCATTATGATTGGTTTGATAGTGACAATATGTTCAATCATTAGTTTTAATAAAATAAACATAATTAAGGTATAGAGTCACTCAAAGCAAAAGGATTTTAGTCTAAAGTTCAAGATTAGCTGAAAGTCCCAAATGTGTTTATATCTCTGACTTTGAACCATTTCAGTAGAATCATCCACATCACACCAAACCTGGAGTTGGTGTTTGAATTTTTGAAAGAGAGTGTAAGTTTGTGTTCATTCATCATTAACTTAGACTGTGTGTGCAGATATCGACGAGTGTGAGGACAGTCCTGATATCTGTGATGGAGGCCAGTGCACCAACATCCCAGGAGAGTACCAGTGTCTCTGCTTCGACGGCTTCATGTCCTCTGAAGATATGAAGACTTGTCTGGGTAACTAACCCACACACACTCTCAGACACAAACACATACTAGTGGCGGGCAGCATGATAAACACGTACACTCCTGCGCAAAAAAGGGCCAAACCAGAGACGTTACAAAGGAGAAGACTGCATGAAATATGAGTGGAAAAGCTGGTAACACTCAACATGGCATCTCTTTACAGAGAAAGTCCCGCCCTTCAGTAATAAGAGCCAATCAGCTTGCTGGTTATGTCATGAGTAGAGAAGTGTCGATGATATTGTGGAACTAGAGGGAAAAGCCCCTCTCACTGTGGAGATCTGCGCACGCGCAGTAGCCAGAACAACCTAAAAAAATTTTAAGTGATTTCAAATATGTTTTTAAAACGGCATTTTTACCTTTTATGAGTTCTTTTTTATGAGGTCTTGTATGGCTCAAAATAACTGCCCAGCCGCTGAGTGAATAGGCTTTCCTATAAGGACTTTGGCCAAGCCCAGAATGGCAAACAATCAGCTTTTAATGGTTTTAGCAATAAATCTATGGAGAGGAATTTGTGCCCATTTGAAAAGTACTCACTACAGTGGAAACATGGAATGCAAAGTACACGTGACATTACTGCTCCATGATGAGATGCGGAATATGGGCCAAACTGAAAAATAAACCCCTACTGTTTTTTTTTTAACTTTGCTTGACCTCTTTACTGAAAAACAATGCATGAGGATTTGCATTTTAAAAATGAAATACTGAATCAAATTAAATCAAATCATGTTTGTCACAGCAGATTTACACAGATATACATATACACATATTAGACTCTAAATATATACATATATACACAATATATACATTAATATACACCAGTATTGCACCATTCCGATGTACAGTTTTTATACAGCAAGATAAGTTATGAAATAAAAGCTATGATGTGTACAGTTGTACACATTTCCATATATAAAATATGTGAGTCTAAGGTGGATAATGAGATGCATATATATATATATATATATATATATATATATATATATTTCAGATTTTGCAAGATGGGTATAGAAGAATACACATCAGAACTGAGTACAATCCACTTCAAAGTATAAAAGCAGGGCTATACTTTCCACCTTACAGTACTTAACGTTAAATCGGTAAAATGGATCTTTCACTTTTCATTCTGGCACGTTTTCCTCATGTTGGTGTTTAAATGCAGTCTCACGTGTGCACTGCATTTTTCACTGTTCTGACTGCATTTCAGTGAGGAAAATCCGTTTAAAGTGCTGCACAGCTGTGCATGCATTACATTTTAAAGTGCAGTGTGTTCAGTTCTGACATGAATTCAGTGCAAACCCTCATTCATGTTTTTCAGTGAAGAGTTTAAGCGCTAAATGTGAAAGTACTGTAATAGAGGTTTTGTTTTCATTTTTGGCATAATCTGCAATGCACTATTGAAAAGTAATGTTGTGTGCATTGTATTTCACACTTTTCCACTTTAGTGAGTGTTTTTCCTTCCAAATCTTAAAAAAATAGATGCTGTAAGTTAGTGTGGGAGAGCTTTTCACTTTGATTCTGTAAACTTGAGTCTTTTACAGAAAGCAGAGTCAATGTAGTTCCAATCTGCATTGATTTGATGGATACAAACAGTTAAAAACATTGCAGAGTTTGTGTTTAATGTGAGACAAAATATTTTCTGCCTCTATTACATTTTAAAATGTACTGTATTAAATTCTGACATTAATTGAGCATTTCATTTTTAAAATGCAACCCCTCATGCATTGTTTTTCTGTACAGAGGTCGAGCGAAGTGAAAACAGTCTCATAGAGAATCTGTCTATTTATTTATGCATGCTGGGGATTGTAGTGCAGCACACTGTGAAATGGGCTAATATTAATAGAAAATTAGAATTATTTTGCAGGCCAGAGAGGATTGTGTCGCAGGCCTTGTGTTTGACATATGGGCTCTATAGGGCTTAAATCTGGACTCTGACCAGCTAAAACCATCAGTAAACACCACTAGTGTTTTTGGCTTGGCACTAATTTATTTGTTTGCTTTTGTTTGTCACAATACTTAAAGATGATTTTGCAGTACACAATAAGTATCATAGTGCTTTTTTCAGAAATTTGAATTAGTTTTTATGAATTCGGAATGGACAGAATGTGCTAGTAAAGCAGTAATGCCACATTTGAAAATTGATTTGCAGTTGATCAGTGTTCTGTAAGCTCAGAAATGCTCAGAAAAGCATTATTTATTGTGATGATATATTCTCCGCACATACATACATGCTTACGCTCCTGTTGATCACACATATTGACACTGTCCTGACAAAACAGAAGGAGAAGGAAAAGAACAGTCTTAATTCAGTATATGTTAATGTAATGAGTGTTTATTATATGATCAGTTTGTAATGACAAGTACATACATTGTGAAAGATGGCTTGTGTTTTCTAAGCATGTAAAAAAAAAATAGATAAATCAGTAATTTGATTTGCACTGTTGATGTGCACAAAGTGATTTTTTTCATCTCTGCAGAAATAACTCTGTTTGACTCTGGATGGAAACATCACAACTGTAATATTAATTTCTGATGTGGCTGTTTTGTGTGTTTGTGTGTTTAAGATGTGGATGAGTGTGAGCTGAACCCAAATATCTGTCTGAGTGGAAAGTGTGAGAATACAAAAGGCTCGTTCATCTGCCACTGCGAGCTGGGCTACTCCGTCAGGAAGGGAACGACCGGCTGCACAGGTGAGACACACACACACACACACACACACACACACACACACACACATACAAACACACACACACACACAAACACACAAACACACACACACACACGTATGATTCAGTCTGAAACTGTGTGATGACTCCAGCATGCCCACACAGAAGAGAAGACATGTATTTATGTATTTCATGTATTTTTAATGAGCATTTTTGGATGTTTGTGAGTATCTGTAGCTGTTTGTGGATGTTTCTGAGTGTAATTGTTGGTAGTTGTGAGTGTATTTAGGTGTTTCTGAATGTAACTTAGTAGTCCTGAATGTTTGTGGGTGTTTGTGGATGTTTCTGAGTGTAATTGTTGGTAGTTGTGAGTGTATGTAGGTGTTTCTGAATGTAACTTGGTAGTTCTGAATGTTTGTGGGTGTTTGTGTGATTGTGTGTGTATTTGTTGGTAGTTGTAGGTACATTGGTGTTTGTGTGATTGTGAGTGTATTTGCTGGTAGTTGTGAGTGTTTGTTAGTGTGTTTGTTGGTAGTCATGAGTGTGTGTTTGTAGTTGGTAGAAGAAAGAGACTAAAAGAAAGTAAAGAGTAGAATGGACTCTGCTGGGTGTGTTCACTGATCCCACTCACACACGTGTGCAAATATACACACTCCTCCATCTGGACAATAATATTTAGGACAGACGGCTTGAGAGCTGAGAGAGAGAGTGCGTGTGTGTGCTTTGGGAGGTTCACCATAGCCAGAGTTAATGGGTAATGATGTCATCATTTAAACGTGATGGTTAGAGGGTGGGTCAGAATCATGACCGTGACCTCCACACACACGCTCCCTCACACATATACATACACAAACACATACACACACAAACACACACACTCTAACACTTTCACATGTGCCTTAAGCTCAACAAATGTAGATACAGTTTTACATATTTGTTTGAATTTAAAATAAACAAATCCACATATTAGGTACAAAATATATGTAACACATAGGGGCCTATTATTGTTACATATTTGCAGTAACATATCACTGCTTTTGGAACAAAAACTCTTATCTCCATTTTTGTCATTATGTACTTTTTTACGGAAATTCAAAATGCTAGTTGCCCTTTACAGTGTGCTAAAATTGCATAATGAATAGAAAAGCTCCAAAATTACCTGAAAAAAATCTAGTTCCATTAACTTTCATTCAAAGTTCTGAATGTTTTTTCCTTCTCTTGTAAAGTTATCATTTTGTACATATGAGGTTTCAGTGATTTATAATACATATGGGGCATATTGTTATCACATAGAGCTACAGACATGAATAGATCCCTACATGTACATGTATATATAATACATAAGCGCCACATAATTATCATTAATACATACTTACATATTGTCACTGTCGGACAAAATGGTAAACATAATGCAAAATGTAACTGGAGCTTTCAAATTGTGCAAAAAAAGTTAAAAAACTACAAAAAAATGGCAATGTTTTTGTGTGACTGCAACGTTATATGTATCACATGTGGGACACATTTGTTATACATATTAGGTGCTTACATGTCCTCATAAAGTATGAAAAGATATGTGAGTGTGTGTGTGTGAGTGTGTGTGTGTGTGTGTATGCGGAGCAGCATGTTAGCAGGTCGCGCTCGTTCATCTCTGGCAGCCTTATGAGGCTCCTGGCTTCTATTACTGATCGGCCTGTATTACTCACACACACTCACGGCCAACCAGCCATAGCCTGACAAACACACAGATCCATCCAAACACCAAAGCCCTGACGGAGAACACCCCCCCAAACACACACACATACACACACACGTTCCTCACCCCCACAGAGCGCTCATGTTTTTCCCATTCCTTCGGAAGCGCCCCGTGAGAGACTTCGGGGAACGAGCGTCCCGCTCCGAGTCACCGCTCTGGAATTCCGACTCTTTAAACATGGAGGAATTCCGCACACTGCTGGGAAAAGCAGCCACGTGTTTGGAGAAGATCCAGGATGAGAGCCGGCATGTGAGGTGGCTCCGAACAAATCCGCCCTGTTCTGAGGCTTTCACTTTACTAGCCTTACTGCACAGTTCTGATTTTGTTGCTCAGATCTGATCTGTCTGCATTGCTGGTTGACATTTGTAGGAGTGAGAGTGACCCATATCTGTCTTTATTGTGAACACACCTGTGTTCTGACAGCAGGTGAACGCATAAATTTTATGTAAGCAGTAGGTGGAGGTGGTGCTGGTGACAATAGATCACTGTAGTAGTGATTTTATTCCTCATCTCGTCCACCGCAGCAGTTTAAAAAGTGAAGGAAAAAGTAAAGAGGCCCCAAACATTGTCTTTTTATGGAGCCCTGCTGGTGACGTTCCGTATAACTAAAAATAATGCATGGCCACGGTGTATTAACAAGTGGGAATGAGATCCTAATGCGTGGCCACAACTTAGTAAGGCATGGGAATGAGATAATTGAGTCGTGGCCATGGCTTGGTAAGGCGTGGGAACAATATCATGCCTTACTATATTGTGGCCACGACTTAATTATTTTGTTCCTATGCCTTACTAAGTCGTGGCCATGCATTATTTAAATTTTTGATTTATACAGTTTTTAATATTGGCAATTTCAAAATAAAGAAGTTCCAACAGAGTTGCCCCTAGAGTTTCTTAGCAACCAGCGGTCAAAGTAATGATACAGGTGAAAAAAACAAGTAGAACGCATTTCACCCAGTAAGATTGTGTGGGCGGAGCAAACTGTAATACGAGCATGCACAGTAACGTGTGACGTTAAAAAAAATACACATTTTTAAACCGAGTGTTACAAGTGACCTAATCCGATCTGCGTGGTCAGACTGTTGTCACGTTTGCCTGCATATCCCACTTGGTTGTCATAGTAATTGCACAAATGTGTATATGCTGACAAATATGAAACTTGCCGCACATTCTGAAATCAACATTCTGACTGTTGATCTCCTGGGATTTTCACACATAGCTGTCTCTAGAGTTACTCAAAATGGAGCAATAAAGGAAAAAACATCCAGTGAGTGGCTGTTCTGTGGACAGAAATGCTTTTTTGATGAGAGAGGTCAGTGGATATGTGTCCAGACTGGTTTGAGCTGACAGAAAGGCTATGGTCACTCAGATGACCACTCTGTACAACTGTGGTGAGCAGAAAAGCATCTCAGAATGCACAACACATCCAACCTTGAGGAGGTGGATGGGCTACAACAGCAGAAGAGCACGTTGGGTGTCAGCAGTCCAGGCTGGTGGAGGTGGTGTAATGGTGTGAGGAATGTTTTCTTAGCCCTTTAATACCAAACAACCATCACTTGAATGCCACAGCCTCTTTGAGTAGTGTTGCTGACCATGTGCATCCCTTCATGGCCACAGTTTGGCTTTTAATGGCTTCTTCCAGCATGGTAGTGCACCATGTCACAAAGCAAAAGTAGCTCAAACTTGTTTCATGAACATGACAGTTCGGTGTTCTTCAGTGGCCTTCCCAGTGACCGGATCTGAATCCAGTAGAACACCTTTGGAATGTGGTAGAACAGGAGATTCACAGCATGAAAGTCCACCTGAAAAATCTGCAGGAATTGCGTGATGCAATCGTGTCAACATGGACCAGAATCTCAAAGAAATATTTCCAACATCTTGTGGAATCCATGCCATGAAGAACTGAGGCTGTTTTGAGAGCACACTGAGACCCTACCAGTATTAGTGTTATGTTCCTAATAAAGTGCTCTGTGAGTGAATTAAATTTATTTGATTCAAATGTACATCATTTCCACATGGATACGATTCATTACTTTAACACAATTGTTGCTCAAAGTAAGTAAACAGCAAGAGAAAACTGTGTTGATGTAGCATATTTTGCACATGTGGAAATGACTACTTAGATCAAGTTCTCATGTAAAAAGATCCTGCTCCATTCACATAGAAGCTGAATCATTAATCTGATCTGATGCTAATGAGTCTCTGCATTATGGCCTGATTTTGCTTCCTCGCTGAGAGTCTGATGTAGCTGAAATTGCAGTTTAATGAAAGGAAAATTATTTAAACAGCACATTTTCCTCAGGCACGCCATCGCTGCGTGTCTTTTATCAGAATCATATTTCGAGGAGATGAACATTCCAGCCAAGAGCCGCAAAACATGCCAGTGATTACGGCTAACGAGATCCTGCTCTAGAGGGCAATAAACCACGCCGGGTCTGTCAGGAGCTGTGTGTATGTGCATAAGTTTGCGTGTCGAGGGGATTTATCAATCTCTTTGTCTCCCTCAGAACTTTAATTGGTTATGAAAGCAGGACTGATCGTTGTGAACGGTTGGGTGGACTGGGGCAGCGCTGGGGTAAATAACCCTGCTTTCTGGAACAATCAGGGGTTACTGAGCCTCAGGGCTCCAGAGAGAGTTTAGGGGGCCAAGCACTTACAGCCATCAACACGAGAACCAGTGCACACATATGTAGGTCACTGTCCTCACCTCATGCCTCATGCGTTTCTAGTGTTTGGGAAACTGCAGACCCCTGCCCTGCTTCTCTCTAATTAGAGCAGCCTTCACTCAGGATCAGGATAGAGTGAGGGAAGCTCTGACCAGTGTGCAGATAGAGGGGTCACTGACCCTTTCTTATACTGCCTGCTAGAACACAACAGATTACAAAGTCCAGAATACTGTCTCTGATTCAGTAGTTATGTTGAATTCGAATGTATTTAAGGCCTTCAGAAAAAACACAATGTAAAGCCCCTCTTACTTCCTACGTCTCTCTCAAAGTGAGTACTACCTTACTGTGCTAGCCGCTTTTAGTGCAAGTAGCATGTTATGTTATAGTTAACTTTAGTTTGCTAGTGTAAGCTAACTGCTAACCTAAGTATGATTCAATGACGTGAGGTACCACCAGCAGTATAAGGTCATTTCTGTTTAGTGTGAAATATTAGTGTTCAGTTTAAGATGAAACCACCTACAAAAATCCAGGCTCTTTTGAGAGAAGTATATAATGTAAGGCCACCGCACACCAGAGACGCCACATAGCAGAGCGCTGCTATAGTATGCAGGCAGGGTGAGACTATAAACTCCAGGTTCAGGTTAATTTTTGCCTTATTATTGGCTTTAATTTAATGCATTAATGACAAAATACAGCATGGCACTCTGGGAAACTAAACAGTGCTCAGAGTCATAGAGCGCCAGTGCTCACTGTCATGCTTAGTCGGCACTGGTGCGCATACCTCCATTGAACACAATGGTTTTGAATTTTTGGACGCTGTGCAACGCAACGCAGTGTGTGCTGGCCTTAATATGTGGTGGAGAGGTCAGCAACCCAAATGTTAAGAAGAGCCATTTTGTCCTTTCAGCAAAAATCAAACCACCTTGGGAGCCACAACATTTTATGCCCATTTTACCATCTTGGCTGTAAATATGTCTCAGTATGTGCTAATGTACTAGTATAGAATAAAAATATAAATAAAAAATGAAGACTTACTGTGCTCTGCTTTTAGCCTTATCTCAGCTATTGCTGCTTTTCTTGCATCTCCAGCAGGAAACCTTTCCACAAAAGTAGAACAGTTTCTTCTAAAATGTCTTTCAACGTTCTACTTTTTTACGGGGCTGTAGCCAGCCTCTCATTCGTAAATGGTGCCTGTCAGGAAACCAGCTTGAGTGATTTTAAATGCAAATAAATCCATTCATCAGTTATCAATGTAAACTGCTTCAGTTATTCCTGTTAATGTTCTCAACATTTCTTTGACACACTTTCACTCAGAGTGATTTAACTGTGTTAGACTCAGCTGCGGTTGGGCGTGTTTGTAGCATTCTTTGGGGATTATGCGTAATAATGACTCTGTGGTCAGATCACAAGAAGGCCAGAGAGAGAAAATGAGAGAAAAAGTATAAGAAAAAGTTTGCAGCTCAACAGCTGATCAGTTCTACTAATTGATAAACTGCTGTGTTTAATGAATCCAACTTTCTGAAGAACAATAGAACATCTCATCTTGGATTTTAACCCTCTTGGATAGCGTGACCATATTTTGGTTTTCAGAAAAGAGGACACTGGGGGCAGGAGGACAGCACTGGAGGACTGTAGAAAACAAATGTCAACATGAAAGCAAAGCCAGATCGTGGACATTTTAGGCAATTTAGAAATCCCGGCTGGACGTTTTTTTTTTAGATTCCAAAAAGAGAACATGTCCTGGAAAAAGAGGACATATGCTCACCCTGCTTTTGGGCAAAGATTCTGCAAAGCAAAATTCTGTGAAGAGGTCCTCCAACCTGACCCATGAGTTGTGTAAACCATTTCTAACTGCCATACAGTCATTTCTTACACCCCAGTGCTACACTATTTATACTCTGGCCTGTACGAAACCCTGCTGGTGACATCCTGTACAAATCAAAATAATGCGTGGCCATGCCATATTAACACATGGGAACGAGATCTTAACAGGTGGCCATAACTTAATTATCTTATCATGCCTTATAAAGCTGTGGTCGAGACTTAATTATATCATTCACAGGCCTTATGAAGTCGTGGCCACACATAAGGATCTTGTTGCCATGCGTTAATACGGCATGGCCACATATTATTTTTTTTATTTGGGATGTCACCAGTAGGGCTCGTAGGCCATTTATGGCATTTTGGCAGACGCTCTTATCCAGAGTGACTTACAATATGATCATTTTACACAGGTAGGTGAAGGCAGTGTTAGGAGTCTTGCCTATTGGTATAGTGTAGGGTGCTTGAACCCCAGTCTACGGCATAGAAGGCAAAGGTGTTACCCACTACACTGTACCAATAACAATTACATTTGGGTGAGCAATAGGCTTTTAAGGAAGGGTTCATAGGACAGTCCTACAAAGGACCCGTACCACCTCAGCTGCAGCCTAGACTTTGGAACACAGTTAATGTGTGTAGTGAGCGTGTAGGGCCAACCAGCTTTGCTCTTGGGTTTTACTGAAACAGGTGGAGGAATTGTGTGGATAGCACAAATTCTCAGCTTCCAAACCAGATCATATCTGTGTTTGTACAAGTGTCATGTGTCACAGTTTCCTCAGTGCCCCTCTGACTGTGCCTGTTTCTTCCCCTGTGTTGGAGCCATGTGCTTTTTAGCCATGTGCGTTTGTTTTTGTTTTGGTTCCTTTGCTCCGCCCTTTCCTATAATAGGTGTTCCCTATTGTCTAGTCTACATCATGTTGTATGTAGTGGTTACATGTCTGCCCTGTGTTTGGTTTGTTTTATGTGTTTTCTTTTTAAAAGCCTTGCGGTTTGTCATTTGGTATCATTTTCGGTGTTTGTTCTAGTTGGTTTTTGTTTATTGAAGTTTGCTTGCACTTACATCCAGCCTCATTGCCCATCATGATTAGAAGTGCCCAGTAAAAATATCACAGAATTTCAGACCATAAACATTAATAACAGATCCACTAAGCACTGTGTGAAAATGATGAAACGTGTGTGAATTGCAGATATAAACGAGTGTGAGATCGGAGCTCATAACTGCGCCCGTCACGCCACCTGCACCAACACAGCTGGCAGCTTCAAATGCAGCTGCGCACCTGGATGGATCGGGAATGGAATTGTATGCACAGGTGAGCCTCTCTCACACTTACAGAGGGCCTGGAGAGCAAAGACGTGGTGCAGGAAACGGTTACCCTGTTACTCTGCATTGTTTCATCTCTGATCTCTGACCTGTGTTACAGATCTGGACGAGTGTTCTAACGGCACACACCTGTGCAGCTCCAACGCTGACTGCATGAACACCATGGGCTCCTACCGCTGCTTGTGCAAGGAAGGATACACGGGAGATGGATTCTACTGCACAGGTACATCGTCCAGCATACTAACTGCAGTAGCTGCAGTGCATTAGCACTGTCACTATCGATTATATTGTGAATCGAATAGTCGAGTGATTATTTTGGTGATTAGTTGAGTAATCAAGTTACTTTCTTTGTTTTTAACATATTAGACCCTAACAGAATTCTAAATTACCGCAGGATGGTGCTCAATGTCCCGTCTTAACGCGCCATGTCATTTTTATCGACTGTGCACTCCCACGTCAAGATTTTGGTGACTTTTACCTTTTAGAAACTGAGCCGTAGAAATAACCTCAGGTTATATTAATCCTGTGTGAACTGACATGTCGGTGAAAACACATCATATCCTGTGAAAACAGAGTTTCTTAAGTATGGAGACACCAAGAAGCGCTTACTCATGTTCTCTGTGGCTAAAATCAGGCTGATGCATAATGTTACTGATCTCTCACATATACAGCTCAGAACATGTTACTGTAACCAAAAAAAAAGCTTTGCTGCATTTTAAAGGTAAGGACCACCTCTTAAATGTGGAAAAAACACCAAGAGATAGAAATTAACACAGAGCTGTGAGCCCAGGACTGGGCTGGAACAGGATGATGGAACAGTGTTCCATCATCATTTCCAAGCAATTAACATGATAGTGCATCAGGCTCTAACATTGCCACATAGTATTCATGTAGATGAAGGTTCCACACTTCGCTGAGACTGAAGAGTTGTTAAGACATAAGACAGTTGTTAAGACATAAGACAGTTGTTAAGACATAAGCAACGTTTACACAAAGGAAAATAGCAAAATAAAAGTTTGACACTCAGAATGAGGAACATCCTTACTTGTTTAGCTGAGACTGAGAATAAAAAGCACTCTTAAAAAAAAAGGTTCTTCAAGGGTTCTTTAGTAAAGAACAACTCAAAGAACTATTAAATGGTTCTTTGCATGGTGAAACGGTTCTTGAGATTGATGGATAATGTATTTTATATGAACGTATATGTATTTTTGAAAAGGGTTCTATATAGCACCAAAAAGATTTTTCTGTCATTACAAGCTTGACATTGTAACAATAAATGAACCATTTTTGGTGCTATATAGAACACTTTTCAAAAAGGTTCTCTATAGAACCATCCACAGCACATTCTTAATCAATCTGAAGAGCCGTTTCACCATGCAAAGAACCATTTTCTTTACTAAAGAACCCTTGAAGAACCATCTTTTTTAGAAGTGCAGTTAAAATAAAATATTTCCTTAATATATTTTACTTTCACATCCTCACTGAAATCTAAGTAAACAGGAGTAATAAACAGATCTGAATACTCTGTATTCTAACAGCACCCCCTTGTGGAGAATGTTCAGACTGCTGAGCGTAGCTTTATAATGAACTGGGTAGTAATCACCCAACCTTTTCATAACAAATAATTTAAAAATTTAAATCTATTTTTTTTAACCAAGTAACCAATAATAGTTAAGTTACTGTGAGAGCCCTACAGCGCATATGAACTGTTTTGAAAAGTCAAAGTTCTGAAGCCTGTGTTGTGAAGACATTTTCTAATATATATGCTAGCAGACCTGATCTTACAGCAACTGATGAAGAGCATAAAATGTGTACCTGATAAAAGTGAGCTGTTCTTTTAATTCCCATAGAAAGATTTTGAAAATACCAGTTACTTTAATCAATCAGTGTTCTTGGCTATAAAAGTATTCTCCCCATATTTGCATCTGGAAGCCTTGGTCTTGTACATAGGTTGGTCATTAGGGGTCTTCAGACTCTTGGTTTTACCAAAATTAAAGCAAAGCAAAATTTTGTTCCTCATCTTCAGTCACCGAAAGCTGGCAAATTCGAAGGATGTGTATTTATCCATTAAACTTTCTGTAATGTACCGTTCTGTTGAGTAGCTGTTGCTGTCAGTCACTTGTTTATGCATGATTGGACAAGATTTGTTGCCTTTTTTATTGTGTATTTTCCAATGTGGACCTAAATAAAGCCTTCAAATGTGTGTGTGTGTGTGTGTGTGTGTTGCAGACATAGACGAATGTACAGAGAATGTGAATCTGTGTGAGAACGGTCACTGTTTGAACATCGCCGGCGGTTACCGCTGTGAGTGTGACATGGGCTTCATCCCAACATCTGATGGAAAAGCCTGTGAAGGTACGTCTGTCTTTACATCTCTGACCACATCAGTAATAACTCTGTCCCACAGAAACCACTTCTCTCAGCCTCGTTGGTATTCCAGCCCTTTTCCTTTGTTACAAGATGACATCATCTTGTAACACAGTCCTCACACGGCACACCCTCACACAGTACACAGCAGCTACTGGAGGAGGAAGAGTGTGTTCAGTGTTGTAGCCATGTGGAGAAGACACTGACTGGACTATCAGCATTGACTCTGGATCAAACTGATGTATCAGAACCAACGCTGCAGGACAGGGGCGGAAAGTGGAGGGGTGGAACCATTCTGGCAGTCGACCGAACAGAGTGGGCAAGCTGACCAATCACAGCACCCTGGGCGTTTTAGACAGAGGGTGAACAGTATGAGGAAAATAATGTGTTTTTGGAACGTTGAAGCTGTAAATCTGTTCTAGTAGACCTAAAATACAATGATGACCTTTAAAAATGAGCATAATAGGTCCTCTTTAAAGGGAGGTTTAAAATGTCTTTGTTGTTGTTGTTCTTTGGAGTTGTATGTATAAACTGAAACTGTCGGAACAAAATCTTGTATCTCCATTTTTGTCATTTTTCAGTTTTTGACAATTTGAAAATGCATGTTGTTCTTTACATTGCCTGTAATTTTTATGATGAAGGGACCATAAGAAATACTTCAAAATTGCTTGGAAAAACATCTGGTTCCACTGACTTACGATAAAAGTAAAGAATGTTTTTTTAAAGTTAACATTTTTGAGATACAAGGTTTTCTTCCGACAGCAGCAAAATGTATCTGCACTGTAAACAGTGCTCCTGCTCAAAAGCTTCTCTCTCTCTCTCTCTCTCTCTCTCTCTCTCTCTCTCTCTCTCTCCCATCAGACATTGATGAGTGCACCTTTGCTGATATCTGTGTAAACGGCCGCTGTCAGAACATTCCGGGTTTGTTCAGGTGCGAGTGTCATATCGGTTTTGAGTTGGACCGCAGTGGAGGAAACTGCACAGGTAACCTCATCATATCCACACACTCACATACAATAACTATCTGCACATCATATATAATGGCACATTTTAAAATGCCCATAAATCTGCCACATATGCAGGTGCAGGGTGAGTTTAACTGTACTAGAAAGGCCAGCAAAAACAGTTCCAAATGTCAATAAGAGGAATGACAAGCACAAAAACCAGGACAAACAGGCTTCAAATGGATTAAACGAAACCACAGTAAAAGAAAAAAAACAGAATAAACAGAAACTCACAACAGGCTCGTATGACGAGAGACACTGCAAACATAAGAGTTCAGCTGTTGTCTTAAAGGGGTCAGATCAGAGAAAAACAGATTTATTAAATTAAAATTTTTTAAGTAGTACGTGAACACGTGGAGTACGTGCTCTGCTCCTTCACGCTGACGTTGTGTGTTTCAGCCCAGAATGCTTTTTTAATGAAGCAAGACATGCAGCCTAATCAGAACAGAGCACATATACATATTAGTCTTAAAGGCACAATAATAAAAACATATGATAATATAATACAAAACATGCATACATCCACCTGCATGATGCCCTATATTAAATGGGAATTCCACCGACTTGTCAGAGTTTCTGCATAATTGAGTGTTTGAGATGGTAACAGTGGTGGTGATAGGAACCAGTGGTTGCCATGACAAATATAAAGATTTTATTCACTATCCACCAGTGAACCTACACGTCTTCTTCACAAGTTTTATGTGGAATGTTAATGATGGAGAATAGTGGAAAATCTGAAATAAGTTTTCTTTGAGGACTATGTTGCCTCACAGCACCCTGCATGTTATGTATCCCTCCACCATGAATGGAGTTTAAGTTCTCAAAATTATCATAGAACAGTGTCTCAGACATCAGGCAGTGTATTCATAACCATTTCATGTAATAACTTTCAGGGAGGGAGCTTTTAGAGGTGGACGTCTTGTTCCTATCACCACCACTGTGAACAATTCTGACTCTGTAAGTTTCTCTAGAACGGAGCGTTTCACAACAAACCACTCTGAACGACTCTGTTTACATCTGAACCACTTAACTATGCAAGTATTTTAAAAATCAGTGGAGTTCCCCTTTCCCAGCCATTGCAAAGCCTGCAGTGGCACACTGAGGATCCTGTACAGTTTAGAGGTGTTTACTGTAGGTAATGTAAGTCTAATTAGATTTGAAGGGGCACTGTGTGTGTGTTAGCAGTCTGTGTTAAGGAAAGATTTCTGTTTTTAATGGAGGCAGTGGAAACACACACACACACATGCACACAGACCTCTGTCCAAAACTGTCACAGAGAATAAAAGTTATTATAAATGACAGGGTTGGGAGAGCAAACAGACCAAAACCCACACACACTCATTAGAGGTCATCCCTCCCTGTCACACACACACAGACATATGAGTCTATCTGGTAATAGTTCTAATGAGTCTGATGTCATTATCATTAATCAGACCTCTCTCTCTCTCTCTCTCGCTCTCTCTCTCTCTTTTTTCCTCTCGTCTCAGATATAAATGAGTGTGCGGACCCCACCGCCTGTATCAGTGGCTTTTGTGTGAACACGCCAGGAAGCTACATCTGTAACTGCCCCCCTGACTTCCAGCTCAACCCCACTGGAGTCGGCTGTGTGGGTGAGCGAACGTCAACAACTCTTAAACTTTAAATACCTTCTGCACTCAAAATCATGCTTTTTATAAGGTTAACTCCTTTTGGGTGGTTAATTATGATAATAAAGAATGGCATTTGTGTCAAATGGGTTACCACAGAACAAATTCTCCAAACTATAAAACTGGATAGTTTCTTTATAATTAGTCAGAGGTGAGTGATATGGCAAAAATCTAATATTGCAATACTTTAAGTAATCTTCACAATACACAATAAGTCATGATAATTATTTTTCAGACGATATATATACGATACGTTCAGAAAAGCATATTGTATTGTGCTGTGATGTAATTTATCATGATAATGATGGTCATATTGCCCAGACTACGGTTTAACATACCTGAAGAATCAGTCCCTTGAAGTCTCTTCAGCATTTTCCTTCAAAGCTCAGTTTAAAAAGTTTTTTTTTGTTTTGTTTAATGGCTTAGCTTTGGGACGATAATGTAGTTTTAGTTATTACACATACTATTCATCTTCTTCATGCTTCTGTAAAGTGAAAATGGAGCTATATAATTCATATTTTATTTTGCAATACGTAGGTAATCTACCCTTTCAGACACATACAAAATAAATATCATTTCAATTAATAACTGACTCTAAATGTAGGTATTGTGATATAAACTGAGTCTGTTCTACAGTTTCTCATTAGGTTGAATGAATAACTGACTCTAAATGTAGGCATTGTGATATAAACTGAGTCTGTTCTACAGTTTCTCATTAGGTTGAATGAATAACTGACTCTAAATGTAGGCATTGTGATATAAACTGAGTCTGTTCTACAGTTTCTCATTAGGTTGAATGAATTACTGACTCTAAATGTAGGTATTGTGAGATAAACTGAGACTGTTCTACAGTTTCTCATTAGGTTGAATGAATTACTGACTCTAAATGTAGGTATTGTGATATAAACTGAGTCTGTTCTACAGTTTCTCATTTGGCTGAATGAATAACTGACTCTAAATGTAGGTATTGTGATATAAATTGAGTCTGTTCCACAGTTTCTCATTAGGTTGAATGAATAACTGACTCTAAATGTAGGTATTGTGATATAAACTGAGTCCGTTCTACAGTTTCTCATTAGGTTGAATGAATAACTGACTCTAAATGTAGGTATTGTGAGATAAACTGAGTCTGTTCTACAGTTTCTCATTAGGTTGAATGAATAACTGACTCTAAATGTAGGCATTGTGATATAAACTGAGTCTGTTCTGGAGTTTCTCATTAGGTTAAATATTTATTTTCCTCTAAATCTTGTTTTGATTTAGTGTGTGTGTTAATGTTGATGTTTGTTATAGACACTCGCTCCGGTAACTGTTACCTGGATGTGCGTTCCCGTGGCGACGCCTCAGAGAGCTTGGACTGTTCCAATGAGATCGGAGTGGGCGTGTCTAAAGCCTCCTGCTGCTGTTCGCTGGGACAGGGCTGGGGAACACCCTGCGAGGCCTGTCCTCCACTCAACTCCTGTGAGTCGAGTCATTCATACATACACTCCTGTGCAAAAAAAGCCCAAAAGGGCAAAACCTTATGTTTTTATGGTCCTAACAACAAATCATTAAGCAGAAAGATGCAGTAACTTAGTATAAGAGTCATTTCCACTTTGATTGTCTTTAAATTTTGAATTACAGACAGTCTTTTACAGAAAGAAGAGTCAGTATTGATCCACTCAGCATTGATGGCTTCAAACAGCTGAAAAACATTGCTGAGCTACTTTGTGTTTACAGTGAGATCAAATATTCTCTATAGGGTTTAAATCTGGACTCTGACCAGCCAACCAGTATATTTTGCATGAGAGTGTACACAAACACAATCACAACACCTACACTCTACACACTTAAAAAAGATGGTTCTTTAAGGGTTCTTTAGTAAAGAAACTAGTTCTGTATAGAACCATGAACACTGAAAGAAACCTTTGCATGATGAAATGCTTCGTCAGATTGATGGAGAACATGTTGTACATTGTTCTATCTTTTATATAGCACCAAAAATTTCTTCTATAGTTACAATAGCCACGTTTACATGCAGCCTGATAATCCGTTAATAATCCGACTAATAGCTCAATCGGAATAGAACACGTCCATGTAAACACCTCAATCGGAATAGACTAGTCTGATTGAGGCCATTCGGAATACAGTTTCTATCCGATTGAACGAGGTGGGTAAACTTCTAAATAATCCGTTAAATAGAAGCCATGTGAATAAATAGCCATGTAAACGCCTGAATCCGATTACATTCCAATCGGAACGTGTAAGTATGTTCTGCGCATGTGCGTCGCGTCATGGCGAAAGTTTATACCGTTCAGCATGGCGGAGCAGAAACTGGTCTGCAGAGGAGACGAAGTTTATGCTCTGAGCTTTAAAAGACAGCGGTGGGACGGACGTCCAGCTTATGAGTCTCAGAACACGACGTCTTCCTCTCGCCACTTCCTTTATAAGTACATGTGAAGCACGTTTTCCTGAGTCTGACATCATTTTAAAGCAATTAAAACACAAGCGCGCCAACTGGAAACTCATCTCACGCGGACTGGACCTCACGTGATGTTCGCTGTCATGGTAACGTTTACTCTAAACGCTACTCCACGCATGCGCGTCATTTTGCATCGGATTACTTGCAGTGAGCATGTAAACGAAGATTTTCCATCAAATCGTTGAATAGAGTGTGCATATAAACACCTCAGTCTGAGTCTGTAATCGGATTGTATTCAATCGGATTGGCAAAAATCTTTGCATGTAAACATAGCCAATGTCAAGCTTGTAACCCTTTTTGGTGCCATATACAACATATTCTCCATCAATACGAAGAACAATTTCACCATGCAGAGAACAATTTAATAATGCAAAGTCTTGTTTTAGTGTTCATGGTTCTATATAGAACCATTGTCTGTACTAAAGAACCTTTGAAGAGCCGAAGAACCTTTGAAGAGCCATCTTTTTTAAGATTGTAGTGCTGAGTGATATTCAGAAGTCACATAATCAGGTTGGTAGAGTAGCCTGAATCAGTACTGGAGTAAAAATATTGATACTTGGGTTAAATAATGATACAAGTAAAAGTTAAAGTACCTTCAAATAAAACACCTTGAGTAAACATACGAAAGCATCAGGTCTTAAGTACTGAGTAACTTACAGAACTGCGGTGGAACTTCATAGAACATCCGGCATCTCTCAGCACAGGAACCGAAGACTGTTCAGTCCTATTTTTCTCTTTTTTGGATTATTCTGCTCTAAAATAAAATCATAAAGCTCCAAAGTCAGAGATGTGAGTAATCACAGAGCAGAGCAGATGCTGAGCAACAAAACAGAATGAAATTAAACACAAAACAGAAATCAGTAAATAAACATGAACAGTGAAAATGTAACAGTGAAAAGTAGATTCCTTCACTCACTAATATACTTGAGTAAAAGTATTGGGTCATTCTCCATTTGTAGTGAGAATTCAGGTGGATACATTTTTAAAAAATCAATTTCTTTCATCCCAAAAGTAAATAATCTTAATATGTCCATTAACATCTCCTATTATCATATATGCAAAACAGGAGAACTTCATTCCAAACATATTTTACAGTCAATGGTGTTGTGTGGTCAGGTGAACTCGTGCAACTATTTAAAATAAGTAATAAAAATGATAATATGGCATTATTGTAAAATTAATTACCCAGCCATTAAAGCACAAAACACGGTGACACATAGAAGTTATGAGCTGCCTGATAAACAAAATTATTAATAAATTATTGAAATATAGTGAGCAAGTGTGGACCCCAGGAAGCAGTTTAACGGAGCTGAAAATACTGGGTTGAAATGTACACCAGTGACCAAAATCTCTGTGACAAATCAATTTCTAAAACAAAATACACATTTTCAAATGTAGTATAACTTTAATGATACAAAAAGTAAACATGAATCTGTTTTATACAAAGTTAAACCTGTTAAAATATAGTTTTATATTAAAAATGACTTCTCAAATGTTGAAAATTAGTTTTGTGATGAGCTGTTTTACAGATGCAGCGTGACTATGAAACAGAATAAAAAAATAAAAATCAGAGAATCATAAAGGAAAAGTGTTAATTAATCTTAGGTCGACTGTGTAAATGTACATACCGGCTTTTGGAGCTGTGCCTGATATTTTAAGCATCTTTTTAAGCCATGCAAACCTTGTGACATGGTTTCCCCTCCAAATGGAGAATGACCCTATTATGATTTGAAAACACTCAGCAGAGTAAAAATACATCATTTTACAGACGTACATGAACATTTAGCCTTTTTCCACTATTCTGAAATGAAATAGCAGTGGAATGGAAGGTGCTTTTGAAAGACAGATTAAGGCAGTAGTTTGTGTCCATACTGGACAAAATGTGGTGTTATAGTATGTGGTATTTTATTGCTATGGATTGCAGTTATATTGCTACATAGTGCAATTATGCAAACACTCAAAAACATCCATGACTGGTCAGGATGGCCAAACTACACAGGACTTCTACATTATCACTCCTGCAAAGACTCATGTCACAAACAATATATTGTGCAGCCCTAGTCCACACAAACACGAACACAGGGTGGGACCCACATGATCTGCAGAATAAATTTTACAGATCGATTTTGAGGCGCTGTGGTCATAACGGGTCAGCAGGTTGGGAGCTCGTGCTGATGAATATTACGGCTGGCTGGGTGCGGCGTGCTTGGAAAGTTTGCTTGCGAAAGCAGACGGGCAGCAAATAATCTGCAGAGAAAAACATGTTATTAATTATCACACAATGAGTACACATATACAATAAAGCTGCATAAACTCTGAGCAACTGAGCACAACATTTAACTGCATTTTTTCCAAGAAAGTACTTCTGCGGCATGCCACAGTGATTTGCTTCGGCTGTGATTAAATTCCGGATGACGTGTAGATGATCTGTAGCATAATTAATTTATAATTTAATGTTGGTACAGATAAAAAGTGGAGAAGAAAATCTGAGCTGCTGTGCACTTCTGTCAACACAGTGACGTCACGCAGCTCGTTTTGTACTGGCATGTGTAGGTTTACTTCTGTTTTCCACCATTCAGTTATTTATTTTAGCAGCTGGTGTGGAGTTAAAGAGAAAAAACGCTGCTTAAAGGATTCCTTTAAAATATTACATTAACATAATTACTGTGTGTAAAATACTTCAACTTGAGGTAACATATTTCATTTGTGTGGAACCGATGTACACATTTGAATCATACGGAGCCCCAAAAGTGACATGATGATTATTTTTAAAAAGGTGTGGCCACAGAAAATTATATTGAGGCAACAAGTTAATATATTGAGGCTGCAATATAATACATTAAGGACATGAGTTAAAATGCTGACACAATAAAAAAATCCACTTTTTTATCTCTCCATAGGTGTCACTGGTGTTACCAATTCTCACTGGTGTTACACATAAGAAAGGTAACACCAGAGACACCAGTGATATTTTTAATGAAAAATGCATTTTACAAAATGGCTGCAACAGAGCATCAAACCACATGTTGTCAATCATGGAATATCCACTAAAATATGGAATTTAATCCATTCCTTATGTATTTTTTCACAATTACCTAAGAATAAAGTCGGTCACACCAGTGACGTCAACTGAAAGCTTCATATGAAATCATGAGCTAAATGAGAAAATCTCTGATAACTGAAAGACACAGTGGACTTACCATGTGCTTTTTTCATCCTCAGAAAACAGGTAAAAGGAAATAATATTTATTTTGCATTTGTTTTCTTTATGTCAATTAATTTATATATTCCAGAGTCATGTATAGATTATTGCAGTTAAAATTGCATAAAACTTGCTTTTTTCTTCAAAATATGGCCTCACCCTTTACACATGACAGTAGGGACAAGCACTTCTGTGGTGCTTGGAATTCTAGATGATTGATTTAAAAACCAATATTGCTAAATTGATGGCTCAAGAAGGTGTAATTGTTAAAATAGAGTTTTATTTTAAAATATAAATAAAATGTAAACCTAACATGTTTTCAAGTGTAATATATCTGCAAACGCTAGGGACACAAAAATGGACGTTTCTGTAGAATGACTCATAAGTTTGTATATTGAGGCCATGAGTTAATATACTGAGACCATATACTGAGGTCACAAATGAATATAAAGGTCACAAATTAATATGTAAAGGCCACAATTTAGGTTTTGTATGGCTACGTGGCATATTCATTTGTGGCCTCAATGTATTAATTTGAGGGCACACCTTATTAAAAAAACACCATATCACCTCAGGAGCTCCATAGAATCGTAGAAATTCCCTAGAAACACACACTTAGACATCCCACCCTACTGATAGAAACAGAGCTCAAAAGCGCTTTTGGGACACTTTCTATCATCATTTGGTTTTTAAAATGATTTCATTTGTTAGTATTGCGTAAATTGTGCTTTACCACATTCTAAAATACATAAGCTATATGATGACTTATCAGTCAATACTGAGCAAAAGCAAGCTTGAAAGCCTTCACAAGGCGAGTGCCATAGATCATCACAGCCGTGATGTTATTTGCAATAACAAGCAGCTTGTTGCTACATCAGAGTATTGAACTCCGCTCACTCGCTGCACAGCCAACAGTTCGTTCTCCAGCTCCTTACAGTAAATTCCAAAACTGTCTTCACCACTAAGCAAGCTTTTCAGTTAGCAGCTATGACAGGAGAACACCTAAACAACCTGGAATTAGCCAGAAATTAACCAAATACCATTCACCAAACGTGTACTGTACTTTGTGCTGCTGTCATAAACAACTTTCCCTCGGCGATTAATAAAGCTATTTATCTATCTATCTATCTATCTATCTATCTATCTATCTATCTACCTACCTACCTACCTACCTACCTACCTACCTACCTATCTATCTAAAAGCAAATGTTTAAACCAGACATCTCCACCACAGCTGACTCTGACCTTCATTATTGTTCCTAAAAGGCAGAGAAAGCTAGAAGAAAACTTGAATGTTGAGTTAAATTGAAAAATATTGTCTCTTGGTGATGAAACGTCAGTGAGAACTGTATTTTCCAAAATCAAAGTGAAAAATGTGCTGAAGTGTTCAGAACCTGCTGCACTCTGACCGTCCAAAAGAAAACATCCAACAGACCTGGCTAAACATCAAACCGGAGAAAAAAAGCACTCCATGCCTAGAAGACTTCACACTGTCATCCAAACGAAGAGACATGCAACAAAATGCTGACCTGAATAAAACACTAAATGCTGACCTACATAAAGGGCAGAGACACTAATACTTGTTCTGCTAATGTTTCAGCATTTTACTGCCTTATTTGAAGTTTTCAGTTTAATCACGGCAATCATTAACGTTTTAGTAAGTAAACCAGGGGCTGGATTCACAAAAGTGCCTTAAGAAAGAAAATCTTCTTAAGTGTGTGTTTTTTCTTAACTTCAATCATTTAAGAACGTAGTATTTTCAAGAATAACATTTGTTTTTAGAATTTCTCTTAAGAAAATATTTAAGAAAATAAGATATTTGAAGAATAACAATTTCTCGTAACTTTTTTCTTAAGAATGAAGTTGGGGAAAAACACATTTAAGAAAATTTTCATTCTTAACAAAGCTTTTGTGAATCTGGGCCCTGGTTGTTCTAACTTTTCTGATGGACACAAATAATAGCTTGGAAAGTAATAAATAAACTAAGATTATACATTAAAAAGATGTTTTTCAAAGGTTCTGCAGTAAAGACAGTGGTTCTGTATAGAACCATGAACACTCAATAAACCATTTGCAAGCTTAGAGTGTTCTTTGCATGGTTAAACAGTTCTTCAGATTGATGGAGAATGTGTTTTATATGGTTCTTTATAGAACCTTTTTGAAAATGGTTCTATGTTGAACCAAAAAGGGTTCTTCTACTGTAACAGACTTAATATTGTAATATAATATAACTCTTTCGGTGCCATATAGAGCCATCTCTATCAATCTGGAAAACTATTTCACCATGCAGAGAACCATTTAAGCATGCAAAGGGTTCTTTGAACTATTCAGAGAGTGTCCCAAGACTACATTTTTAAAAAAGATGGTTCTTTAAGGGTTTTTTTAACAAAGACAGTGGTTCTATATAGACTGTATCAAGAACACTCAAACCTGCAGTGGTTCTTTGCATGGTAAAATCAGTAAAATCATAGTTCTTCAGATTAATGGAGAATGTGTCGTATATGGACCTATATAGTGCCAAAAGGGTTCCTCTATTGCTACAAGCTTGACATTGTCACAATTGCAGAACCCTTTTTGGTGCTATACAGAACCATTTTCAACATATTCTCCATCAATCTGAAGAACCGTTTCACCATGCAAAGAACCACTGAAGCATGCAGATGTTCATGCAGAGTTCATGGTTCTATGTAGAATCATAGTCTTTTTTAAAGAGCCCTTGAAGAACCATCTTTTTTTTAAGAGTTTAATTGTGAACGCTGTGTTTTTATCTTGTGTTTTTTCCGTCTGTGATGTGTGTGTTTGTTGTTTTCTCTCTCAGCTGAGTATAAGTCTCTGTGTCCTGGTGGAGAGGGATTCAGACCCAACCCCATCACTGTCATTCTGGAGGGTGAGTTCACACACATCCGTTCTCCACTGTGAGGAAACGTTCGGGTGTGATACTCGTGGTTCTTGCTATATTCTCACATATATTCTCAAAAACATTCGTATAAGAACCGTTTCATTCCAAAAGGCTCTTTATCCAGTTGTAACAATTTTGGATATGGGTAGTTTCTGAAAACAATGACAGCTGATGCATAATGGAAAACATTTGTATTTTTTTAAATAAAGGTGGTACTAATCATAATACAGCATTGATTTTGTATGTGTCTGCATGCGTAAAGCTCACTCCCAACAGCGCACATTACTTACAAACTCATATAACATAACAGCTGTTGTCAAGGAAAACCTTGTATCTCATGTGTCAGAAGCTGAAAAATGAAAAAAAAATGGAGATATGAGGTTTTCTTCCGACTGCAGCGATATATACATCTTATACATATATGTATCTATACATATAGTATGGTGCTCATGCAGAGGTTTTCTATATCGCTATATATAGTGATATATAAAACCTCTGCATGAGCACCATTCTGATGGAGTCGAAAACGTATTGGAATTTTATTCTACTTAAAATATTTGCTCTAAAACCTCGTATCTCCATTTTTTTCTGTTTTTGATATAATTTAAAAAGGCATGTTGCTTTTTACATTGTCTGTCATTTTTATGATGAATGGACCAAAAGAAATAGTTCAGAATTGCTTGGAAAAAAGTCTGGTTCCATTGACTTACATTAAAAGTAAAGTATGTTTTTTCCTTCTCCTGTAAAGTTACTATTTTTGAGATACAAGGTTTCGTTCTTACAGCAGCGAAATTTGTCTGTACTGTAAACAGTGCTCCTGCTCAGAAGCCTCTGAGGTGTTTTAAAATGAAAGTCTCTCTCTCTCTCTCTTTCAGACATAAATGAATGCCAGGAGCTCCCTGGACTGTGTCAGGGAGGGAACTGCATTAACACGTTCGGGAGTTTTCAGTGCGAGTGCCCGAAAGGCTTCGCACTCAATGAGGAAACCAGAGTGTGTGAAGGTAAAACACTCTCTCTCTGTTCCACACACACTCACTGACCTCAGCACGGAAACATGCCTATAATAGTTTTTTAATGGGGCGATGTTTGTTGAAAGGCAGAACGAAAGAGCATGTGTGGTTTAAAGGGGTGGCCAGCGTGGCCAGCGCCCTCCCCACTCCTTAAATCTGATTGGCCACCCCAAAATGCCACCCAAAAATTTCTGCCACATCATTGGCTTCCACCTCGCTGTGGAGGGGGTGTTTGTGCCTTTAAGGGAAGAGTTGTTTTGCTCTCAGCGGAACAACTCTCCAGCTCTTCCTGTCTGTGGTGAGTGGGCATCTGACGCACAGTCAGATGCATTTACAGCAGTAGTTAAATGGAGCAGCAGTTACATTCTGGTACCTCAGGTGTCAGAACTGCTGCTCCATTTAAGATGGAACGGGAAAACTCAAACCAGAATCTGGCAAATGTCTGACTTCAGCTTCATATCACTGAAGAATTAGGGGTGGGCGATAATAAATAATTACCCCCTTCCACTTTGAAGGCTTATGATGCCCTAAATGACCAGCAGTGAGGAGCTGAACTTTACCCTCCTCTGCTGTCACTGCAGACTGGCAGGGTCGCCTACTGAGCACAGCTAGTAGCCTGTTAATGAAGTACTGTTCTTTTTATTTGAGGGTCCCATTTCAGAGGGAAACACCTCAACCACTACCCTGTCACTCAGTTCCAAGGGACTAGGTGACCCTCGAAAACAAGGGGCAGGGGTAAAAATGAAAAATGAGATAGAGCCATAAAGTGTGCAAAAACATGTTTACAGATAAACACGTGAATAATGTGTGATGTGTGTTTTTTCACACGCAAACACGTTGGCTGTGTCTGAAATGTAGTAAACGTGGTCTCCTCAGACAGCATTCTTAATCAAGTCAAACTCTAATGTGTACATAAAACGCTACCTGCTGAGGCTCCTTTATTTGAAGGCAGTGTAGATGTGTCCTTCATTGTCTTTAATATCCCATAATCCTCTGTGTCCGCACTGGTGCGGTTAGCAAAAAACAGCAGGAAACACCAACACTGACACAGTGGACACTGCTGCTTTCTGAGACAGCTGCCTTCAGTTTTGGACATGGTTGTTTTTAAACCCTCTGCTGTCCACAAACTCACTCACACGTCAGATCCTCTGTTTCTATATCTGTGTATGTAACTTTGTGATGATCCAGCACCGAAATCCAGCTCAATGATTTCCTGAATCTGTAGAGTCGCCCTTTCCATTCCACCTTATCACGAGATCATACGTGACTCACATCCAGAGTTATGAGGCTATGAAGAGGGGCTGAGATACACATCATCTGCCTCTCACCATGTGGAACTGGTGGATTCATGTGTCCGTCTACATTCTGTGTAAAACTGACCAATGCATACTCAGAAAATCACTAAGCATTGACCCATCACACCGGAAACCTTTCTTCACTCAGTCCACATCGGAGAAACGTGAAATGGCGTGCAGAGAGTTTACAGCTGCTGAAGTTGCTGTAGTGGTTTTGGAAAGTAGTGATGAAGATAACGGAGCATTTTGATATAAAACATATGAATATCATGTTATATGATGATCCTTTTAGGGGGGATTTAAGAAGGTATGAACAAACCGAGAAAGCTAATAGTTCTAATGGTCTTTTTTCAGTGGGGCATGTATTTAAAACAATTGAAAATCAAACTTACAGTTTTCCCCACTAAGCCCAAATGCTAACTGACTGCATGCCTAGACAACTCTGACACGCCGTTATCTGTAAAAATGAACAAAAGTACAGACCAAATTTTGCAGTATTTTTACTGCTTTGTGATGTCAGTCCATGTTTCTAGATAACAGTGAGTCATACAGTGTCAGAAATAACATAAGCAAATCTATTAGAGATGCTAAACAAGTCCACAAACTCTGAGATGAGTGTGTGATGATTTAAACATGCAGTTAGCACTAACTGTTAATGCTAATAACCTTCCATTGCTTGTTATCTACCTTAATTTTGTAGCTCCAATGCTAAAGTACAGAACCAAACCTCAGATATCAGGCATGTGTTGGCTGGGGTAAGGAAAAGTGCATAAACGCTATTTTTAATCAGAACACTTGCTTTAAAAAAGAAAAAAGAATGATTTTGCCCCTCAACCTAAACATACTCGAAGTGAACAAATCCCTGTCAGAATCAAATACCTCATTAAAACCTTACAGACCCCTTTTTTAAAACAATGTGACTCTTTCCAAAACCCAGCGAAACAGAGTCATGGAATAAATAAACTGCTCTACTATAAATCCTGAGGAACCCTGAAGATGTTCTCCATGATGAATATTGTGTTTATAGATTTGGAAGCAGTGTGAGTCAGATTTAAGTGGTCAGTGATGTAATCGCTGGGGGGGAGGGATGCGGTGCAGGATTTAATGACGTAAGTGTTAAGTCTTCAAGCTGCAGGGAAGAGCAGTAAAAGTAGAGTAACAGGGTTTACCAGCTGACTCTCTACTGTGAAACACCTATCTAATAGCAATGGGGGGACGGATAGAGCACCGATTAAAGAAACAGCTTCAGTCTGATCTCTGCTGCATATGAAACAGAAATAAAACAAAACATTTTGATTACAAACATATATTATAAGGCAAAGAGCAGATAAGTGTATGAATCAACAGGAGTGATGTTTATGCTTACACTGAGAATAATAACAATAAAAAGTAAAACAACTGCTAAAGATTTAAAGATGATACTCATCCATATATTTTTACACTTACTAAGTGCTTTATTAGGAACACTTCCTTGTTTCTACACTCACTGTCCATTTTATCAGCTCCACTGATCATATAGTTTCACTTTGTAGTTCTACAGTTACAGACTGTAGTCCATCTGTTTCTCTGCATACTTTGTTACCCTGTTCTTTAATGGTCAGGGCCCCATTTTTCCAATGGTCAGTTTCACACAGAATGTAGACGGACACACGAATCCACCAGTTCCACATGGTGAGAGGCAGAACTTGTATCGCAGCCCCTCTTCATAGGCTCATAACTCCGGATGTCAATCACATATGATCTCGTGATAAGATGGAATGGAAATGGCGACCCTACAGATTCAGGAAATGTGCTTCTGTGCTGGATCATCATAAAGATACAGGAACGAATACAGAAACAGAGCACATGCGGAAACATGCGGGCAGGTTTGTGGACCCCAGAGGGTTGAAGTATCTCTGGGTTTTGTTGACGAGTGATGGGAAGAGGGACCGTGAGATCGGCCGTAGGCTGGGACAGACAGCAGCAGTGGTGAAGAGGGAGCTGAGCCATAAGGCAAAGCTCTCTGTTTACCAGTCGGTTACATTCCCACCCTCACCTGTGGTCATGAGCTATTGGGTAATGACCGAAAGAATGAGGCCACGGATACAAACAGAGGAAGTGAGCTTTTTTCGCAGAGTGGCGGCTACATTCTACTGACAGAGTGAGGAGCTCATCATCCAGGACGAGCTCAGAGTAGAGCCGCTACTCCTCCGCATTGAGAGGAGCCAGTTGAGGTGGTCTGGGCGTCTAGTCAAGTTATTAAGCAATAAGATTTGATGTGTGACATCATTCAGCCCCCCATCGGCATCCAAAAAAAAATGTTTGTGTTGTTGTTGATTTGGACGTCGTTGGGGGCCTGAGTGACGTCACTTAATAAAAACAGAATTCTTTAGCCCATAACTTGATAAACACAACAGCACAAACATTTTGTAATGGCACAGACCAGTGCAAACGAATGAGTCTGCTTTGGTGCGATTTAGCTGCTTATGGGAGGCTGAGTGACGTCACACGTCAAATCTTATTAACCCATTAGAGTCCTTTACACTGTGATATCAACCCTCCAGAAAAAAAAAACAATACCATCAGAGACTATTGGATAATGGTTTCTATGATTTTTTTCAGTATGGTCTGTGTAATAGATCGGTGCTCTATGAACCAGTTAAATTGTGATTTTTGTGCATGTAGATGTAAACGAGTGTGAAAGGCCTGGTATCTGTGGTCCGGGTCAGTGCTACAACACCATCGGAAACTATACCTGCATCTGCCCACCGGACTACATGCAGGTCAACGGAGGAAACAACTGTATGGGTGAGTCTGGACACACACACATGTCAGTATAGTCACCTTGACAACTTCAGTACAGACTGAATTCAGGACAGTAGCTTCATAATCTTATCATTAACTTCCTACAAGAAAACTGTATTAGAAAAACATCCTAACTAGACTAAATCTCCTAAATACCGTCCTAACTTTAGGATAAACCCCAACAGTGTCCTAACTTCTGTTTAAGCATCTCTTTCTATCGTTTTTACATTTCAGCTGTGTGTGTATGGTCAGTTGCTTAGTAACAGACATAACAGTCGATTATTGATTAACTTGAGATAAGATGACTGACTGGTCAGATCGTAACTTAGAACTAAAGATAGGAAGTTTCTGTAACATAGCCCAGTTTTAAGTGAAAACACTGAATTCTTTTTTATAGTGTGGCGCCTGACTAACATTTTTTTGCTTCATATTTAATGCCTTTTCCCTATGTTTATGTTTACCTGACTGGGTAAACATAATATAAACATGATGATATGTTTTTAATGTTCTGTACACATTTTCTGTGCAGTGGTCAGTTTGACCCCAGGCTGTTTCAGCTGTACGAATCATATGAAACATCAACATTTTATGTTAGTTTTGGTTGTTTATGATGATATTGATGTCACTGTATGCATGCAATTTTATAATCTTCAAAAAATCTTCTGCTTTGACAGAACCACACCTGTAGTAGCGCGAGAACCACTGACAGTTCACACAACATGGGGGCGGAAACTGTATTCAGAAACTCTATTTCCCAGATTTAAATTGGATTAAAGATGTTAGTAAATTTGAGGATAACCAGAGGTTTAGATTTTTTAAAATCAATTTTACATTACAGCTCATGGTATTTCAGGTGGTCAGTATGGTCATTGAAGCAGCTTTTGGTGATTTAGTTTAGTTTCCCATATTATATTAACTGTGTTTGATTTGAGCTGTGAGTGTTTTATGATCGTGTATGTTGTGTTTTTCTGTGTTTCGCTGTATGTGTGTGCAGATATGCGGCGCAGTCTGTGCTACAGAAATTACTACTCTGATAACGCTACGTGTGACGGTGAGCTGACGTTTAACATGACGAAGAAAATGTGCTGCTGCTCCTACAACATTGGCCGAGCCTGGAACAAACCCTGCGAGCCCTGTCCCATACCCAGCACCAGTGAGTTACGCACCAGCAAGAGAGTGAACTCAGTACTGACAAATACATAAAGGCATGTTACCAAACAGATATAGCAACAAAAGTACACACACACAAACTTATCACAGATATACAGTGGCATGCAAAAGTTTGGGCACTCCCAGTCAAAATTTCTGTTACTATAAATAGTTAAGTGAGTAGAAGATGATCTCCAAAAGACATAAAGTTGAAGATGAAACATTTTTTCAACAATTTATGCAAGATTAGTGTAGTATTTTTGTTTGGTACAATTTTAGAGTGACAAAAGGAAAGAAGCACCATGCAAAAGTGTTGGCATCCTGAGAGATTTGAGCTCTCAGATAACTTTTACTGAGACCTCAGACCTTAATTAGTTTGTTAGAGCTGTGGCTTGTTCACAATCATTGTTAGCAGGAATGATTTAGGTCAGTTTGAGTTGCAAGCCACTGTACACAGTACACAAAAACACTCAATCATGTTATATTAGTAGAATAAATGCAAATAAATATAGATACAATGAAATAACATTTTTTTTCAAAGCATAGTTGATATCTTGCGTTCTAGTTTGAAGCCATCATATGGATTTATTAAATTCCATCACCAGCACACCTGATTTAACATGATGAAGTACAGATTAACTAATCAATACTTGAGTAAAAACTACATATTATGCTGGACTGTGATTAGGAGAGGTTTGGAAATGTTTAAACAAACACACTGACATACATAAATCAACTACTTATTATATACAGCCCAGAAAAAAGGCTTTTTAATCCTAATTTTCTCAGGTGTCTAAAACGTTTGCTCAGTGTTGTTTGTACACACGCAAACATCAGTGCAGTGATGAATTCAAGCGTGTCTGATTCTGTTCTAGACGAGTTTACAATTCTATGCGGCAGTGAGAGGCCTGGATATTACATCGACATCTACACTGGACAAGTGATTGGTAACACACACACACACACACACACACACACACACACACACACACACATATATAAACAGTCTTACACATCACCTTAACTAGCTTTGTAAGGTTAACAGTTGCAATAGAACCTGTATGTTTGAGCATTCTGCAGTTTTCTTTTTGGCCTGAGCAGATTTACGCCTCTGCACACGTATACGGATATTTTTTAAACCTTGAGTTTTTAAAAGCCTCTGTTTTCAGTGAATTAAAAAGTGGTTTCCGCATATGTGAGGAACAATGCTATTATAGTTTTTAAATTTTCATTGTTTTTGTTTTATTTAATTTTATATTTTTATTTTTGATTTCAGAAATTTAGTTACTAAATTTACTAAATTACTAAATTTACTTTTGGCATGTGTTAATAGTTTTAGTTCTGTATTTATTTTCTGAAATGTAATTTTAGTTCATTTTGCAATGGACTTTTTTCAGTTTCAATTTGGTTTTTATTTTATTTTACACATTTTTTCATTGCGTGTTTAAGATTCGGTGATGTGGATGAGATCTTAGAGGGTCTTGGAGTGTAATCTCGTGCTAATCCTGTGTTCGCTCTGCTCTGTTTGTCCAGATATCGATGAGTGTCGCGAGATTCCAGGAGTGTGTGAGAACGGAGTGTGTATCAACATGATCGGCAGCTTCAGATGTGAATGTCCAATGGGTTTCGTCTACAATGACAAACTGCTCATCTGTGAAGGTCTGCATTACTGTGTGTGGGTGTGTGTGTGTGTGTGTGTGTGTGTGTGTGTGGGTTTATGCCACATTGTGGGGACCAAAACCTGTTTATACACTCACGTTGTGGGGACATTTCTTCCTTGCGGGGACCACAAGTTGGTCCCCATGACATAAATCATTAAATTTTAAGGTGAAGGCATGTTTTAGGGTTAGTGTTGAGCTAGTAGTAGTTTTGGTGAAGGTTTGAGTAAGTCTCCAGGAAATAAATAGAAGTCTATGTAATGTCCTCACAGTACACAGAAACAAACGTGTGTGTGTTTGAATCAGCCATTTAAAGTTTTATTCAGAATAAAAATCTGTGTTCAGCGTAAAGTCAGAGTTAAATTTGAATGATATATTTCTTCCTAAATAAAGTACTGTAAGGACGGTTGGGTTTTCTCTTGTACTGTCCAGTTGGTACAGATGTGTTTGGGTTTTGGAAAGTAATGCAGAAGTAAAGTATTGAGTAGTGAGACTTTTTTCCAGGAAGTAATGAGTAAAGTAATTCCATTACAGTTTGAGAGGAGTAATGAGTAATCAATAATCAGTAAGGCAGAACTGTTTTTGAGTAACTACACTGATGCTGATCATATGTATCTCTAATCTTTCCATAGATATCGATGAGTGTCAGAACGGACCTGTGTGTCAGCAAAACGCAGTGTGTTTGAATCTGCCGGGAGGTTACCGCTGTGAATGTAAACCAGGATACCGCTTCACACCCACTGGACAGTGCCTGGGTCAGTGTCTCAATTATTTAGCATCTACTGTGAATTATTCAGTATCTACTGCAAACTATTTAGTATGTACTGTGGATTATTAAGTATCTACTACAAACTATTTAGTATGTACTGTGGATTATTAAGTATCTACAGTTAATAAATTAGTATCTATGACTAATTTTCAGTATCAGCTATGAATTATTCAGCATCTACTACAAATTATTCAGTATCTACTACAAATGATTCAGCATCTACTGTGAATTATTTAATATCTACTACAAATTATTCAGTATCTACTACAAACTATTTAGTATGTTCTGTAAATTACTCAGTATGTACAGTGAATAAATTAGTATCTATGACAATTTTTTCAGCATCAACTATGAATTATTCAGCATCTACTACAAATTATTCCATGTCTAATCCAAATGATTCCATATTTATTACAAATTACTCAATATCTACTACAAATTATTCAGTATCTACTATGAATTATTCAGTGTCTACTATAAATTATTCAGCATTTACTATAAATTATTCAGTATCTACTAAGAATTATTCAGGAACTACTATAAATTATTCAGTATCTACTGTAAATACATCTTAAATTACTATTAAACAAAAGTTCTTTAGTTCTTTGAGAATGAGGCATTGTGGACACCCATACAGAGTCGTTGATGAAGATGACAATAATGATGGCTTTCTCCATGTTCTCCCACAGACCGTAACGAGTGTATAGAGAACCCTAACGTGTGTAACCCAGGGCAGTGTATTGACATGGTGGGAAGCTACCGGTGCATCTGCCCCAACGGATACAAACCCACCACTGCGCCAGCCATGTGCATCGGTGAGAATGCAGTCCGCTTGTTTACTAACAAAGACCACTGAACTTGTTTTTAATGGGTTACTATTTACAGAGAAGCACAGAGCAATCTAACTGGCTTAGTTTTAAAGTTGATTTAAATGATGGGCAACAAGTAAAGATGGAACTGATCCAATGCTGGGTGTGTATACAGAGCTGATATGATCAGAAAATGCTGAATGGGATATAGAAGTGAATGAAAGATTAAAATATATCCAATCCTGTAACAGATCTATCCTGAAGCAGCGCTCACTAACAGTTTATGATGTGAGCTTGATAGCTGTTTATAGTGTAGATCTTCCTTTTGGGTTAATAGAGTGACAGAGACCCCTTTCACACCTGTGTGTCCAGTATCTTGATAAAATTTTTGCCACATGCATTTACACTTGGTAGTCAAATGTGCCTCTGCTCAGTCGAACTGCAGATTGCTGTGTGGGTCGGAATATGCAAATCTGCTCATTATGCGGGGGGAGTTTCGGTTGTACTGGGGGGAGTTTCGGTTGTACACAGCAAAAAGTCCAGTGTTGCATTAACTCCCACAGAGTTGATTTCAACACTTTTTCAGGATTTATATAGCTCCACACTCTTCAGAGTTAAACACTTTCAAAATAGTTAAACATTTAACACTGTTTTGCAAGTTAAAAAAGGAACTCTGACATAGAGTGAAAGCAACACTAACGGATTAGAAAAATAACACTGCCCTAAGTTACATTCTTTACTTTCTGGGTAGTGTTAGTTTTACTCCTTAAATAATTAAACTACAACGAAAAGATTTTAAAATTAATTAGAAGAAATAATACCATTAAACAACATAATTTTCAAAAATAACATTTATTTTTGCCTTTTCTCCCTTGCAGTCATTCCTGCAGTGGAATTAAAACATTACAAACAAAAGTATAATATATAAACTGTCATCTGCAACACTGTATGAGCTTTGAATATCAAATGGTTTATGAAATTTAAGCTCAGATATTTTTATTATACACCTTTCCTCACTTTGTAATACTCTGAATGCACGATGATGCTCATCAAAATTCTCTGAATAGCTTGTTTGTCAATAAAAAAATGTGATCTTCAACCAAAAGTATATTACATATTTGAAAAAGCCTGGAATGTTGTCTTCCATCGCACTACAAATAACAAGTCCAGCTTTATACTCTACACCATCAACTTTAACCCAACTAGTTGAGAAAACATCTTTTGACAAGATCATTTGAAGCATTTCATTGTTTACCACATTTTTATCTCTGAAGGAAAATGATTTAATTGGCCAGTATTCCTTTAGTTTAAGTGAAAAGGTTTCCCAGTGATAAGCTATGGCCATCTGATGCTTTTTAGCAAGTGATTTGGTGATGTTTTTGAAATTTTTCAAACAATCTTTAAACAGTTTGTGTTTGGCTTCAAACCTCATACTCCACACATATAATAAGGGGCCAATTTTTCTTATAGAAGATGGGTAATGAATCATAAAATGATGCTTAGGTATCAAGTTTTTATGTGGATACAATTGCTTAAATAGTTTGTAGTGGTCAACAATCAAATGCTTTAAATACATTGTCATGCCTAGAGTAAGAGAAGGTGAAAAAACTATGTTCATTATTTGGAGTAACAACAGTAACAAATTCCAGTTTTTATTTCCTTCTGGAATAATGTCACAAAACAACAGTGGGATGTTTTTCACAACACACAATGTTTGAACAGAATTCAAACTAATGGTATTGCCAGCACTCTCCAAAATAATCTTTGTGGGACCTTTTTTTGGTTCTAAAAATCCGTAATCAAAACTATAAATCCTGGAAAGCAAGTCCTGTTCTGATATGAAGTGTTGTGTGAGATATTCAGAAAGTTATTTGACCTCGTACTGAGCCACACCCTCCAGAAGAACATGCATTACATCAAATGAATAGTTATTACAAACATGGAAATACTTCAGCAAATTAAGTGTAGATTTTTTTTTCAAACCATTTTCCTGGAGAGACTGGCAGTGCATTTCAAACATATCTTTGCCACGAAGGATCAACTTCAGATCACTCTCACTGTGTACCGTTTGAGAATCATTCTTCTCAATCAAACAAAGGCGACAGAAATGACGGTTACTGAACGACTCATTAAAACCAAGAACTGTGTGCATCCCTAGATTATCTCCAGTGATCTGTGAGATTGTACCATATACCAGCTCATCAGAACATGGAACAATTAACCTCGGCTTTCCAGTTTTTTCAAATCTTTTATCAATGGTTCTAGTATTAAATCAAAACCATATGTGTGCAGATCTTGTGCGTGAAAAAGTGATACCAAATGAATGTTCATCAAAACTGAATTACATTTTGGGGGCAAGTTTCTTATGACAAAATAAAGACAGACAATTTGGTGAATTCCATGTTTGGAGCCAAGAGGATTGGCTGTTTTAAAATCATTGTAGTATAGCTGAATTTGTAATGCATGTCTTTTTGCTGTAAACAAAGGGTTAGTTTTAAAATAACTTCCATCACAAAAGTCAGTGTAAGTGTCAGGCTCTGATCTACACTCTTGCTTTAGGAAAACACAAATGTCTGGATTTCTGCACATGAACTTCAGTGTTTCTAAAATCGGCACATATATAAAAGTATCCTTCACAGGTACTTGATCATAAGCACCACATGTGTGCTTTCGCCTGCTGTCATATCTCACTCCCAGTGTTATTTCTACTGGCTCAACAACTCCCCATTTTAAGTTGAAGTATTTATTTCTTTTCCATTCTGTATTCAGATTTGTGAATGGGTTTTCTAGTTTTTCAAGATTCATGTATAACAGATATGTTGGGGTCAGCAGAAATAACGGTAGGCTTTGCTTGTGAGCGAAGCTCACTTGTTAGCTCCTCCAAATCGCTGACAACTGAGGATACCAAACTGCTGGAAATCCCACTCCCCTGCAACTTGGCTACGATGGATGCACACATTTCCTTGGTTGGATCTTGTCCTGAATTGTTGCTCTCAAAAGAAACACTGGAAGAACTACTTTGATTCTGTGGACTAAATTGGTCCTCCAAAGCATGTGTCTGAGATGAAGTTACAACTGGCTCGCTAGAAGAACATGCAACAGCTGAAGTTTGAGCAATCTGCTCAACACTGCTATGAACACTATTTAGGTGCTTCCGAAAACCTGCATGTGTTTGGAACTGATGCCTACAGCTTTGCTGAGAACAAAACAATTTGAACATAGCTCCAGACTAGTAACCATGTTCAACTCTTAAATGTGAAATCAACTGCTGACTGCTGGGATAGTTTCTGACACAAAAAACAGGGCAGCATTGTTTTTGCCTCTTACTCACATAGACAGAAGACTACTGGCTGGTTAAGCAGTCTGGCTCTCAAGTCTCTCATTCTGGGTGACTCTTTCATTTTCCTAACATCAACGTTATACACTGTTGTCTGCAGAAATGTGCAAAAATTCACAAGTGCACCATCAAAAGCCAAATTAAAACACAAAATGTGCTTTGAAAAGTTCATCAAATGCCCCAAGGGAGCGGTTTGCCTGGCATGGAATGAGATGCTTTTCCATGGTGATGTAGAAGCTGTCAATCTTGCTCTTCCGACGCCCAACAGCGAGAAGGTACGGCTGCCGACCCTGCTGGTTGCGGAGATGCTCCTCCAAACTGCAGCATGACCAGGGTTGAGATAAGGACACTGGATCTTAGACAGAAGAATAATATGCAGCCACAGAAAAATTATATAAATTATTATTCAAACATCCTCTCACTGGCTAGTGAAAGACGGGAACATCTAAAAAGACTTAATTTAATTTAATGTCATCCACCTTTTAACAACCCATATTTACACATGTGGCTAAGAAGGGGACATGTGACAAATTATTATAATCACCTTAATAATATAATTACCTTATGAAAGACTACAAGTCTCTCCATCCTTTGGTATTCCTGTAGTACTTCTTCACCACCAGAGTTGCCTCTTAGCACTGCTTCAATAAACAAAAACATGAGAATGAAAAACATGGTGATAAACAGCTTTGCTAGAGACTCAGAATGAAAAAGAGTGTTAAGAAACTCATTATAATCAAACTTTGTTACAAACCAGTTTAGCAGACACTGCATCTGGTGTATCCTAAGTTCTTTGTCTCTTGCTAGGAACCTCATCTACGACTACAGATGATGCAGTTGAGCTGAAGCTTGAGTCAGACATCTCAGAAGCGGAAGACGTTTCCTTTAAAATTCTAAAGGAACAAAAAACAATTAATTTTATTGTGTAGGGTGTAGAATGCTTGATTATACCTGCCTTTATATCTCTCACCATCATTTGAGAAAACTGTCAGCATCACATTGCCTTGTCCAACAAGGTCACTGAATATTACTGCATCAACTTCTGTTCCTGTGCATCCTTGTATACAACCTTCAGGTGGCAGACAACATCTCTCCATGACTGGAAAAGATAGTAAGATAAAACTAAATGTGCTAGTCAGCATTGTTTCTTGCCTCACAGCAAATGACTATTCAAGTTAAATTCATTCATTCACTACTGCATAATCATTAAATAGACCTAGAGCATTTTGCCTCACAAAAATCATTCCCTCTCTAGTCCCAATTTGAAAGTTCATTACTGACTTAAAAAATGACTTGGTATGAAAAAAATCAGAGTCAATATGGAGCATGCAGAACGAGGTTTTAAAAGAATGTGTGTGCATTTTTAAACCTTTTTCCTAAGCCAAGCAAAAAGTAAAATGAAACAAACGTTTTTCATGGAACTGCAGAACGTCAAACTGTCCATCAACCTCATCCAACTTTACATACTTCTGCTGCTGGCTGTACTTCACCTGGACCAGCATTTTTACTGAGACATGCAAGAAATTTTGACAAGGTGAATTAACATTTAAGGAGTAGTGGCCACTATGGGCAAATATTTATATCACAATTAACATCACTGACGGTTTGCATATATATCACAGTACAGTGTATTTCTGCATGTTTTCAAATAAAAGCATTCTGAATGCTTAAGTAAATCATTCTGTAGATTAATAATGGCATATTATTAAAAATGAAGGGACCTTAAGAATAAGAGTCACATTTAACACATTTTAGTAAATCTAAAATATTTTTTACTGGGTAAAATAGTAAAAACAGAAATTAACAACATATAAACAGATGTCAGTATTGCTTTCTAGTCCTAACGAGATAAAGATCAATGTACTGCTGCGTTCACATGTTTGCCATGGACGGACGACAGCAAAACGCATGTTTTCAATGGAGCCGCAACAGAATATTCTGCCACCATCAGCATAAGCCCACAGCGCCTTCTCTGAGCGTGGCAAAACGGTGCTGAATGTTGTTTTACGTCATTTGTCTCATATGCGCGTGTCTTGCATTCGACCTACGACCGTCCAGACGCTGCGGAGCGCGGAACTGCCTGAAGCAGCTTGCTGGGTCTAACGGGTCCTTCCTAGCATGCGCATATCATTAGTATAGTGTAGCAGCTCAGTGTTAGCTAGCTAACGTTAAACGTTTTATTGCGTTTCTAATTTTAAACAAGTACACACTCAGTTTAATATTACTACTTACCCCCTGATAAGGTGGTTTAAGCTATAAGAATATCCTAATTAATCTATTAATGCTAGTAACATTTTCAGATAAGGCCATTCGCCGGCTTCTTGTTCGAACTGTTCCACCTTAAATGGCGCAGCAGATACTGGCGCCTCAGGCCTTATAACAGTACCTGCAGCATCATTTAAGGTGGAACGGCAAATTTCAAATAAACTGACTTCAGCTTTGTATTTGTAACGCTGGACGTATTTTTAGATAAGGAGATTTAAGGATCAAAATATTCCACCTGGAGTTTTATGTACAATGCTACCTATAGCTAAATACGCACTACGGTAGAACATTTCGACAAGGTAACAGTCAACGTTAGCACAATTCGTGAAACACCCAGCTAGTGCCCCATGCTAAGCTAATGGCTAACGGCTAACCCCACGAGGCTGTTTTTTTCCTTCCACTCACTTATCCCTGTTAACTCATAACTCCTGCCTCAAACAAGATTTTGTATAGTAGAAATCGTAACGCGTTCGTTGTTCATTGCTTTGAGTTTGCATGTGAACTGTTGTTAAATCGTCACTGACATAGTTGGAGACGCTAACTTGTAGTTAGCTAGCTAGCTAGCTGCCACAGACTGCTTGCTAGCTAATCACCACGACACATTTGCTGTTCAGCCCTGGCAACAGACAAGGCTTTATAAAGAATATATTCTCCGTAGACATCTCACTGTACGTACTGCATTTCACAGCATCAATCTGTAATTGTTTCAGTACGACTCAATTAATCACACTTACCGCGTAAACTGCATGAGAGGAGGAAAATTCCAACGTATCACCAACGTATCTCCTTGTCTCCAACCGAAGAAGTGAAATGCGTGGGCGGAGTTTAATTGCATCTCTGCGGAGTTGGGTTAACACTGATCCGATCAACTCTGTCAAATAACTCCAACACTGAACACCATTTAAATCTGAATGTGTTAAAATTACACTTTGGGAGTGAAAATCAACTCGGAAATTTCAACATTTCAGTTTTTGCTGTGATACTGGGAGGGGTTTCAGTTGTCCTAGGAGGGGTTTTGGTTGTACTGGAAGGGTTTTCAGTAGTACTGGCAGGGGTTTCTTTTATACTGGGAGGAGTTTCTGTTGTACTGGGAGGGGTTTTGAATGTACTAGGAGGGGTTTCTGTTGCACTGGGAGGGGTTTCTCTTATACTAGGAGGAGTTTCAGTGTACCGTGAGGAGTTGCGGTTGTACTGGGAGGGGTTTCGGTTGTACTGGATGAGGTTTCTGTTGTACTGGGAGGAGTTTCGGTTGTACTGGGAGGAGTTTCAGTTGTACTGGGAGGGGTTTCGTTGTCCTGGGAGGTGTTTCCGTTGTACTGGGAGGGGTTTCGGTTATATTGGGAGGGGTTTCGGTTGTACTGGGAGTGGTTTTAGTTACACTGGGAGGGGTTTCTCTTATACTGGGAGGAGTTTCAGTGGTACTGGGAGGAGTTTTTGTTACACTGGGAAGAGTTTTGGTTGTATTCGGAGGAGTTTTGGTTGTACTGGGAGGAGTTTTGGTTCTACTGGGAGGGGTTTCTGTTGTACTGGGAGGGATTTCAGTTGTATTGGGAGGAGTTTTAGATGGACTGGGAGTGGTTTCGGTTGTACTGAGAGGGTTTTCAGGTGTAACGGGAAGGGGTTTCAGTTGTACTGGGAGGAGTTTCAGCTGTACTTGGAGGAGTTGTGGTTATACTGGGAGGAGTTTTGATTGTACTGGGAGGGTTTTGGTTGTCGAATGTGTCTTGGAGAAAAAGATGTGTTTACACTGCTATAATGTAACTCAGATGCGTCTCAGTCCTCCTCCTGAAGTGGTTTTAGTGATCAGGTTTGTATCTGTTTTAAATGCATGTTGGCTGCGTTTACACTTACATTTTTCTGTGGCCTCATCCAGATATAATCAGGATACTCAAGACAGGTGAAGTGACCAGGTGTAAAAAGGGTCTGAGTCGTTTCAGCATCATAGACCACTTTGAGTGAAGTGCTTCAGTTTAAAATGGCTCATTTGTAATTTTTAGAAACAAAATATCTGCTTGGTGTCGGTGGTGTTGTGCCATCTCTACCAAAAAGTGACCATTTGTCATAGAGAGATTTGGTAAAATGCATTCGAAAAAGACTCCCCACATGACTAACTTCTGCTGCTCAAAGTAAAACTAGTCAATATTGTCTCATTCAAATTCAAACACTTTTTTTTTGAACACTGTTTATTCTAAAATTGCTCGGCTGAGCTATTGAGATCTTGCATTTCATGTTATTAATCGCAATGCTTTGAATTCAATAGCCAATAGGAATGACGCACACGTTCCACAGTCCATGCTTTCCAACACTGCCGCTTTTGTAGTGTGTGTAACACGGGTTTGTTGTGTGTGTGCAGTGTGGGGAAAGTGTGTGTAAGAGTGAGTGAGTAATGCTTTACTTGAACTCTGTTTGTTTCATTCTTAATGCACTCTAATGCCTTTAATGATGTGTGTCTCCTGATTGGGCTTAGATGGAGAAGAGCATTTCTAAAACATATGAGTCATTTTTGAAGTGTTTGAGTGCACATGTAGCTGTGTGTGTTTGTGTGTAATGCTGTGAATCTCTTGTGTGTGTGTGTGTGTGTGTGTGTAGATGTTGACGAGTGTGAGAGGCAGCCATGTGGTAATGGAACCTGTAAGAACACCGTGGGATCCTACAACTGTCTCTGCTACCCTGGATTCCAACTGAGCCACAACATTGACTGCATTGGTAACACACACACACACACATGCACACACACACACCACTTGTCTTGTCATTCTTTGTGAAGACTTCCAAAGGTTTCTATTGATTTTTGTATTACTGTAGCCAGTAATACTACACCTAAATCTAACCCTGACCTTAACCTCAATATCTAAACCTAACCCTAACCTTAACCTCAGTGTCCAGACCTAAACCTAACCCTGGCCTTAACCTCAGTATCAAACCTAAACCTAACCCTGGCCTTAACCTCAGTATCTAAACCTAAAGCTAACCTTAACCTCAGTATCAAACCTAAACCTGACCTTAACCTCAGTATCTAAGCCTACAGCTATCCTTAACCTGAGTATCAAACCTAAACCTAACCTTAACATCTGTATCCAAAGTCAGTGTTTCTGCTCTTTAGGTTTTCTAAAAAATGTAGCTTAAAAATGAGCAAAAAGTCCTTCCTTGAGTAAAAATGTCATGTTGTACTGTTTTTATGAGGACATGTAGTAGACACACACACACACACACTTTTTCCTACAGGGCTTTGGCTCACTGGAAGTTCAGATCAGGTGATTTTGAAATTTTTCTGGGAAACTGAAGACCGCTTTGTGTGCGTGTTTGTTTTTCTTTGAGTTCGGGCCCAGTGGGTCTCACACACACACCCACACATAAGCACACACACAGCAAAGCTCATTCTGCTTCCATGTGCTCATGTATTCTCTACTTTCAAAATCACAAATACAGCCTGTGGTCCTGCTAACGCAGCAGTAATTGTCGAGAAACTTTTGAAGTCGGCAACAACCGTGAAGCTGCGAAGAAAAGAAAATGTTGCTACACTCTTAAAAATGGTGGCTCTTCAATGGTTCTTTAGTAAAGACAACGGTCCTATAAGCTGCTTTTCCACTGTGCGGTACCAGCTCGACTTGACTCAACTCGACTCTACACACCTTTTCGTAGCTGGTACCAAAAGCAAGTCAATTTAAGTTGAGTTGTACCATGTGGCGGAAAAGTGGCTACGTAGGACTGTCTATCCGTCTGTCTGTCTATGTCTGTCTGTCCATCTATCTGTCTATCTATCTGTCTGTCTATCTATCTATCTGTCTGTCTACCTGTCTATCTATCTATATGTCTGTCTGTCTGTCTATCTATCTATCTATCTATCTATCTACCTGTCTATCTATCTATCTATCTATCTATCTATCTATCTATCTATCTATCTATCTATCTATCTATCCGTGTATCTATCTACCTGTCCATCTATCTATCTATCTGTCTATCTATCTATCTATCTATCTATCTATCTGTCTGACTGTCTGTCTGTCTAATCTGAAGAATGCTTTCACCATGCAAAGAACTGTTTAGCATGCAAAGCTTCGTAGAGTTGATGGTTCTATATAGAGCCATTGTCTTTACCAAAGAACCCTTGAAGAGCCATCTTTTTTAAGAGTGTAGGCGTATATCAAAGAGCATGTTTTTGTAAGCAGAATGTTTTTTTTTTTTTCATATTTTGGGTTGTTGAAGATCAGGCTAGTCTATCACATAGTGTACGACATAGTGCAGGTTTTGCAGTGTTAAAACCACCATGACCAGAATTTTACCCATTTTATTCATTCTATAATTCCCAGACACCATGATGAACAGCTACGCAGCAGAAAATATAGACAGTATCACTGCAGGGTAAAAGACCGCAGTAAAGTTGGCTTGCTTGGTTAGCGATTCGGATTTCTCTCGGCTGTAACTCCGGAATGCAGTAACGCACATCCACAAACACTGGTGCGCTTTGTTAGTCCTGATTTGTGAATTCAGATGACGTCATGTTCCACGAGAAAATCCACCAATATTACACGTCAGAGTTTTATTTTCTAAAGCTTATAACTTCAAACGTTGAGCTCTCAGATGAATGAAACCAGGTTCGGACTGACCAGACTGATTTGTGAAAAATTTCACAGCTCTTATTTTGCCCGTCCGTGGCCTGTGCAGACCGCGAGCACGGAAGGTGAAAGTAAGTGAAATATAAGCGGTTTTTGACTTCGGCAAGTGATTTTCAACACAAATGACTTCAATGTCTATGAAAATGTGTTTGATTAAGCAGCTCGATTTGTGAAAAAAAATCACAAATGGATCTCGCCATGTTTGATTGCTCCGTGCAGCTGTATCTCCTTAGGAATAACACCATCTGACTTTGCAGTTCAATTCCACATATAGACATTCATTTTGCAGCATTCAGTACATATTACTTGATTTGGAAACATATTCACAAACGGATTTTGTGATATTTTATTGTTTTATACAGGTCTATGTCCATTACCATACATACAGAATTGGATATTTCTTTCATTTACCCAAACATTGACACAGTAATATACATGTCAAGAGATGCAAACAGGCTAGAATTATTTGTCAGTCATTGATTAAAAAGCTGTTGCTCAAAAAAGCTGAAAAAAATTGTGTTTTTTACTTTGGAACACAATTTAAAATATATACACTATAATAATCACGCAATACATGCATGCACCATTTAAGTGAAGTCATTAAAGTGTTGAAAATCACTTGCCGAAGTCAAAAACCGCTTATATTTCACTTACCTTCACCTTCCGTGCTCGCGGTCTGCACAGGCCACGGACGGGCAAAATAAGAGCTGTGAAATTTTTCACAAACCAGTCTGGTCAGTCTGAACCTGGTTTCATTCATCTGAGAGCTCAACGTTTGAAGTTATAAGCTTTAGAAACGTTGATGTGTAATATTAGTGGATTTTGGCGTGGAACATGACGTCATCTGGATTCACAAATCAGGACTAACAAAGCGCACCAGTGTTTGTGGATGTGCGTTACTGCATTCCGGAGTTACAGCCGAGAGAAATCCGAATCGCTAACCAAGCAAGCCAACTTTACTGCGGTGTGTAAAAGGCCATTTATCACATGCGACCGCGCTGTATGATGTGTGTATTGTGAGTAAGTGTATAACGTGTGTGTGTTTGTGTTTAGACGTGGACGAGTGTGCCACACAGAGAGGAATATGCCGGAACGGACAGTGCATCAACACGATCGGCTCGTTTTTGTGTATGTGCCGGGATGGTTATGAACTCTCTCCAGACGGCAGGTATTGTGTGGGTAAGAAAACGACTCTGAACTACTCTATCAACTGTCTCCATGGCTTTAAGTCTGACCGGTTTGGGCTCCTCTGGTCAAATTCCATGTTGTTGTTGATTTTCGAAGTGTAAATAAGTTAACACATCCAATACAGAGACACACTTCTGCACATTTTAATACACCGTTACTGTTTATCACTGAATTTAACATACTGGGGGGAAAATAAAAAAATAAGCATGTGCCTGTAGAGAAGTTATAGCACATTCTATATTTCAGGTTTAATTTTTTAATTTTTCCCCCCAACAAGTTAAACTCGACAAATAAATAGAAATTGCCCAGAAAAAAAAGTGATATTCAAGTGTGTTCTCTGTAATCTGTTAACATATTTTCACTTAGAAAATCAACAAAACTTTTAATTTGCGGGATGTTCAAACTTTTGCGCACAATTTACGTGACTCCTCGTTTGCAGGACAGGGTACCTGCAGGATCATTTGTTAACTAAGTGAATATCATCATGGCTGTATATTAAAATACACAATGTTTTAGATAATTATTTAAGTTATTATTATTATTAATCCACATAAACAAGTATTCCGCCAGGAAATGTAACGTAAGAGCACGGTATTCCGTACACTTCAGTATTCCGTACACTTCAGTATTCCGTACACTTGCAAATATTTCTGTCTGTGTAATAAAAACCACTTTCTTGACATTTGTCAAAGATACATCTGAGACATTATCATATATCAATTTTTCCATCTAACCTGGGTTTGGACATCAAATCTATGCAAATAGTGACCGACCCCCCAGCGCCACACGAACATGGCGGGTGGGGAAACCCGGGGATGTGAATGTGGTGGGGAAAACTTTCACGGCCAGTCAAGATGCATTTTAGCACGTTTGAACATCATATTTAACGCTTAAACGAATATTAAACAATGAATTATCACCACGAAACACAGTGTGTTTAATACTGAGTTGTTAATCTAAGTTTACACCGTCAGCTAAGTTACCTTAGCAGACTCCTTTCAGCTGCGCAGCTTCACAGCACTTCCTCACTTTACTGGGCTTTTTTTTCATGGTAGCATCATTCATTGCACATATTATTTATAATAATTCAATTTTATAATCAGTATAGTCAGTTAATGTCTATTTTTATGCAATTAGATTTCATAAAACTTAAAATAAAATGCAGGGAAAACACTGTGCGGAAAACTGCTCCTTCTAGGGAAGCTGGTGTACGGAATACTGACGGTACAAACCGCGGACGCAGATGACGTTTTTTTCTTATTTCTTTAAATGTATTGGCCCAAATGTGACCAATCAAAGTGCATATTGGTTGCTAGGCAGATTTTGCAGAGTCCAACCAATCATAAAATCGTGCATGACTTAGGGGATTTCCGCAATAACTACTAAAACGCGAAAAATGCCGAAATACTGTATGGAATAATGGCTGTATATTAAAATACACAATGTTTTAGATAATTATTTAAGTTATTAATATTATTAATCGACATAAACAAGTATTCCGCCAGGAAATGTAGTTCCTTTAGAGTACGGTACCGTTGCTAAGCAACTACTGACCGCTGAATGAAGAACGTTCCGTCTCCCATCACTGTAAACTGCAGACATTTCATGATTTTTAAAACTTTTTTCATATAACAGTTAACATATGACTGTTTGATGCAAAGTACTTTTTAGTCACCAAATTACTACCGCGACTCTTCTTCAGCCAGTCTGATGACGGCACTTTCTCACGCTGGGGCTAAATCTCAAAAGGCTCCCTGCTCCCTAAATAGGTAACTATTTAACCTAGGTTAGTGCACTAGGTAGGAATTTAAATACCGACTCTTGCACCCCAACAATGCAAAATATCGTAGAAATGGTCATTTGGGATTCATCCGCCTTCGAACTCGACAAGCAGTGCACTGTTTGAAGCAGAAGCTAGAATGTCTAAACTTAATATTACACAGCACACTACTTAGCTAGGGAGTTTCTTACGGAGCTGTTTGGGATTCAGCCTGGATTTGACGCTGCTCCTGACTGAACACGGACATTTGAAGCGTGTAAACCATTCAGGTAACATTCTTTAGACTTTTATATTGCCGTTTTTCAGTTAATCACATCGAGAGTACTTTATTTCAAGCCTGTGATATTAATGTTGGAGTTGTTCAGCATGTTTCCTATCTTTTAGCCTGTTGGCTAGCTGACCAGCTTAGCTCTAGTTAAGAACATAGGTTTTCAGTTTAAACAAAAAAGGGGTTCTGACTTCATCAGGTCACTCGGTGCTCCGTGCGATCAGTGTTTAGAGTCAAAGATTAACTCCATTAACAGCAGAAGGGTTTTTCGTGCTGTGGCGCAGTGATACAGAGTTCCTTTATTGTGAGGCGGTCATAGCCGTGGTATATTGTGGATTTTACGACGGCTTTGAACGCGGCTCAGCGCGATCTGTTTTTATGACTGGAACTATCCGTTTTATAATTCACAATAACACACACTAATAACACACAATCTTAAACCTATATATATATATATATATATATATATATATATATATATATATATATATATATATATATATATATATATATAGGTTTAATTATATTATAATTTTTTTTGCATGGGAGTGTTGTACCTACTTGTATACCTGTTATATTCCTGCTTTGAAGTTGGCTTTTGCCATAACTTTACACAGATTGTAATTTATTTTTTTGGATAAAAGGAACTGGCAATACAATAAATGTACATGTTATGTACTGTAATGTAACGTAAATGTCTCTTCTCCTGTAGATATTAATGAGTGCGCTCTGAATCCGGTTGCCTGCGCTCCGGGCACCTGTCAGAACCTGGACGGCTCGTACAGGTGCATCTGCCCACTTGGATACTTAGTTGAAGATGATAAGTGTGAAGGTAGGGTTCTATAAAAACTAATAACTTCAGAACTAGAGTTCTCGCCCTGACTGATGTGTTATGATTAGTGTGTTTGGAGTTGGTTTCATCAGTGAGGCAGTTTCAGTTCTGCTGTTTCAGCTGGAGGCAGTGGGCAGTGGGGGGTTGTGGGGCGGGGGGGGTGCTGACAGGTAAAGAACCTAAAGGAACATCTGTGATCAGGAGAACCGAGTCAGCTGAGTCAGACTCACGTACACAGACACACAAACACACACTGTACAGAGCACCATCAGACTGTCTCTCTCTCACTCACCTCTTCTCTCTTTTCTCAGTCTTTCTTTCTCTTTCACTCCCTTTCTTTCTCTCTTTCCTTCTTTTTCTTTTTCCTCTTCTTTTTGTCTCTTTTTCACTTTCTTCCTATTTTATCTCACCATCTTTCTTTCTCTATCTCTCTCCACTTTCTGTCTTGCTCTCTTGTCTTCTTTCTCTCCCTCTCTTTCTTTCTCTCTCTGTCTTTCTACTTATTTCTTTCTTTGACTCTCTACCTATACTGTCTTTCTCTTTCCTTTATTTTCTTTATCTTCTGTTCTCTCTCTCCTTTCTGCCTTTCTCTTTCTCTCTCACTCTCTTCCTATTTTATCTTTCTTTTTCTGTCTCTCTCTCTTTTCTTTCTGACTTACTCTTTTTCTCTCCCTCTCTTTCTCCCTTTTTCTTTCTCTCTTTTTCCTCTCACTCTTTTGCTTCATCTTTATCCTCTTTTGCTTTCTCCCTCTCCCTCTGTCTGTGTATAACTCATTAGCTCTCTTTGCCCTCTCTATTTCTTTTCTGTATTTTCATCTCGCTATGTACCCTTTTTTCTCTTCTTTCTGTCTTTCACTCCTTTCTTGAAAGTCTTTCCTTCTTCTCTCTCTCTCTGTCTCTCTCTCTCCCTCTCTCTCTCTGTCTCTGTCTCTATATATATACACACTCAAAGAACCCTTTGCATCATTAAGTGGCCCTTTGCATCGTAAAAGCTTTCTTCAAATTGTGTGAATGTGAGTGAATGTGCTATAGATGGTTATCTATAAAACCTTTTTCAAAAGGGTTCTATATAGCACCCAAAAGGGTTCTTCTATTGTTAAAAGCTTGACATAATAACAAAAAAAGATCATTTTGGGTGCTATATAGAACAACACATTCTCCATCCATCTGAAGAACACTTCACCTTGCGGAGAACCATTTAAGCATGCAAAGGGTTCTTTGCGTGTTCATTGTTCTATATAGAACCTTAGAACCTTTAAAGGACCATCTTTTTAAGAAAGTAGTTTAGTATTTCTTAAAGTGTGAAAGGATAAGATGCTGTAAGATAAAACATAATTTCTAAATTAATCATTTATAATTCATAAGTCATGTTTCTCCACGTCCACCTGCCATTTAGAGGAAGCGCTCAACAAGCTCCCTGATACTGTTTCATTGTTTCACTCACTAACACAGTGCAGTACAGAAGGAGAGTGAGTTATTTCACATTCGCACTTCTCTGTAAAATATAATGCCCATAACTTAGAGTGGTGTCTGTGTTCCTTCCGCAGATATTGATGAGTGTGCTAAGAATCCGGATATCTGTATTTTCGGAACGTGTCAGAACACGGCCGGAAGCTTCAAGTGTAACTGTCCTGAAGGCTTCCATCTATCTTCATCCGGGAGGAGATGTTTGGGTGAGTGTTTCCCGCTGCACACACACACACCCCACACACACACACACACACACACACACACGCACACAAGTATTCTTTTTCACACAACAGAACCTTCTGATCAATTAGGGACAGTCTTCTGGTCAATCAGAGAGGGACCTTTGATCAATCAGACACGGACCAGTCAGAGACAACTTTCTAATCAATCAGGGACAGCCTTCTGATTAGTCAGAACAGCCTTCTGATCAATCAGGGACATCCTTCAGATCAATCAGAGACAGTTTTCTGATCAATCAGAGACAGTTTTCTGATCAATCAGAGACAGTTTTCTGACCAATCAGGGACATCCTTTTGATCAATCAGAGACAGTTTTCTGATCAATCAGAGACAGTTTTCTGATCAATCAGGGACATCCTTCTGATCAATCAGAGACAGTTTTCTGATCAATCAGCGACAGTTTTCTGATTATTCAGGGACAGCCATCTGATCAATCAGGGACATCCTTCAGATGAATCAGAGACAGACTTCTTTTCAATCAGAGAAAGCTTCTGATCCATCAGGTGGAGCCTTCTGACCAGAGTTTTCTACATACATACAATATTTACTATTATATCTGTTTCCTGAAAAATAAGCTGCTTGACTCGTGTTTGACGCGATTGGCTGTTGTAAACATCTGGGGCTGTATTACAGACACTTCCTCTCTTTTAGTCTTAATTTAGGATCTGACAGGTCAAGATAGGATTTTTACTAATTCATATTACAGAAGCAAATCTGGACTGAATTTAGGGATTTTATCTGATCTAACAGCATCTTATCTCCAGTTAGGAAATCTTAACCTACTCGACCAAATTCGACAATCAACTGTCATGTCTGTTTTCTAGCAACCGACCATACACACACAGCTGAAACATGAACACATAATCAAAATAATCAGGTTATTTAGTCCGACAGCTACAGTTACTGCTGTAAAAAAGGTCAAAACAAAACTAAAGAGTTGTGAATACTGTGAGAGCGCCCCCTGCTGTTTATCAGAGCATCGCCGCTCCCCAGTTTCAGTCTATATTTCCCTAACGCTGTAGCCAAGCGTCATTATGTTAGTGGTGAAGTATGCTACCTAAAAGCAATAGAAACAGACGTTTAAACAGAAGTCAGGACACTGCTGGTGTTTATCCTAAAGTTAGGACAGTATTTAAGAGATTAAGGCCCAATCCCATTTCCTCTTTTTACTCCTACCCCTTGTTTACGAGTGTCACCCTAACCCCTTGGAGTTACAGTGGTTTAAATCTTGCTCTATGAAATGGGACATCATCAAAAAAAATAAAAAAAAACATTGCTTCATTAACAGCTACTAGCGGTGCTCTGTAGGCGCCCCGGCCCATCTTCAGTGATGGCAGAGAAGGGAAAAGTTCAGCAACCTCGCTGCTGGGCTTTAGTTACATTTAGGACATCATATGCTTTCAAAGAGGGGGTTTAAGACAATTATTTATTATCACCCACCGCTAATTCTTCAGTGATATGAAGCTGAAGTCAGCTATTCACCAGCTTCTTGTTTGAATTTTCCCGTTCCACCTTAAATGGTGCAGCAGTTACATTCTGGCGCTTCAGGCGTCAATACTGCTGGACAATTTAAGGTGGAACGGGAAAGTCAGCTAGCTAGCTACCGAGACATTAGCATGCTATTAGCAATTTTTTATGCTTGTTATGAAGAAAACGACCATAATACATTGAAACGACATTAAACACAATGGTTATCGTAATTTTTTCATGGAGAAAAGGCTCACATTTGTGTGTTTTTTTGGTTGCTCATGCAGCCATCTTGCCAGTCTCATAACACTCTGTTTGGAGTGTGCCTCTGAAAAACCTCCATTTGGGGGGCCATGTAGCCCTAACACTTTGCCCTACCCCTCTATCTTAACAAAAATCAGGACACCCTAACCCTAGATGTGAACACGCAAAACAGAGGGCTAAGGGCTAAGTGGTAGGGGCAAGGGGTCAAATGGGATTGGGCCTTAGTCTAGTTAGGATGTTTGTGTAATACTGTCTTCTTATCTGGAGTTAATGATAAGATTATGAAGTTAGAAACTGTTATTCTGTAATAGCTACTGTCATAAATTCGGTCCATACTGAAGTCGTCATGGTGACTAAACACATCAGATTTCAGAGTAAAGAAGTTTCTACGGCCCCGTCTACATACAGTAATAGCTATTCTCTGAACGGGTCACTGGTGAGACGTTCGGTTCCATAGGATTATCCTGAGAATGCAGTTTAATTCACTATAAAGTTTCACTAAAACACTAAAACAGTGTTTCACTCCATAACTGCTTTAGCCTCCTTCACTCTCTCACTCTCTCACTCTTTCCATCAACTCATCCCTCTATCAGCAGCATAGAGAGGAGGAAGGTGAAGGGGAGGGAGTTCCCCACAGTGTGACATCATCGCACAGGATGGGCAGGGTGTAGGAGAGAAGTGAAAACAGCCTTCAGGGAATTAAACACACACACACATCTTAGTGAATGAAACGACTGCAGTAATAGAGACTATTATCCATCCTACACACACCGTACACCAGTGGTGGACAAAGTAAACAGTTCCAGTACTTTAATGAAAGTAGAGATACTGCTGGTAATATTCCTGCTGAAAAAGGTTCTTTAGAAACTTTTATTTTGCTTTCTAATGGGAATCAGCTTAATGGTTTCTAATAGAGACCCCTAATTTCCTCTTTAGATCCCATTAGGAAACCATCAAATGCTGTCGGAAGAAAACCTTGTATCTCCGTTTTTGTCATTTTTCAGTTTTTGACTTAATGTGAAAATGCCTGCTGCCCTTTACATTGTATGTAAATTTCATGGTCAATGGACCAAAACAAACAGCCCAAAATTAAATGGAAAAACGTGTGGTTCCATTGACTTATATTAAAAGTAAAGTATGTTTTTTCCTTCTCCTGTAAAGTTATCATTTTGGAGATATGAGGTTTGCTTCTGACAGCAGTGAAATGCATTTACAATCAGCCATTAGTCGCCTGTTAAACCAGGGGTGCCTAATACACTGATCACAGTGCACGTTGGCCATTGTCTCTCTAATTTACTGTTTGTTACCATAGCTACACCACAGCCCACCTAAAGAACTGCTGTGAAAGCCTCTCTAGCAATCTAAAAGGTTTTCATTTATCGGTAGCCAGTTTGTGCAGCGCCATTTTTGTGACTGTCCATTTGTAATCTACACTGACTCTTTCAGAAGACGAGTGCAAGACCTAGCGCAAAAACACCTCTTCATGCAGAGCAGGAGGAGGACTATTTTTTACAGTATCAAACTCCAAATGTATCTGCCATGTAGCCATCGCACTTCGAAACAAGTTGAACGTTGGGAGACATTATAGAACTATACACAGAAACTACGATGACGAATTCCCAGATAAAAGTGAAGTCGGGAATAAAAAAGTGCTCCAGAATACACAAACACTGACACAATTCAGTGTAAATCGTCAGAATAAGGACAGTGTGATTGTTCAGTTGATTATGCCAAATATTAATATAGGCCACTGAAGTGCATTTATAAAGTTTCAGGTTTTTTTTTTTTTTAAGATAGATCACGATGACTTGTCCACTGGAAAAAGTAGATCTCAAACCACAAAACTACGAGCATCCCTGTGTTAAACCATTAGGATCCTTTACACTGTGATATCAACCCATTAAAAAAGACAAAACACATTACAAAACCAACAGAAACAGGTTGTTTTTTTCCAGCTTGGATGTTCAGGTTAAAAATTCACTGCCCACCCTGACTGCTGTGATATTGATGTCTCTGGTCTATAAACATAAAATCAGGAATATGAGTGCACATGTACTAGTGAGATAACAGAATATATATGTATATATATATATATATATATATATATATATATATGTATATATATATATATAGTCTTTTATCTCACTAGTACATGTGCACTCATATTCCTGATTTTATGTTTATAGACCAGAGAAACAGCCTGAACCTGTTTCATTATACTGTAACCTTGTTTATGTGTAATGACAGTAAAGCTGAATTGAACTGAAGTGAAATGCCCCACAAAACATTACAGACTTTTAATACTGAAACAATTGGACATGCAGCATTTTTTTTGGGGGGGGGATTATGGCGGGGAGAAAAGTGAATTATGAAAACTTTCTGGAAAGTGTAGCTTTTACTTTACACTCATGCAAAAAGTAGAGGAATAAAAAGTGGGATATTATATATGTTTGAAACTGCGTCGTTTACATCTGAATCACTGAATGGAAATTTAGGAAAGTCAGCGGAGTTCCCCTTTCAGTACAGTAAGGTTATTGTTCACACACCTGTCCCACGAGAACCTGTTGATGTAAATCTTTCTGTTCTGAGCAGCTGAAACATCAGTTTGACAGAGAGGTTCTCCTCTCTCTGATGTGAAACAGGCAGCGCCCCAGCCATCACACCCAGCCCATATACGTCACAGATTCAGAGAACTTAACTCTCTCTCTCTCTCTCTCTCTCTCTCATTCTTTTTCTTTCTTTCTTTCTTTCTCTGTGCCTCTCTCTCTCTGTTCTCTCTGTCTCTCCCTCTCTCTATCTCTCTCTCTCTCTCTCTCAGATATGAGAGTGAGTTACTGTTACACTAAGTTTGAGAACGGTCTCTGTTTGGCCCCGAAGCCTCTGAACACCACTAAAGCATTCTGCTGCTGCAGTGCGATGCCGGGTCAGGGCTGGGGAGACCCCTGTGAGATCTGCCCCAGCAGCACCGACGGTGAGAACACACACACACACCCCTACACAGTAAAAAAAAGTTATATTTCTGCTAAAAAACTGTAAGCAGAGGTTGCCACGTCTTTACTTTAAAAAAATATTGTAGTAGTATTTATTTCAATACACAAAAAAATCCCCTGTCCCTACAGTAGAGGACACTAAAGTAAAAGAATAGACAATACTGTAGATTGATGTAGATATTTTTTTTGCTGTTTTACAGCATAAATATCAAAGATGAGGTATTACTGTATATGAAGGAATATTTTCCTGTGAAATTTACAGTAAATCACAGGCAGCTGTGGTTGTCTGAGAGGTACTGTATAAGAAATGGTATTGCTGTTTACTATATAACAGTATATAACAATATATACAGCCACTGGCAGCTGTGATTGCCAGAAATAAACTTAAAGTATGAAACTTAAATACTATAATGCAACACATCACCTTTGTAAAAAAGGTATTCTGTAAATAAGTGACCAACAAATGACGACTTTTAAGAGGAGCAACCCTGAAAACTGAAGGGTGACAAATGAGTTTTTAACTTAGCAGTAATATATTTATTTAGTTATTTAACTAACACATCTCTCTTTAGAGACAAATTATAAATATATAGATATATATATAGATATATATATATATATATATATATATATAGATATATAGATCTAGATAGATTTGGGGTGTGGTATGAAAAGTCGACTGACCTACAAGTGAAGTTCACAAACATGCCAGTTTGTTCATGTAAACCTGACAGTAAATGTTTAACACATAACAGTGTTTCCTCACTTTTGGCAGTTTGTATTACTATTTACAGTGTTTCGATGTTTCAGAAATGATATTTTTCTATTTTTCTATTCACAGTTTTAACAGTATTTCTCCTTAAATTTCACAGACAATTTTTACAGTGCAGGGATAGGTACAGTTTTGCAAATCTATGTGAAAATCATTTGGTTTCTTATCTCAAAAATATCTAACAAATAATATGGCTGAAGAGTGAGTTTTTTAACACTTCATTTATTATTAAATTCAATCTTTTGGTCATATGGGAAAACTACAGAAATGTAACTTTGATTGTGAGTAAAAGTATGAAAATTACATGTCATTTTTGTCAATTTTAAACATTTTTTGCACCATTTGTATCCTCTACCTGTACATATCATGATAAAAAGATCAATAGAAATGATGCAAAAATACTTCTTGATTTACGTTTTTCCTTCTCCTGCAAAGTTGCCAGGTTTTGCTCAGATAGCGACAGTTTCCTTAAAATGAAGATATTGATCAAAATACAGATCCCTAATAGACATATACAAAGATTACTACAAGTTCCTCTGACATCAGCACTGTGCAAACTGGTGTGCAAAACAGGCTGTGTGTGTGTGTGTGTGTGTGTGTGTTTCAGAGGCCTTCAGGAACCTGTGCTACAACGTCGGTCAGCTATACGGTCCAGGAGACACTCCAGAGGGTGAGCTTCCTGAGATTACATCTTACGATCAGTTTCATTAACTGACTAATGAATAGACAAACTAATTGACTGATTTATTGGTCAATGGATGGATTAAGTCGACTGATTAGTCGGTTGATTGATGGGTTTATTGTCTGTTACAGATATTGACGAGTGCAAGGAGAGGCCTGACATCTGTATTAATGGCCAGTGCATAAACACTGACGGCTCGTTCCGCTGCGAGTGTCCCATCGGCTACAGTCTTGACTCATCGCAGATCAACTGCACAGGTCAGCGGCCCCTGGTGCTCATCAGGGACTGCCCATTAAAAACACTCTGTAATGCTCTATAATGTTCATATGATCCACACGGTCATTCTGACAGACTGTAATTGACTACTCTCTCACTCTCAGACACTGATGAGTGCTCACTGGGCAGTCCTTGTGGTAATGGTACCTGCAAAAACGTGATTGGCGGGTTCGAGTGCACGTGTGATGAAGGATTCGAGCCTGGACCCATGATGACCTGCGAAGGTAAATAGTCAACCTTGTAAGAGGTAACCAAATGGTCAGCATCAGGAGGCTGAGCTTTTCTGACAAGATAATGCTCATTTTATTTTTCTCTACAAAAGATGTCATGTAAACTATTTATTTTTTAGAAGTGTGCAGGCCTTTTCTAAACTAAAGAGCTGGTCTTTATCATAATGCCTTTAAAGTGTGCTGACAGGTCCATGCAAACAGGCTAAAGCTAACATGGAAATGGTGATTGATCTCTGCAGATATAAACGAGTGCGCCCAGAATCCCCTGCTGTGCGCCTTCCGCTGCGTGAACACGTACGGCTCATACGAGTGTAAGTGTCCCGCAGGATACGAGCTCCGGATAGACCGCAGGATGTGTAAAGGTACACACCACACACACAAACACACACACACACAACAGGAAATAGTGATGTACTAACACTGTCTCCTTCCTGTATGTGATATACCTGCACACCTCTAAACACACCTGTAGTTGTTGGCTAACCGGTAGCTTGTGTATCAGACCAGGATGAGTGTACTGACGGAGTGGATGATTGTGAGTCCAGAGGAATGACCTGTAAGAACCTGATCGGAACCTTTATGTGCATCTGCCCAGAGGGGTACACCAGACAGCCCAACGGAGACGGCTGCATAGGTAAGAACACAAACACACACACACACACACACACACACACACACACACACACACTACAGCAGTCAAACTTCTACAATATGCTGCATTAATAACTGCAATTATATGTAGCATTTGAGCAGTCTTGCTGTCCTAAAAAATGTAATCTTGTTCTTCCACAACATTTGAATATTCTATTTCATTATAAAATAATGTTCTAATGATCCACACAGCCATAGTGTAATACACTACAGGAAGTGAAGGGGGCGACATGGCTTCTATTGTTTCATTTAAGAAGCGCTCTATAATGTTCATATGATCCACACAGCCATTGTGGCAGACTGTAATACGGCGATATGACTTCTATTGTTTCATTTAAGAAGCGCTCTATAATGTTCATATGATCCACACAGCCATTGTGGCAGACTGTAATACCCTACAGGAAGTGCAGGGGGCGATATGGTTTCTACTGTTTCGTTTAAAAAGTGCTCTAAAGTGTTTGTATGATCCACATTAAGAATTTTTTTCCTTCTTCTAAAAATTGCGATTTTTTTTGACAGTTGATGAAAAGTCATTTAACCATCTGCTTATCTCACATGTAAAACTTTCATGTTTGTTTGTGTAGATCTGGACGAGTGCAAGGCTAAACCCGGTATCTGTGAGAACGGCCAATGTAAGAACACGGTGGGCAGCTACCGCTGCACATGTGACCCAGGCTTCGTACCGAGCTTCACCCAGACCGAGTGTATAGGTGTGTGTGTGTGTGTGTGTGTGTGTGTGTGTGTGTGTGTGTGTGTGTGTGTGTGAGGTGCTGCTGAGTACACACAGTGTATAAATGAAGTAAAAGAGCTGGGTGAAAAACAGCCCATTTCTATAACACACCACTTAGCCACTGTGTAACAGAGCACATTCTGAGTTAAAGGAATATTACAGATTTTTTTTAACCCAAACTGCTACATCTGCAACATACAGTCAGCTGCCACAGACAATAACCATTAAGATACTTTTTCAACACTGCAAAAAATGACTGGCAAATGAAAGCATCATAAATCTAGTCAATATTTGTACTGTTTCTCATTATGAGATCTATTATCTCATTATAAGACTGTTATGAAATTCTTATTTTTAGATTTTAAGTACTCTTATTTGCTTTGAGTCTATAGATTAATTCTGTTGCCAGATAATTTTGCTTGTTTTCAGAAATAATAAAACAAGCAGAAGCACTGTTTCTATAGATACAATTAATTAAAAAAAAAAAGTAAGAAAGTGTAAAAATAAGTATTAATGATTTCATAATATTCTTACAGCAATCACAACATGAAAAATATGAAATATATCATATAGATTTATCAACTGGATGATTTCAAGATTGCAAATACAGGACTTTGAGACATCTACACACTTAAATATGATGTTTTTTTAAGGATTTGTTAATAAAGAAAATGGTTCTATATAGAACCATGAACACTTCAGATTGATGGAGAATGTGGTGTATATGGTTCTTTAGAGAACTTTTTTGAAAAGGGTTCTATGTAGCATCAAAAAGAGTTCTTTTATTGTAACAAGCCTGACATTGTAACAATATCAGAACCCATTTTGGGGCCATGCAGAACCATTTTCTTTACTAAAGAAAGAGCCATCTTTTATAAGTGTGCAGCGTATCTATGGGGTTTTATGTTAACGTTTTCCCGCCATTGGACAAATGTAATGAAAACTGTACTTTAAACTGTATTAATCAGATTAGTACAGAGAAACATGTTCACGGTAATACAGTACAATAAAGATGGGGCAGATAGAGATTAGTTTGGAAAAATGCTGGAGAATTCCTTTAATATGGCCAGTAATAAAGTTTCCACTTGAAATAAAATACTTACTTGTTTAACTTAATGTGTATTTAAATACTTAAATATACTAGAATATTAAAATATTTTTAAGAAATTTGACCTACAGACTTTTGTCAGCCATGACTCTGTGGCTGCACCTGATAAAAAATATGCTTAACCGTTTCTGTTTTAATCAGCTTGCTCACTCGGTCAGTGTCGCAATCCAGAGCTTTCCCTACAGCTCAGGGCCTGGATATATAGTTGAATCTCTAACTCTTACTGTATATTTGCACTAATAACTATCTTAATTCACAGTTCTCAGAAAGAACCAAAAAAGTCTTCAGACTCTTGTGGAAAAAAGTCCTCTCTTTATTCGAGCATCAAGTGGCAAAGGTTTCCGGAAACCAAGTGCAAACACAGCTTCAGAACAACCTTTTTTTATAAAGTTCTTGGGGTGATGAGACAGTCAACCTGCCCTTTTAAAAAAAATTCCATTCCATTTTAGTCCTCATTGTACTTGGTCACCCTTAAATCAAAATGTATATAATATCCTTTTTTTAAAAAGTCTTATCCTGCTTGTACCAGGACGTTCTGTCCTTGTGAGGTCAAAAGTTCACTACAGCTAGAATTCTCCACGCACACAGCCTATGGCCTATTCTTTGTCCTAAAATACCTCTTTGTGAGAGAAATCAATATTCTCTTTTTAGTCAATGCTTGATCTATTGATTACTCATTAAAAGAGTATTTATTCAAATTTGCTATAATGTCCCCCCTTTTCATGACTTCACATCACAAACTCTATGAATGATTAAATGTATAGCATATATGATATTCAAACTATGAGTAAATACTAAATAACATGGTGTAAAAACTGAATAACATGCCAATAATCAATTCAAAATCAAAAAAAGAAAAAAATCATAAAGATAATGAAGATTCCAAAGGTAAAATCAAAATCAAACAATCAAAAAATCAAAATCAAATAAAAAAATCCATCATGAGGCAGAAAAATTGATCCAGCAGTCTGAAAATAAGCCAATAAAATAACCAGAGTTATTTTGCGTGCACGTATCAGGTAATAAATTTCAATTCTTTATTTCTGAATATAATCTTTGATCTCTTGTGCATTCTAGACAACCGTCAGGGATTCTGTTTCACTGAAGTTCTGCAGACTCTGTGTCAGATGAGCTCCAGCAGCCGAGTGAGTGTGACTAAGTCTGAGTGTTGCTGTGACGGAGGCCGTGGCTGGGGGTCAACATGCGAGCTCTGTCCGCTACCCGGAACCACACAGTACAAAAAGATTTGTCCACTAGGCCCCGGATACGACAACCAGAGACAAGGTGTGTAACTCAACACGCAGTGACGCAGGTGAAGGAGTACCTGCACTAAAGATCACTAATTAACACAGTGAAGGATCACAATGTACACAGTATACACTGTTAATCAACCTAATCAACCTAATGATTTAAGACAGAACGATAAAATAAAAAGCCTGGAGACGGGACGGGATGTGTGGAGTCAATACAACTTAGAAAATATCATTTCAATGGATTATGGTACAATTATTTTCCCTGACTAAAGGTCCTGAGATGTACCACCACAGTGACAGGAGGGGTACTGCCCCTACCTTTATTTCTGAGAGTGCAGTATATATCATTATCATTAAAAGGAAAAATAATTATTTTATTATCAGTCTGACACTGCTATTACAGAAGATATTAATTTGGTGCCCAATGTTCTCTCTGGCACATGCATAGACTTTTGTGTTGCAGAGTGAAAATCAGTCAGCAATGTGGACATTTTTCACATCAGCAGAGGACAGCAGAACCCTTTTGGGTCACTTTCCCAAACACGGATTAAACCTAAGCCTAGACAAAATGATAATTTTTAATAGTTAAACACTGTTGGCATTGCAGTTTTGACCATAACTGGGTGTAATCCATGTCCCCATAGTCTACCCTTAGAGTTTTAAAGTCTTTAAGTCTTGCGCTCACTGCACTTCGTGTGTGGATTATACTGTAAACTTGTTTTAAAATGTGAGGAAAAATAATGAATAAAATGTCATAAAAAGATGTAATCCCAGTGGCCTGGACACTTCTGCTGCGGATCTTTTATTGCAGATAATAGAATGTTACTGTGTGCCCACAAGAGTGAGATTAACCTAATTAGGAATGAAACACGTTTTCGGTTCCAGGAGCTTTAAATGACCAGTTACTGGAATCGGTAATGGCCATAACGGTAATGGTTACTATCAACCCAGAAATTCGATATTGGTGCATGTCCGACCTAAACATCTGGTCCTGAAACAGCAAATCAAGAGAAATATGGAAATCCAACCTGATCTCTGCGTCATAATCGTGAACACGGTAACAGATCAGTCAGTTGACAGCAGTGCTGCCCTCTGTGCTTGTGTGTGTGCTCATGTATGTGTGTGTTTTGTGCAGATATTAATGAGTGTAGGGTGATGGGCAACCTGTGTAAGAACGGGCGATGTGTGAACACAGAGGGGTCCTACAAATGCATCTGTAATCCTGGATACACCACCGACATCAGCGGCACTCTCTGCATTGGTGAGTGTGTCTCTTATACACGGTAGCGTTGTCTTCTTGTTCTACCTCAGCGGCATGGCCACATGGGAGAGGACAAAACAGCAGAAGCAGACCAAACTGTTAGAGGGGAGAGATCTATGGTAGAAGAGAGCAGGATTCAGGATAGGAGATAGGAGTTATGAGAGAGGAGTTAGGGATGAGAGGCTAGGATATACAGGATAGGAGGGAAAGGGAGAAATGGAGTTAGGGGCAGGCCTTATGAAATAGCAGTTAGAGGTTAAAAATAAAGAGGATGAGTTAGAGGACAGAGGTTATGGGTTAGAGAATAGAGTTTAAGATATAGATGTTAGGGGTTAAGTGATGGAGGGTATGAGTTAGAGGATAGAGGTTCAGATACAGGGGCTGGGGGTAGGATTTAAGATATAGATGGTGGGGGATAAGTAATAGAGGTATGAGTTAGGCAATAGTGGTCAGGATATATGGATTAGGGAATAGGACTTCTGATATAGATAGGAGGAGATAAGTGATAGAGGGTATGAGTTACTATATAGAGGTTAGGATATAGGGGTTAGAGCATAGGGTACAAGATGGTGGGGCTTAAGTGATAGAGGGTCTATGTTACGTGATGGGGTTAGGGGATAGGGTTTAAGATGTAGATAGTAGGGGATACGTGATGGAGGGAATGACTTAAGGGATAAAGGTTAGGGTACAGGGGTCATGGGATATGGTTCAAGATGCAAATGGTAGGGGTTAAGTGATAGAGGGTATGAGTTAGGGGATACAGGTTAAGGGTTAGGAAATAGGATTTAAGATATAGATGGGATGGAAAAAAGTGATAGAGGGAATGAGTTGGGGGATAGAGGTTAGGGGTTAGGCAATAAGGTTTAAGATATAGGTGGTAGGGGATAAGTGATAGAGGGTATGAGTTAGGGGATACAGGTTAGGGTATGGGGTTAGAGGATGGGGTTTAAGACATAGATGGTAGGTTAGAAATGATAGAGCGTCTGAGTTAGGGGATGGAAGTTAGCATGTAGGGGTTAGGGAATAGGGTTTAAGATGTAGATAGTAGGAGTTAAATATTAGAGGGTATGAGTTAGGGGATAGAGGTCAGGAAATAGGGGTTTAGGGGATAGGGTTTAAGATGCAGGTGGTAGGGCATAAGTAATAGAGGGTATGAGTTAGGGGATAGAGGTTAGGATATAGGGGTTAGGGAATAGGATTTAAGATATAGATGGGAGGGAATAAGTGATAGAGGATCTGAGTTAGGGGATGGGGGTTAGGGGTTAGGAAATAAGGTTTAACATATAGATGGGAGGGAATAAGTGATAGAGGATCTGAGTTAGGGGACGGAGGTTTGGTGATAGGGTTTAAGATATAGATGGTAAGGGATAAGTGATAGAGGGTATGAGTTAGAGGATAGAGGTCAGAATGTAGGAAATATCTTTTGAGATTTGAATAGGCGTGTTTGCTGCTGTGCAGCGTTACATGTATTCTGATCCAAATCCAGCCTGTGCCTTTTCTGTCCCTGCTCTCATTTTCTCTCTGTAGATGTGGACGAGTGTGCGCAGGCTCCTAAGCCATGTAATTTCATCTGTAAGAATGTGGAGGGAGGGTACCTGTGCTCCTGCCCTCGGGGTTACATACTGCAGGAGGACCGCAAGAGCTGTAGAGGTAACACACACCTTCTGTTCTGGTTTCTCTGGACGGGTGCATGTTTAGTGGGTTTTTATTTGAAACAAACATGGAAATACAGCCCAAAACAAATACACATTTAAACACATACAAATATGAGATAAATGTTTTCTTGGACAGCGACAATATGTATGTAAATATGTATGTAAACTAGTTTTAATACATAAGCCTATTAATTAATATACAAACAGGTAACTGCACATATTCAGTCCTGCATATATAAACAGGACAGGACTAACCTTAGTATCTCTCTCTCTCTCTCTCTCTCTCTCTCTCTCTCTCTCTCTCTCTCTCTCTCTCTCAGATCTGGATGAGTGTTCAACAAAACAGCATAATTGTCAGTTCCTGTGTGTGAACACTATTGGTGGATTCACCTGCAAGTGCCCACCTGGATTCACCCAGCACCACACCGCCTGCATCGGTGAGAACCACACACACACACACACACACAATATTGTATTATTAATGTACACCACATCTCCAAAAGTATCCTGGTGGCCCCTCAATTTAGCAAGTTCAGCTACTTTAATGTCACTAATTGCTCAGCTCTGTTATAATATCCATAGAAAAGCACTGACCAATAGAATGGGACACTCTGGAGCAGCTGCACATGAGCCTAAGTTCTCCATGTCTAATGCCAAGCATGGGCTAGAGGGGTATAAAGCCCCCCCCCCCAACACTGGGCTGTGGAGCAGTGGAACTGTGTTTTCTGGAGTGATGGAGCTCCATCCAATACCTTTGGGATGAGTTGGAGTGATCCAGAACTGACCATCCAACATCAGTACCTGACCTCACTAATGCTCAGTCAGATCCTCACAGCAATGTTTAACATCTAGAGTAAGCCTTCCCAGAAGAGTAGAGGCTGTAACTGCAGCAAAAACTCACTATTAACACCTACATTTCAGAGGAAACAAGGTGTCTGCAAACGGTCAGTTTCCTTTCAGTGGAGGATCTTCATTCAGATTTCTGGGCAGTCCAAGACTAGGCTTAATCCTTCTTCAGAAAACTGACCCGGAGTTTACTTTCAAGGGTTTACAGAGAATTATTCTAATCCTGACAACTTATGTTTTCTTCGGGAACATGTGTCCTCAGTGCTTTCTGTGTGAGGATACACACCAGCGTTCAAAAGTTTTGAATATTTCATTATTATAAGACCATTTTTTTGCAGATATCAAATATAAAGTCATTATAATATGATGCTAATATTCTGCAGATTACATACAATTTGTAGAAATCTGTACAAATAAAGATATTTTCAATGATGAACTGAGCTGTAGATAATTCCATTCCACAATAAATGAGTTAACTTACAATACAAGTATGATCCAGAATGTTGGGTAATTTACCACAGCATAACTAAAATCCAAATTTAGAAATGTACGAAAACATCCATTCATAATGTCTATGATGTGATAAACCCCAAAACTAAAAAGAGAAGATCACACACCGAATTGGAAAGTAAAATAGATTATACAGTTTAATAAGAAAAATGTTTTTCATTACATATAACTGCTGGTCAAAGCAGTTACACCTTTATGCCAATTATATGCAAACGAGACAATCTACATATACAATTGCTGATTCATTGTTACAAATCAAAACTGCTGTAATGCTGACTCAAATTGGCTCAGAAACAAAACTGAGCATAGTGTTGCTGGTGAGAGTCAGTCAGCAAACACAGTGTCTCTTATTTAATGACGTCAGTAAGTGTTGCTTTCAGTCAGGCTGAAGGCCTCGAAGGTTCACGAATGGTCACTTTTCATCCAGTTAGACGGTGATGGAAATACCCAGTTCAGCTCCTGTACCACCACAACAAGTCCTTATTTTATGTCATAGCATCTTTAAAGAACATGCCACAAGCCTTACAGAGACAAAAAGGCCAAGAATTGTGTTCCTAGCTGTAAAAAATACATTCTTATTCAAAAATATTCTGTATTAAAAAGATTTCAATTTAGTTACGGGAGATCATCTATATCCCTTCAGCCTCATATACAAAAAACAGTGATCAGATCTCACTGATCAAATAGTTGTTCATAGTAATTTCATGATTAATCATAATTCATGATTAAATAACATTTTTTTTACTGTCATAGTTCCCGTTGTTCCCGAATACTGTATAGGATTTAATGTGTACACACTTAAAAAAGATGGTTCTTCAAGGGTTCTTTCGCAAAGAAAATGGTTCTATATGGAACCATGAACACTCAAAGAAGCCTTGGCATGATTAAAGGGTTCTTTGCATCATGAAATGGTTCTTCAGATTGTTAGAGAATGTGCTGAAGATGGTGTTTATGATTCTTCAAGCTTGTAACAATAGCAGAACCCTTTTTGGTGCTATATAGAACCCTTTTCAAAAAGTCGAACCGCAAATTTTCTTTACTAAAGAACACTTGAAGAACCATCTTTTTTAAGTGTGTAGTGTGAAACATTTCAGTCTACACTGTATAAGTTAATAGTGAATAATAATTATTAACATGACAAGTGATTCCAAACTTTTGAATGCTAATGTACAAACTTACACACACACACACACACACACACACACACACACACACACTCCTCCCTCCCGCAGGGTCACTGCTGTGTAATGTTTTGCGTAATGACCTTTCCCAGGGGTCACCTCTCCGCTTAATTAATAGCTCTAAACCCTGACCCGTTGTCATGGGAACCCAGTGGTTAGTTGTTATGGAATGTAGCAAAGGCCTGTTGTCATGGATACGGCGGTGTTTAGCAGTGACCACTGCATGAGCTCATTCCTTCACAGCTGAGCTGAAAGTAAACTGAACACACTCGAACACACACCCTCACACACACACACATCCAGACTGCACGTGTCCAGGTCAGTATTTTGTGTCTGAATACAGGCCTCGTTCTGCGCTCTACATCTTAAAACGTTCACTACTAGACAAAGAAACGTTCTGGAAATGTAAAACTCACTGTAACACATCCTGCCTCCATATTTGAGTTCTTATGAAACTTGAGACTTGCCCCGACCAGGCCTGACTGGCCCCTAAATCTAAACTCAAACCAGCACTGAGCACACAGAAACAGAGCTGGATTGTCACAGACACGGTTCTACAGAGCTTTTTTTTGTTACTAAAAACTTGAGTTGATTGACAGAAACAAACTGTATTTTTATACTGTAATACACTAACAGGATCTGCTTACAGTTATTTATTATAATAGTGTTTAACTGCATCCACAAATGCCAGTTAAAACTCTAAAACGCAACGAAGAAACTGTACATAAACAGGATCTAGAAACACTGCCACCTTCTCTGGGCCTGAGCTCATTTAAAATGACTGAGGTGAAGTGAAAGAGTGTCCTGTGGTCCAACAAGTCAACATTTGAAATTCTTTTTGAAAACATCATGCACACTTCATCCTCTGGGCTAAAGACCACTCAGCTTGTTATCAGTGCACAGTTCACATTATGTTGCGGTGCGTGCTGGGTATTGTAGTGCAGTGCAATGTGAAATGGGCTGATATGAATAGATTTATTTATAGAAAGGTAATATTAATAGAAGTTTGAGATATGGGATCTACACAGTGACAGTAGAACATCTCAAACACTGAGCAAGTTCAGGCAAACTTGAACATCTCTGTGTGAAATCAAGTCCAGAGCTTTAGAGTTGACTCTTTTTTTCCCAAATGCTTGGAATCAGAGAATTGAGGATCCCTACTGTGAATATATTCTAAACACAGCTATAGACTATACTAAAGAGAGAGAGACAGAAAATGCTTGAGAGTTTATGAAATGTATTTCTACTATTAAAAACAAATTTACTGCCTAGAAAATGGAACCGAACCCGATGTTGTCGGAAAACTCTGCCTGACCTGCTCTCTGGTGGGGTAGCAGACCTGTACTCCATATCTCTGTTCTTATGGCTCCTTTGTGATGTGTGTAGACAACAATGAGTGTACCTCGGACCCTGGACTGTGTGGACCCAATGGAGTGTGTCAGAACAGCCCGGGCAGCTTCAACTGCGAGTGCCAGAGAGGATTCACACTGGACCCGAACGGCCAGCACTGTGAAGGTCAAACTACCTTCACATCACATGTTTTTATAACACTATGATAGAGGTTCATATCTGTGCCTCTCACTTGTACGCTTACTGTTGTCCGTGTGTGTCTTGCAGATATGGATGAGTGTGTGGGTAATCATCGGTGTCAGCACGGTTGTCAAAACCTGGTGGGCGGGTACAGGTGTAACTGCCCACAAGGCTACCTGCAGCACTACCAGTGGAACCAGTGTGTAGGTGAGAACATTTTCCTCGGTATCTGCTTTAAGTGCAGCTGGTCTTCTCCTTTATCACACAGACTAATAGGACAGTTCATCTGCCAATGAGTTAAAGGGGCCAATTTTTAAAAATCCCTACATAACTCAGTGCGTGAGATGTAAACAGAGTGATTTGGTGTGAAATGGTTCAGATTTCTTTAAGTTAGTTAGTTAAGTGACCCTTATTAGTCCCGCAACGAGGAAATTTCACCTCCACATTTTGACCCATCCGTGCAGTGAAACACTACTTACACAATAGTGAACACATTAAGGGGCAGTGAGCACACTTGCCCGGAGCGATGGGCAGCCCTATCTACGGCGTCCGGGGAGCAGTTGGGGGTTAGGTGCCTTGCTCAAGGGCACTTTAGTCACGTACTATCGGCTCAGGGGATCGAACCAGTGACCTTCCGGTCACAAGGCTGGTTCCCGAACCTTCAGCCCATGACTGCCCCACAATGTGGTGGTTTACAGTGGTGGTGTTAGGAACCAGGGGTCGCCATGACTACTGCACAAATATAGACATTTTATTTACTATCCAAAACCACCAGTGAACCTACATGTGTCTTCTAAGCTTTATATGGAATGGCCAGTAATAATGTCAGAGAAAATCATTTGCAAAGCATGAAAGAATTCTTTAGTCATGAGTTAAAATCAGTGGTGTTGGAGTGCGTAAGGAGTCGATTTAGAGCCTTTGGGTCTAAAAAAACTTTTGAGAGATTTTGGTCCAGAATGTGTAAATGTGAGGCCCCACCCACAGCTAAAAATTCACAAATGGGAGGACAACATAGGATTACACACAGATTACACTGTCTATAAGAGCTGATGGATGGCATGGTGATTTTCCTGCACTGTAGTCAAAGCTTTCCGTGAAGTCCAGTGTTCACAATTACCATCCAATACCTGCTTTATCTTGTCAATACTACTCAATTAAATCAGCCGCTGCTGATGGAACTAACCAATTCCAGGTGATGCTGAAGAGCAGCGTGAAGTCACACCAAACCTGTGTTCTTCTAACCTACAGATTCATAACGTTTCTGAATACAACACATTGTGACTATTTACTGCTGTATTTATGTTCTTTTGTATCTACATTAATGTTACACAGTGTATTAGTGGCAAAAACATTCAAAGATAAATAGTCTTAAAACATTTTCACGACTGCCTTAGGCCAGAAACATACTCAACGCAAGTATGCAGATGAAAATGACAGCGCTCGGCCAACACACTGCAAACGCTCCCTCTGCACAAACTCACCGTGCGCTCTCAGTACTCACTCAGTACTGAAGGGGGTGCTAGAAGATAAATCAGAGAGGATCTGCTGTTATTCCAACAGCCTCAACAGCTAAACGTGGTCAGTAGAGGAGAGTGAGCCGCTTTACCGCTTCTGCTTGAATGGAAAGGTGATGATGTATCATATTATTTTATGTTTATGTAAACCATCTTTGCCTGAGACTCAGCTGCTCGTCTGCTGTGGCAGTTGAGAAACACACTGGCAGTACGAGATTACTTGGACAGACTTGGTTGTCATTATAGTGCCCCCGTTATGTGCGAAACCCCGTCTGTGTATTATTATTATTATTATTATTATTGTTGTTGTTAAGTATGTTTTGGGCCTAAGCCTTCCTCTGGTCAAAGTTCTGTTTTATTACTAAACTCGGAGCCTGTGGATTAATTAGTTGACCAGTCTGTGCAACCCCTAGTTTGCCACCTCTTTCTCTGTCCTCTTTTCTGTCCTCCATCTCCTGTTTTCTTCCCAAGCAGTTTGTTATAGTTGATAGGGTGAGATTTCAGTTTCTGGAAGATGGGCGTTTCTTCTGCTGATTACTGAGCAGCATTAACAGTCAATCACTGTAAAAACAAGTCCTCTTCTGCACTCCCTCTAACTCTGTGTATTTGTTTACAGATGAGAACGAGTGCCAGAACAGTCAGATTTGTGGCAGAGCGTCCTGCCATAACACTCTGGGCAGTTTCCGCTGTCTGTGTCCCACCGGCTTCATGTTCGAGCAGACGAGCGGCGGCTGTCAGGACATAAACGAGTGTTCATCATCGCAGAACCCCTGCACCTTCGGCTGCTCCAACACCGACGGGGGATACCTCTGCGGCTGCCCACCTGGGTACTTCAGAGCTGGACAGGGGTGAGAGTGGGGGGTCTATGGGATCATGAACATGCTGTCAAATGGTATAATCTATGATAACATTATAAAAATGTGATCATAATCAGTCACAACATTCCAAAATCAATGCACATGGCTAGAGCGTTGTAATCGATTATAATAGCATTCAAAGGATGGGCAGAGTAAAACTCTTGTCTATATTCCACTACTGTATAAACAGTTCCTGCAGTTATATTATTGTGTATTATACAACAGTTAGTTCTGGCCACGCAAGCTGGTTGAGAAGCGTTCTAACTGTGCTGTTATTTCTCCATAACATCACAGGCTTTTCACAAACACTGTATCACTCCGCTGAGACGCCGTTGCTAAGCAACGACTTTGACAGATGTAGGAGATGCTCAAGCCATTTGAACGTTTTTACTTCTTACTTTGCCACAAACAGAAAATGGATACTTTGAAGATCACATTTGACCGACAGCCGATTTGGTCAGACTGTGAAGATGAGACTACACTAAATTCCCAAACTGTCAGTTGGTCTGTGTGGAGCTGGAGAACGAACCGCTGGCTGTGCAGTGAGTGAGCGGAGCTCGTAACTCTGACGTAGCAACGAGCTGCTTGTTAAGGAACTACAATTTGGCGGAAGGAACTGCTGACATTAAAACATTAAATGACACGTTCACGGCCCAATTTATGAATATCTTTTATTTATTTAACTGTTGTATAAAAGCAATAGAACACTCGAGGTTATGTGTTATCACTAATAACATCACGGCTGTGATGATCTATGGCACTTGCCTTCAGCTTGTGTGTGTTTACACTTAATAATCTGATAACTGCAGAAAATCAGATTTTGGCAGTAACTGGTTCAGCATGTTTTCATGCTCTTGGGTAATCAAATAATGAGGAAACTCCAGGTCTACATGAGTCAGACAGTAATTGGATTTCTGCTTTACAACCAGCCAATAAACTCACAGAATAAGACATGTTGTAAACGTAACATAAAACTTAAATGTCATTAGCGGCTTTTTTTTTAAACATTGAGTCACTTCAGCGAAAAAAAAAAAAATCTAGAACATGAAGAATATGTAAATCCTTAATTTTGTCGAGCATGTATTTGGTTTCAGCATCGCTCTAAAAGTGCTGTGCTGCGTCTCACAGGTGCTGTGTTTAAAGCTGCTTGCTGTTTCCGGCACAGTGCTCTGTTTTCACACACTCACATAGGCTGAGAGAAACGAAAGAAATCAGAGTGAGGGTTTACATGCACTGAAAAACCCCATTACTGAGCTCAGATCCAGCCTCTTTATCAAATTTCTTAATCGGATTTATAGAGCTTAATCTAGTCCAAGAAAGAGCATGCTGTTTACATGACCACTTGATCATCAGATAACTGCAGAAATCTGATAATGATCAGATTATTAAGTGCATGTAAATGCACTTATGACAGTCATCAGGTTTTACAGGCACACCCACAAGCACAGTGTTTTTGATGAAGTCCTTTGCAAATGTTAATGTTAATCTCATAAACTGTATGTTTAATTTTTGTTTGCTCAACGCATCCAGCCTGAGAGAAGTTTATCCTGACATTTTGTAATCACACACTGTTCTAATGAGCCACAAAGCAATGTGTCATTTGCCAGCAGCCACTTAGTTCTCCTTTATATGGAGCTGAGACTGAAGAAGATCTGCGAATTTACAGCGATTTTAACCCAAAAAAGCTTTTTTCTTCTGGAGGGACCAAATTGTGAGAGTGCTTGTGAGACTGGATGATTTATACCAGGATACACAAATTCCCTTCATGTTTTTCTTATCATCGAGTACATTTTGTCCCCATCAAGACCGGAAAACAAACCTTCCTCTAAAGTAACTTTGGTAAATCTCTAAATTATTCTGACTTTGCTGTCCTGCAGATGCAGGTTCAGTCTAAGTTCAGGACACAACACTAAAGCAAACCAGTTCTCTGACTCAGTTTATTTCACAATACCTACATTTAGAGTCAGTTATTCATTCAACCTAATGAGAAACTGTAGAACAGACTCAGTTTATATCACAATACCTACATTTAGAGTCAGTTATTCATTCAACATAGTGAGAAACTGTAGAACAGACTCCGTTTATATCACAATACCTACATTTAGAGTCAGTTATTCATTCAACCTAATGAGAAACTGTAGAACAGACTCAGTTTATATCACAATACTTACATTTAGAGTCAGTTATTCATTCAACCTAATGAGAAACTGTAGAACAGGCTCAGTTTATATCACAATACCTACATTTAGAGTCAGTTATTCATTCAACCTAATGAGAAACTGTAGAACAGACTCAGTTTATATCACAATACCTACATTTAGAGTCAGTTATTCATTGAACCTAATGAGAAACTGTAGAACAGACTCAGTTTATATCACAATACCTACATTTAGAGTCAGTTATTCATTGAACCTAATGAGAAACTGTAGAACAGACTCAGTTTATATCACAATACCTACATTTAGAGCCAGTTATTCATTCAAACTAATGAGAAACTGTAGAACAGACTCAGTTTATATCACAATACATGTAAACAGTTGGTAGAGATTTGATTTGAGGACTGTTGGAGTGCAGTGTAAGTGGTAATGTGTGTATGTATTGCAGACACTGTGTATCTGGAGTGGGCTTTGGCAGCAGTAGTCCTGTGGCTGGTCCTGGATCAGAGGGAGAGGAGAACTCTCTGTCCCCTGAGGCCTGCTACGAGTGTAAAATCAACGGCTACCCCAAAAAAGGCAGGAAGAAGCGGAGCACCAATGCTACAGAGGATGACCAGGTAACAGGAAGACTATGTTCTGTGCTCACATCTGTAAGTTTAGCTGTAAATTCAGAATAAAACCATGAGACAGTGTAGTGATGTAGTTTACAGTTCTTTCAGGTGAGGTTTGGGAGCCCACTCTCACTGTCTGTGTTTACATGCAAGATTTTCTCCAGTCCGATTGATTACAGTCTGATTGTAGATCAAGACGGAGGTGTTTATATTTCACTCTACTCAACAGTCTGATGTAAAAATCTGTTTACATGCTCACTACAAGTAATCACATGGGCCCAGTCAGATTGAGACGAGCAGCAGTGAGCAGTGCTTGTGTTTTTAATCGCTTTAAAACGATGTCAGACTCAGTAGAACATACTTCACGTACATATTCAAGAAGGGTGAGAGGAAGACGCCGTGTTCTGAGACACATAAGATGGACCCCCGTCCCACTGCTGTCTTTTAAAGTTCAAAGCATAAACTTCGTCTCCTCTGCAGACCGGTTTCTGCTCCCACCGTGTTGAACAACATAAGCTGATGCACATGTGCAGAACTTACTTAAACTTTCCAATTGGGAATGTGATCAGATTCAGGCGTTTACAAGGTTATTATTCTTCTGTTTAACAGATTATTTACAGGATTACCCACCTCCTTCGGTCAGATGGAAACTGTATTCCGAATGGCCTCAATCAGACTAGTCTACTCCAACTGAGGTGTAAACATAGATGTATTGTATTCCAGTTGAGCTATTAGTCAGATTATTAACGGATTATTAGGCTACATGTAAACGTGGCTGCTGAAGAGCCAACCTTTTTGGTGAATTAATACAAAACAAAGAAGTATATATTTCAATATATTACATATATATGATTAGTTTTTCTGTAAGCGATGCCTCTCGAAACTCTTCCACCGAAACTTATCAGTACGGCCAATTTTAGTAAAATAAAAATATATGCAGTTTTTCTTTATTAGTTGATCAGAAGGTAGAGTAAGGATTGAATGCAATTTAAATGGTAGATAACATTACTAACTTGGCTAATTTTGGGGGAAACTGCTTGTGAGTAAAAAGCCCCTGTTTGTGAGCTGAGCAAGTTGATCTGACTCACTGAAAAGAGCCGAACGCCCATCACTACAACACCACACCCAAAACCACAAAATCCAAAGTTTAATGCAAATCACTATCACAAGTTTATTGCTGTTGGTGTTGGAGAAGACTCTCCTCCACACTAGAGCCGCACTGCAACTGCCACACCAAGAAGATTTTCATATTTTAGTGAATGATCATTATAAATAAAATTTAGAAGATGCTATATAAAAATAACTATTGAAAGAGATAAGATGTATGTGATTTGACTGGATGTGTATGGAGTTTAAGCTTTATTCATGCGCCAAAATAATAAAAAAAAAACAAAACAAACGATGCATCAGAAACAACAACATGTCAGTAGGGCTTCAGTGAGGATTTGTGTTACATTTGTGTAATATTTCCGTCTATGTTTAATAAAGATTCTGAATAGCACCAAATGAAATATTGGTGAAATCTGGCATTTCATGACGCACTGGATCACTGAAGAATCTGAATCAAATCATTATAACGTCACCCATAAATGCGTCAGGCGTGCTCACCCACCCACAGAACCTTTTAAAAAAGAAAAATGGAGATTTGGGAACCGTTAATGTTTATCTCATAAAATCCATCTAGTATTTTATTAGATGTCCAGTGTTTGTTCGATCCTGACAGCCTGAGAGCTGACGTTACTAATCAGACACTGAGTAGATGCAGTTTTTTCTGTCATTACTTGTTAGTAGGGCTGAAAGATTTTATATACTTTTTTGATTTTATATTGAAATCACGATTTTATAGATTGCAATTATTTTTTATTTTAAAATGATGGTTCTTCAAGGGTTCTTTAGTAAAGAAAATGGTTCTATATAGAACCATGAGTATTCAGAGAAACATTATTCTCCCTCTCAGTGTGTGTATGTTTTTTTAAATGCAAATGTACAAATACAGTATAAGAGAGCCTCAGTCAAGACACCAGTAACAAAATAAAACCAAAACAGAAGAATAAAATAAAAAGATAACCTTCAACCTACAGCCAGCAGATAAGAAAAGAATAAAATAAAAAAAATGGTAAATTTCTGCATCCCAACTTAATTCTGTCGATTTCCGACAAGAATCACTTTATATTCTCTCACCTTTTGGCCTGTTTGTGTTTGTGCAGGTTGATCAGGAGGTGGTCAGCTTGGCCAGTGTGGACGTGGACGAAACCATCAACTTCAACCTGAACATCAGCGACCTGAACAGCAAAGACCACATCATCGAGTTCCTGCCGGCCCTGTCCATGCTCGCCAACCACGTCCGCTACGCCATCGACTTCGGCAACGAGGAGGGCCTGTTCAAACTGGCTCAGAGGGACGGGGTCAGCTACCTGCACTTAACCAAGAACAAGCACCTCCAGCCTGGGGCCTATTATTTACAAATCAGCAGCGTGCCTCTGTACCGCAAGAAAGAACTGGCTGCTCTGGAGGACAGGCACGACAAAGACTACCTCAGTGGACAGCTGGGAGACACGCTACGTGTCAAACTGCAGATCGTCCTGCACTAAGGGGCGCTAGATCAAACCAAAGACACAGAGAGGACTCCATCCGCCATGACCAAAGATCTCTCCACATATCATACATAAGAGTCTCTTAGAGTAAACAGTACCGTAATGAATAATGTCGATAATAATAAATATTCCATTGTGCTCATAACGTAAGGAGAAGAGAAGAACGTTCTCGATGAGAAACGACCACTGTTGTGCTGTTGATTTGAACGGGGTGTATCAGGAATGGCTCTGCACTCGCTTGGACGCGGCGTGTAGACTGACTGCAGGAGGGCACGATTAAGCCTTAATGGACTCCGCTTTGTTAATTCCGCTCTCTCTCCACCTTTCCTACCGATTAGCTCTCTGTTTTTAACCGTATTTACTGGTGCTAGTAACATGTCAACATTAGAGTTTTACGAATGCACTGTAATATCCTTTACCAGCGCAGGAGCTCTCCATTACCGTTTCAGTCTAAAGCGTCCTTTCCGCAAGCGACCCAGCGCTAGCTCGGTAGCCGTTCTGTCCTGTCCGTCACTTACGCCTATCGCTACGTGCATTACGTGTGTGTATACTGTAACCATGCCACTTTTTAAACTTGGGGAATCTTTTCTAAACTAGTTAATACACCCTGGACTGGAGGGTTGCAAAATGGTGCTCATTATAATGACCAACTACTTGTGTTAACTGTGTACATTCACCATTCTGAAGGAAAAACGAGCAACGTCTGTGACTCCAGACTACTGCACTGAGGCCCGACCCGCGGCCACAAACACACACTCGCGAGTACAGTCAGTGCTGTCGCCGCTGCGACAATTAGAAGAAGAAAAAAAAAACACCATCATTTAGTACAGGAATGTGTTCCGTGTTCACATCTGTGAGGGGTTTAGCTGTAAATTCACAATAAAAAACATATTTTTGGTTTTAAGGGGTTTGTAAACGAGTTCCTTATTTCTGAGTAAGTGTTGGTGGTTCCAGTTCTCCACTGTGGCTTAAATGATGAGCTCTAACTACAAGGGGTGTTTCACAAAGCAGGATTTCTCAGTTTAGCTAGTTAACTCAAGCTCAGAGTCAAGCCTGTCCAATAGGATAAGAGCTGAGGGACGGTGTGTGAAGTACCCCCTGGTATTCGGGGGTCCTGTGTTGGCTGCTAACAGTCACTCTTTACACCAAACTCTTGGGAAACTTCAGAGGAATCCTGGGCAGAGTTATTACACACTTAAAAAATGTGCTTCTTTGAGGGTTCTTAGTAAAGAAAATCTTTCTATATAGAACCATGAACACTCACAGAGTGCTATATAGAATGCTTTTCAAAAAGGTTCTTCTATCGTTTCAGTGTCAAGCAACAATAGGAGAACCCTTTTATAGAACCATCCATAGCATATTCTCCATCAATCTAAAGAATTTTTAGCACCAAAAAAGGGTTCTTCTACTTCGACCCCTAGAATTTTGATTGTGAGACATACAGGGGGTCCAGGAGGTTAAGTAAGGGGTCCAGTATTTGACAGCTTGCTAAGGGACATTCTTATTGGTCAGTCTGCATGTTTAGGCTAAAGTTATCTTTAGGCTAAAGTTATCAGGAATTGTTCCACTTTATAAAGTTAGCTTTTTTAAATGACAGCAAAAATTGGATATTAAGTGCGCAATTTGGGTGAAAGCAATCATTTCATGCCCTACGTAGCGCACTATTATAGAGAATGTCTGAAATCCAGCCTAGGAACTGTACACCATGATCTACTGCACTAGTTACTAAGCCTATTTACAGAATCAGGTCCTCAGAAGCTAAATCGTAATTGCCCTTAATATCAGGCTAGAATTTAAGGGGAACTCCACTGCTTTTTCCTGCTGTGATTCAGTGTAGAGTGAGATGTAGAGTGATTTGGTGTGGTAGAATGGAGTATTTCACATCAAACGCTTTGAATGAGTGTTTACATCTTAACCATTAAGTTGTGCAGGTGGGGGTGGACAGGAATAAGAGGAAGAGAAAGCATTTATGAAATACCATGTTTAATAAGATCTACATGAACAAAAAATTCCTGAAGTGTTCAAATATTATTCCATTTCAAACAGCTTCCACTCAGAGCTGAAGTGGCAATCGGAAAATGAGCAGAGAGCACCACCTGCTGGGGGAACTCAATCTGATTCACAATGAAAGCTCAACAATTTATATTAAAGGAACTTTATTTTAATAAGTAAACAAAACTTCTAAAAACACAAGAAGCTTTAGTTTCTTCCCGTAGAGCCGAATCCTCCAGATCCTCTCTGTCTCATCCAGAGTCTGAAAAACAAACCAGTCACCAACTCAAACATTTCAAACAGAACAGCAGATCTAAATGAAAAAGATGAAAGTTGATCAGCGTGTGAGATGTAGTGATTCAGAGTGGTTTAATGTGAAATGGTTCAGATTTGTTTACAGTGGTGGTGATGGGATTGTAGACATTTTATTTACTATCCAAAACCACCAGTGAACCTACATGTCTTCTGAGTTTTATATGGAATGTTGATGATGGAAAATGGTGGACAAGGTGAAATAAGATTTCTTTGGGAACTATATTGCCTCACCCTGCATATTATGTATCCCTCCACCATGAATGAGTTTAAGTTCTTAACCTATCATAAAACAATGTCTCGGACATCAGGCAGTGAATTCATAACAGTAATAAAAATAAACTGATAACTTCAGGGGTCTAACACAGCTGCGCATTAAACCCGATTGCTCTGTCACAACAAGCACGAGTCAGCCCAAATAAGACACTGTATAATAAAGACATTTTACTATTTTAAAGTTTCCACACGTCAGTGTTGTATATTTATATATATATATAAAAATAAATGTATTAAATGCGTATATATATATATATACACACACACGCACGCACATATATTGAATTGGATATACTGATTGCATATATATATTTTTTTCAGTCAATATGTTGTATATGTATTATATTCTGAAGTTATCAAGACTGCAATGGTTCTATGTAGCACCAAAAAGTGTTCCTGTTACAAGCTTCACATTATTACAATACAGAAACCCTTTTTGGCACTATATAAAACCATTTAAGCCTGAAATGGTTCTATTCCCTTTACTAAAGAACCATCTTTAATAGTAGAATATGGCACATCAATGTGTTTAAGCAATATAGCATTTACTTTGAACATGCTACAAAATCCATAAAACATGATGGAAGGTGTACAAACCTAGGTATAGAATATTAAAATATTCATGCTGAAAATGCACCCAAAATTACAATAATCTCACCTTAAACCTCAGAAAAACATGCCTTTAGCAGGTTTAAGGCAGCCCTCATTAAAACCGATGTACAGCACCATCTAGTGGAGGATGTGTGATTTTAAAATGACTAATTGGGTTTAATTTAACAGCAGGTCTGATTTAAACTGCAGATTTCAGGGACTCAGCAATGCAGAGTTTAAGAACCCACATAACTCAGGTTTGAACTCTGGTTAAACTCTAAACCTCAGCTAAGCTAATGACCATTCATTTGCCTCTGTAACTTTCTCTAGACCGGAGCATTTCACATTAAAACACTCCTGTTTACATATTAACCATTAAATTTTGCAGGTGGGGGTGGACAGGAGTAAGAGGAAGAGAAAGCATTTATGAAATACCATGTTTAATAAGATCTACATGAACAAAAAATTCCTGAAGTGTTCAAATATTATTCCATTTCAAACAGCTTCCACTCAGAGTTGAAGTGGCAAACAGAAAATGAGCAGAGAGCACCACCTGCTGGGGGAACTCAATCTGATTCACAATGAAGGCTCAACAATTTCTATTAAAAGGAACTTTATTTTAATAAGTAAACAAAACTTCTAAAAACACAAGAAGCTTTAGTTTCTTCCCGTAGAGCCGAATCCTCCAGATCCTCTCTCAGTCTCATCCAGAGTCTGAAAAACAAACCAGACACCAACTTAAAACATTTCATACTGAACAGCAGATCTAAATGAAAAAGATGAAAATTGATCACGTAAATGTTTAAGCAATATTCCTTTAGCAGCTTCAGTGACCCAAAAAGCAGTTTTCTCCCATTTAACTCCACATTACTGTACAGCTGAAACACCACAGGATTTCACAAAAAACATTACAGCAAAACTGGTTATTGGCCTCTCCAACCTCCAGCCACAAAATCTTTCACAGCTAGCAACAGAACACAGGTGAAAATCAAAACAACCTGCTCTAAATGCAGATAGTGTGATATAAACCAAGTCTGTTCTACAGTTTTTCATTAGGTTAATCTAAATTATCCAAACTTGCAACAGTAGCTATGAAAACACATTTGTGGATATCAGCACCACTGAGGGCTCATGCTCTTTAAACAGGGCTGGAGGACCATCCTAGTGGTACTGGCATTGAGCTGTCTGTTACCCAAGAGCGACCTCTAGTGTTTTTTTTTTTATAGCAGTTTGCCTTAAGGGTTGCTGTAGTTCAGCCTTTGAGCACGATGCTGCAGAGAAGCAATGTTTTCCCAAGTTAAACTTCCATTGTTAGGTCGTGAAAGGCATATGTCTGAAATTATAATTATATATATATATATATATATATATATAAATAAATAAAAACACACGTTTTCGTAACAAGATAGTTTTCTTACATACCTCCTTGTGAAAAAACAGCAATGTGTGTGAAGTTCACTAAATTCATGTTGTAGAAAATGGCGCCAATTTGTCAGCAAGTCTGAGAATTTTCATTCTTATTAGCATTAAGCTAAACACTTACTGTAATGGCTTATTCTCTCATACATTCTTACATCCTAGATTCTTTGAACAAAGTATAGAGTTACTTAATATGTACTGCAAAGTGAACTTAACACAAGTACATTGTAATGCAAATTTCATTTAATCTTAACATCTTTCTAAAATGGAGAGCATCGCACACCTAACAGTTCGCCACAGAACTTCCTGTCTTTTTGTCATGAGGGCGCTCACACTAGACCACAAGGCAAAGAGGGAGAACACATAATTTCAGCTACAAATAAGAACTCCAACTCCCAGATCTCCTCAGATCAAACACGACACAGACCAGCACTCACTGGACCTGTTTGGGCTTTTATGCACAGCAAAAGCGAAAACTGGAATAACTGGACGAATATGAGATGAGAAATGCTGATGAGACCTGGAGAAATATTTTACTACAAACTGGCAGCTGAGCTTAAACTGTAGAGTGACCTGACACCTGGATCCCACACAAACATTTCAGCCCTCATCTGCCCGTATTTTACATGCAGCTCTGCTGTTCATGCTCATCTCTTCTCCTTTCTCTCTGCTCTTCTAGCTCTGATTGGCTATTTGAATCACTCACCGAGTTCTTCTATGACCTTCTCTCAAATGCAGGACTGGTGGACGTTTCGAGTCGTATAATCAAATATGTTTGATATTTATCAGAGAGGCTCTGATCACTCCAGAGCTCGATCAGAGGGCTAAAGATTCACTTGTATCTCCTCTCACACTACAGATGATCCGCACTGTCAGCTGCTTCCAATTGAGCTCCCTGGAAAATCGCTTCAGACAAATTTGTTGCACGGGGCATATTGGGGTTAACATCATGTACTGCAGGCCCAGCCTTGCTGGCACTTACCTCCAACTCCACCAGGTCAGGGTAACAGATCCTCTCACAGACCAGCTGAGCCACTCTGTCTCCTTTTTTCACTGCAGAGAAAAAGAAAAAACAGCAGAGAACATTACTTATGCCCAAATCCTTATTTAACCTACTTCTAATTATTTCTTGTTCACAAACAGCAGCAGCTTACCTTCAAACGTCTCCTTGCCAAAGTTAAACAGCACTACACCGACGTTTCCTCTGTAGTCCTCGTCCACAACACCAGCTGAACAGAGAAGGCAAGACTGACAGTCAGCTAACTCACAGCGCTGAAGCTTCAGGCAAACACAAGCAGATTATTTAGGAATTATAGGTGACAGGCAACACTCCACATCTATGCCTCCCCCGTGAATTAAAGGATTTTATAAAATACTTAAAATACTTTGTATCTACATTCAAAGATGGTTCAAGGGTCCTCTAGTAAAGAAAATGGTTCCATATAGAACCATGAACATTCACAGAACCCAATGCATGATTAAGGATGCTTAGCATCATGAAAAGGTTCTTCAGATTGATGAATGTGTGATAGATAGTTTTATATAGAACCTTTTCTAACAGGGGTGCTCAATCCTGGTCCTGGGAGCTCAAATCCAACACACCCGGCTCATATGGTCAGATGCCCCTGAAGGCCTTTATTACCTGAATCAGTGTTCATTAGGGTTGGAGCTAAACTCTGCAGCATGGTAGTTCTCCAGGACCAGGACTGGGCACCCCTGTTTTAGAAAACTGGTCTATAGAAGAACGCTTTTGGGTGCTATATTGTCATGGTGCCAAGCTTGTAACAATAAAAAGAACCCTTTTGGGCTACGTACAGAACTCTTTCTGAAAAGATTCTATATAGGAGTTGTCTATGGCACAGGTATGCACATTCTCCATCAGTCTGAAGAACTCTTTCATGGTGCAAAGAACACTAACCAAGCAAGAGGTTCTTTGAGTGCTGATGGTTCTATTTAGAACCACTGTCTTCACTAAAGAACTCTTGAACCTTTCAAATTTTTTAAAAGGTGATCCAGAGGCAGTATCTCACTGCAACTTTACTTTCATTGAAGTAATGATTGAAGTCATATCAGTATGCAAAAATCAACCACAGAGCACAAAACAGCACAAAGGCTGAACTCTGAGATTAACTTCCCTAAATGAAAGAGAGGGCGCTCTTTAACAGATTGGTGCACGCTGACTGTCACCTTAAAAAGTCAACCCATCGAGGTGCTACAGATTGTTTCCCGCCCTTCAGTGAGCTGCATGTAATTATCTGGCGAAACCAGTTCTTTCACTCATCTGAAAACTGGTCTAACCGACATTGACATAAAAGGCTAAGCTCGCTAAAGCTGTCTGATGAGGATGAGATGCGATAAATAACTGTTTCAATAAAGTGTATCTGGCTGATTTTAATGCAGGTGCAGACACTTTTTGGGATGTGTAAATGGAAATCTAACAAACCCCTCTAAACAAACAGCAAAATATAAAATTACAAAAGCACCATTTACTTTTCATTTCTTTTTATTTTGTAGAAATACTAACAAGTACTAACATCAGAACAGAGCACATTTTTGTGCACTGAAGTCATTACAGCATTTTCAATAAACACTATTTATTTGGTTATGTATATTTTAATTTGGCACACAAGATCAAATACATATTCTTGTTTCATTTTATATTTTGTTTAGTTATTAAATACTTTGGCGTCAGACACCCAGGGTGGTATTAACTTGTAAAAAAGCTGTTCTTGCTTTTGGTTTAGCATAGTTAGGCACCATGTGCTTAGTTGGTCCAGTACTCTTATTTTGAAGGACTCCGGGGGGCACAAGGCAGCGAAAACAGTAGAGCCTGGTAGCCTCGCTATATTAAATTCATATATGCATATTTAACTTGTGGCCTCATTATATTAAATGCATATTTAACCTGTGACCTCATTATTTTAAACAAGCGTATTTAACTCGTGGCCTCGCTATATTAATACTTATTTGGTTGTTCAGTTTGGGTCTCTGTTCTTTCAAAGCTGAACTTACCGCCAACATCAATGAAGTGTTTTGCTGCCAGACCGGAACGAGGAGCTTGGAAACAAAAGATTGCAGATATTAAAATATGTAACTGACATGCACAGCTCGAGTCATGAGTGCAGTAAGACGCGGATAAAAGCTTCATTAACTCACCTACTCTGCCGTAGCAGCCCGACGGAACAGCTATCTGAATATCAGTCTTCACTATGGCCTTATCCATCGGCCCTATGGAGTAGTCATAAGCACTGAACACACAGACACACAGATCAGATAAAGCATTGAAGGAGAACTTTTTCAACATAATTAAATGGTTAAAATAGGTGATAGAAACCAGACGTCCACCTCTAAAAGCTCCCTCAAAGTTATTAACTTAGCTAACTACATTAAATGTTTATGAATACACGGCCTGATGACTGAGACATTGTTTCACGATAGTTTTGAGAATATTTTTGCCTTGAACTCCATTCATGTTGGAGGGATACACGCGGGGGCAAAATAGTCCCCAAAGAAAACGTATTATTTCAGATTTTCCACTATTTGCGCATCATCAACGTTCCACACAAAGCTCAGAAGACACGCTCACTGGTGGTTTTGGACAGTAAATAAAATGTCTACATTCCCATCACCACCACTGTAAAGAAATCTGAACCATTTCACACCAAACCGCTCTGAATCACTCTAAACGTCTAAAACTCAGTTATACAGAAACTCCCAATTTAACCCTCCAGCTGTAAAAATGTTCACCTCAGTGTATCCACTGTGTTTCAGTCCTACCTGTACAGGTCGTATCCCGCCGCTTTGCTGGAGCCTCTGGTCGGTGTTGTTGCGTTTTCTGTGAGTTTAGCGAATTTTAGCACAAAACCATTTTCAGTCCTGCTCCTCTTGGCAGGAGACACAGCAGCGGCTTCAGTCACATCTGAGCACGGCATCTTCTCTGTAGGCGTGCAGGGGGCGTATTTAGAGCTTAAAATATTATATCTACGACAAAAGCATTAAAATAACAAATAAAAAGTGAAAGCGGCAAAACACCCGTGGCTTCTCCCCAAGCGCTTTCGTGATTTTCGCGGGCAAAACGCTTATTTTCTCGCGCCAAAGAAGTCTCGCCTCCTCTCACTTGTGATTGGGTCTTCTTAAGCACGTGTTAACGTATTTCGCGCCAAAATATAATCTGAAAGCGAAAACATAAAAATGTAAAAATAGAGCGACAAAAACGCCTAACGTCTCCCCTGCACTGCGGATTTTCTGCAGAGGGGCAACCCCGCACCTTTCCCTGATTCTTACACCGTGAGGCAAACCGCCTTCTGCAACAACAACAATTTACACTGAATGAAAAAATTGTGTTTAACACTTTTACCGATTTATTGTGACAGTTTACGAAAGTAAAAAAAAAAATGCAGTGAGCGATGTAAGTAACAGCATGCACCCTTTTTTGGTTGTGAGACATTTCAACGCAATTAGAGCTGAGAAGGCGCCCATGATGCATAGCGAGAAGCAGACATAAATAGACAACAGTTTTACGCAACGTAACCTACATCTAATCCCGGATTGACTGTGTGCAGAAATGTTGCATTTAGCATGAAAAATGTAAAACCTGATCACTGTTTTGTCTGTTTGGTAGCTGACTAGTGAATAATAAAATTACTAACGCCAGAATTAAGACGTCTGCAACCCTTCATAAGTGGCCAGTTTTTGTCGTGGTACATAATAATAATAATAATAATAATAATAATAATAAAACAAAACGACACTAACAGTTCAGCAGCTAGAGTCAGTCATACTCCTATAATAACAAAGCATGCCACCTAATTGTGCTGCTCAGCTGCAGATCAACAAACAGCAACGCAGATAATGAAGTTCGGGTCAGGTACCGTCTGTGTGTGAAGAACGTGCTCTCCTTAAGCGATAAGGTTTTCTCCTGTTTAAAGAAGTCATCAGTGAGGAGCAGTACCGTGAATACACAGCAAACATTCTGTTTCCAGGCTTTAGACGTAAGTTCATGTCCTTCTTCTCTCCCTGGGTTGATCTGTAGCGGTCAGTCCATCACATCACGCCCGCAGCTACATGACTGTATCCTCTAGCTCAGATCCAGCAGCAGCAGCTTGATCAAACTACACAGTCCAGACTGGGTTTAAAGGGCCTGTCAGTTAGTAGCTTCTAAGGTCTTGTCCTGTTTAGCTGCTCTTCTTCTTGAGCTTTTAGCTCTCGGGGTCGCTGCTGCCCCCTTACTGGTCACTACATCATTACACTCAGCATTTTTTTTTCTTTTACACAAAATGGCAGACATTTCATTTTATTTCAAACACGTTCAATCTGTTCCTACAAACATACATGCATTAATGAGCCCATAATGAGTCTAATCATCTTTTTCAGTGTATGTTTACTTGCAAACACAGTACAAACATTAATAGCAGTGCAGCGTGTGGTTATTAACTGAGCTCAGTTATATATATATATAGCTAATTTACTTATTCATTTATGTTGCTTATTATCATTATATATATATATATATATATATATATATATATATATATTATATATATATATATAATGATAATAAGCAACATAAATGAATAAGTAAATTAGCTTTGATAAGATTTGTGAATAAAACATAATTAATGTGATCACCAGATATTCACATTTTAGATATGTGATGTATCTGAGAGTTGTTTTTTTTTTTCTGGACGTCTGACTCTCCTTTAAACTTGACCATATTTACAACAAAGCTAGCGCTGCGTACTTAGCGAAGGAAAACTACTGTTCATTTGCTCAAATAGCCGACAGATTCTGGCCTATAGATATTTATGGTGTGTGTCCCCAACACACAGCACAATATCTCCATAACAAGCAGCATGCTAGTGCTAACAGTGCTTAAACCAAGTGTTATGCTGTGGTTATCACATTTTTATGGTGATATCACAGTAGGAGTTGGATCTCTGTGTTTTATAGCGGCCGGCACTTTTATTAGCAGCCGCCATTGAGCAGCCACATCGTGTCCACTTCGCGGCCACTTTTAGAAGCGGATGCCATTGATCATCCACATTGTGGCCACTTCGCGGCCACTTTTATTAGCGGACGCCATTGAGCAGCCACATCGTGTCCACTTCGCGGCCACTTTTATTAGCGGACGCCATTGAGCAGCCACATCGCAGCCACTTCACGGCCACTTTTATTAGCGGATGCCATTGAGCAGCCACATCGCGGCCACTTCGCAGCCACTTTTATAAGCGGACGCCATTGATCATCCACATCACGGCCACTTTGCGGCCACTTTTAAAAGCGGATGCCATTGAGCAGCCACATCGCGGCCACTTCGCAGCCACTTTTATTAGCGGACGCCATTGATCATCCACTTCGCAGCCACTTTTATAAGCGGACGCCATTGAGCAGACACATCGCGGCCACTTTTATAAGCGGACGCCATTGAGCAGACACATCGCGGCCACTTTTATAAGCGGACGCCATTGAGCAGACACATCGCGGCCACTTTTATTAGCGGACACCATTGAGCAGACACTTCGCAGCCACTTTTATAAGCGGACGCCATTGAGCAGACACATCGCGGCCACTTTTATAAGCGGACGCCATTGAGCAGACACATCGCGGCCACTTTTATTAGCGGACACCATTGAGCAGACACATCGCGGCCACTTTTATTAGCGGACGCCATTGAGCAGCCACATCGCGGCCACTTTTATTAGCGGACGCCATTGAGCAGCCACTTCGTGGCCACTTTTATAAGCGGACGCCATTGAGCAGCCACATCACGGCCACTTCGTGGCCACTTTTATTAGCAGCCACATCGCGGCCACTTTTATTAGCGGACGCCATTGAGCAGCCACTTCGTGGCCACTTTTATATAGCGGACGCCATTGAGCAGCCACATCACGGCCACTTCGCGGCCACTTTTATTAGCGGACACCATTGAGCAGACACATCGCGGCCACTTTTATTAGCGGACGCCATTGAGCATCCACATCGCGGCCACTTTTAAAAGCGGACGCCATTGAGCAGCCACATCGCGGCCACTTCACAGCCACTTTTAAAAGCGGACGCCATTGAGCAGCCACATCGCGGCCACTTCACAGCCACTTTTAAAAGTGGACGCCATTGAGCAGCCACTTTTATAAGCAGACGCAATTGAGCAGCCACTTTGTGGCCACTTCGCGGCCACTTTTATTAGCGGACGCCATTTAGCAGCCACATCACGGCCACTACGCAGCCACTTTTATAAGCGGACGCCATTGAGCAGACACATCGTGGCCACTTTTATTAGGGGACGCCATTGAGCATCCACATCGCAGCCACTTTTATTAGCGGACACTATTGAGCAGCCACATCACGGCCACTTTTATTAGCGGACGCCATTGAGCAGACACATCGCGGCCACTTCACGGCCACTTTTAGAAGCGGACGCCATTGAGCAGCCACATCGCGGCCACTTTGCGGCCACTTTTATTAGTGGATGCCATTGAGCAGCCACATCACAGACACTTCGCAGCCACTTTTATAAGCGGACGCCATTGATCATCCACTTCGCGGCCACTTTTATTAGTGGACGCCATTGAGCAGCCACATCACAGACACTTCGCAGCCACTTTTATAAGCGGACACCATTGATCATCCACTTCGCGGCCACTTTTATTAGTGGACGCCATTGAGCAGCCACAGCCACTTTTAAAAGTGGACGCCATTGAGCAGCCACTTCGTGGCCACTTTTATAAGCGGACACCATTGAGCAGACACATCACGGCCACTTTTAAAAGTGGATGCCATTGAGCAGCCACATCACGGCCACTTTTAAAAGTGGACGCCATTGAGCAGCCACTTCGTGGCCACTTTTATAAGCGTACGCCATTGAGCAGCCACATCACGGCCACTTCGCGGCCACTTTTATTAGCGGACATCATTGAGCAGCCACATCGCGGCCACTTTTATTAGCGGACGCCATTGAGCATCCACATCGCGGCCACTTTTAAAAGCGGACGCCATTGAGCAGCCACATCGCGGCCACTTTTATAAGCAGACGCCATTGAGCAGCCACATCGCGGCCACTTCACAGCCACTTTTAAAAGTGGACGCCATTGAGCAGCCACTTTTATAAGCAGACGCAATTGAGCAGCCACATCACGGCCACTACGCAGCCACTTTTATAAGCGGACGCCATTGAGCAGACACTTCGCGGCCACTTTTATTAGCGGACGCCATTGAGCAGCCACATCACGGCCACTACGCAGCCACTTTTATAAGCGGACGCCATTGAGCAGACACATCGTGGCCACTTTTATTAGGGGACGCCATTGAGCATCCACATTGCGGCCACTTTTAAAAGCGGATGCCATTGAGCAGCCACATCGCGGACACTTCGCAGCCACTTTTATAAGCGGACGCCATTGAGCAGACACATCGTGGCCACTTTTATTAGGGGACGCCATTGAGCATCCACATCGCAGCCACTTTTATTAGCGGACACTATTGAGCAGCCACATCACGGCCACTTTTATTAGCGGACACCATTGAGCAGACACATCGCGGCCACTTTTATTAGCGGATGCCATTGAGCAGCCACATCGCGGCCACTTTTAAAAGTGGACGCCATTGAGCAGCCACTTCATGGCCACTTTTATAAGCGTACGCCATTGAGCAGCCACATCGCGGCCACTTTGCGGCCACTTTTATTAGCGGACACCATTGAGCAGCCACATCGCGGCCACTTTTATTAGTGGACGCCATTGAGCATCCACATCGCAGCCACTTTTAAAAGCGGATGCCATTGAGCAGCCACATCGCGGCCACTTCACAGCCACTTTTATAAGCGGACGCCATTGAGCAGCCACATCGCGGCCACTTCACAGCCACTTTTAAAAGTGGACGCCATTGAGCAGCCACTTTTATAAGCAGACGCAATTGAGCAGCCACATCACGGCCACTACGCAGCCACTTTTAAAAGTGGACGCCATTGAGCAGACACTTCGCGGCCACTTTTATTAGCGGACGCCATTGAGCAGCCACATCACGGCCACTACGCAGCCACTTTTATAAGCGGACGCCATTGAGCAGACACATCGTGGCCACTTTTATTAGGGGACGCCATTGAGCATCCACATTGCGGCCACTTTTAAAAGCGGATGCCATTGAGCAGCCACATCGCGGACACTTCGCAGCCACTTTTATAAGCGGACGCCATTGATCATCCACTTCGCGGCCACTTTTATTAGCGGACGCCATTGAGCAGCCACATCACGGCCACTACGCAGCCACTTTTATAAGCGGATGCCATTGAGCAGCCACATCGCGGCCACTTCACAGCCACTTTTATAAGCGGACGCCATTGAGCAGCCACATCGCGGCCACTTCACAGCCACTTTTAAAAGTGGACGCCATTGAGCAGCCACTTTTATAAGCAGACGCAATTGAGCAGCCACATCACGGCCACTACGCAGCCACTTTTATAAGTGGACGCCATTGAGCAGACACTTCGCGGCCACTTTTATTAGTGGACGCCATTGAGCAGCCACATCACGGCCACTACGCAGCCACTTTTATAAGCGGACGCCATTGAGCAGACACATCGTGGCCACTTTTATTAGGGGACGCCATTGAGCATCCACATTGCGGCCACTTTTAAAAGCGGATGCCATTGAGCAGCCACATCGCGGACACGTCGCAGCCACTTTTATAAGCGGACGCCATTGATCATCCACTTCGCGGCCACTTTTAAAAGCGGATGCCATTGAGCAGCCACATCGCGGACACGTCGCAGCCACTTTTATAAGCGGACGCCATTGATCATCCACTTCGCAGCCACTTTTATTAGCGGACGCCATTGAGCAGCCACATCACGGCCACTACGCAGCCACTTTTATAAGCGGACGCCATTGAGCAGACACATCGTGGCCACTTTTATTAGCGGACGCCATTGAGCAGACACATCGTGGCCACTTTTATTAGCGGACGCCATTGAGCAGACACATCGCGGCCACTTCACGGCCACTTTTAGAAGCGGACGCCATTGAGCAGCCACATCGTGGCCACTTTGCGGCCACTTTTATTAGTGGATGCCATTGAGCAGCCACATCACAGACACTTCGCAGCCACTTTTATAAGCGGACGCCATTGATCATCCACTTCGCGGCCACTTTTATTAGTGGACGCCATTGAGCAGCCACATCGCGGCCACTTTTAAAAGTGGACGCCATTGAGCAGC